CACTACCGAAAAGCGGTCTCTCGGCCTGGTATATGCCAGACGATTACTCATTTAGCACCTTTTCAATGACCCCAGTCTCCACTTATGATGCGGTGGTTTATACCAATGCTACATTGATTGCAATTCAATACATGGCCCCTCGGGCCAACCTGGAGCTGCTCGACGATTCCCCTATGACGAATGGCACACAGTGGGAAGCTACAGAGTGTTCTCTGGAGCCCATCGTGCGCAGCTTTCGTCCTACAGTCTACCAGAACAACTACAGTGATAAGACGCGGGCGATCTGGTTTCAGTATAATTGGACTTCCACTAATAATGTCCATCAGTCTGCAGGATTGAATCTCACCCCTGACTCTTGGGGTTCCGATCTTGGTGTGCACAAAGCCCCGCAATCTTTCATACTTAGTGGTGATGCCAAACAGTGGATCTATCCCTTCCTAACCGCCATTTTCTCGGGTCAGGCGACTAGGTCCGGATCGGAAATATATTTCGACCCGCTGGATAAAGGCTGGTATGCTGGTTTTGACACGCTCCAGGCACTGGCCGTGGCAAATATTACTGGGTGCAGTGAGATCCTTTCCGATCGACTGTCCTGCGCGATGGACAACGTGGCTGCGGCGATGTCAAAAACCTTCCGAGATGTGGCTTACGTCGTCAATCCCGCATCGGCTGCCATGACGACGGGTAGGGCGAAAGTCAGTGAGGTCTATATCGTAGTGTACTGGGCTTATCTGGCCTTGCCCGTTCTTGTCTGGACTTTAGGGGCTATCCTGGTGTTCGGCACGCTTTGGAAGACTCGCCGCGCTCGTGTGCCCGCTTGGAGAAATGATACGCTGCCATTGCTGTTCTTGTATCGGGATCAAAGTGAGGGTATGGAGTCATTGCAGGGAAGCGAGACTGTGCAAGCAAGCGGTCATGAGATGGTAAGGTTGTACACTGACGAGAGTCGAGTCTTCCTTGGTCGGTGTACGGATACCGATTCCATACGTCCTTGAGTGGCTGCTGCTTTTTATCCGGAAAAATTCTCAACTATCCCAATATTGGACCATATTAGCATATAGACTCAGTTGGTTCGCCAGGTCAACCCCACTTATTGTGAGATTAATATACTTTCTCCCTTCGGTTACATTTGAAGTTGACTATCTATATGAACTGTCACCCCGGCCCTTTAAAGGGCCACCTTACTGCTCAACCCTAGGCAGTTGCCACGAATCCCTATATTTTGCTAGATGATTGTCGCGTAAAATCCCCTCCGCCGAAAGATACTGTCAGTATCACTTCACCACATTAATTTCTCTGGTGTAGCTACAAGGAATTGGATGAGCTGATCATACGATTGTCTTGTGCTAATACCATGGAGGTAGTCTTTCTGGACCTTGTTCATTATGGTTGGTACTGACTGTATTAGGTGAAATGTTCCTGAAGATGACGGGCTTGGTTGCTATCAAACCCGACTGAGCTCTACAAGAAACGTATATCTCGCCGTCTGAAGAAAGCATATCGCTCAACATATCACACTACGCCAGTGCAAACAGCAGCAGATAACCGAATTTGGCACTCGACGCTCAAAGCTAATACTGTTAGGGTTCAGAAGAAAGACTGTTCTTATCCAAATTCGGTCTCGTGATATCTAGGTTCCCAATACACTTAAAGGATCCCAGCGCATCATATGCCTCGAGGAAAAATCCATGGCAGAGATGTGCAGGTATAGTGAAATATGATACAAAATAATAATACAGATATGATACCCACTGTATTCTAGCAGTGCCATGTAAGCCCACCAAGGAAATTTATCTATCCCTCTACCCCGGAAATAAAGAAATTAACCAACCTAAATATCTTTCCTCGCATGCCGACTATACTTCTTCCTCAACGTCCCCCCATACTACACACCACAACAATTAGCCATTTATTTCTACCAAGGGGCCCAAAGAAAACTCACCTTCATCAACACAACCGGAATGGGAATAAACGCACACCCCAAAAACGCCAACGTCGAGCTCGCCCAATCCACCCCCAGATTCTTATACATCGCCGTCGCAAAAAGCGGAAACCCTGCACCAAAGGCACTCCGAAACAAATCATTCCCAGCGAGAACACTAGCCGCATACTCCGGGTACGCATCGGAGAGATAATTCAGCACGGGGTTGAAGAGCAAGAACGCACCGACGGAGAAGAATCCACTCCCGACAATCGGCATGATCCAATGAATAGAGGGACGGGCACTCCACCCAAACCAAAACAGACAGATAGGGATGAAGAAGCCTCCCACGATAGCGGGGGGGAGACGCGCCTCTGGGGGAACATTTCCTGTCTCGGGGTCGAATTTCGGTTCTAGGTATTTGTGCATCCACCAGTAATATGGAGGAATGGTGATCAGGGCACCGGTTAGGATGCCGATGTAGGCGAGACCCTGTTGGCCGAGGTTGAAGCCGTAGATACCTGAGAATACGATGGTGAAGGATTCGAACCATACGTAGAGTAGACCGTAAATCAGGGCGATGTATAGGTTCAGTAAGAAGACCATGGGCTCGGTGAAGTTGAGCGTGAAGGGCCGGACGAGCGTCATCATGGCGAGTTCTCGCGCTGTGAGGTGTTCGCTGGCGAGTTCGGGCTCGCTGCGCAAGTTGGACCGGTTGGTCAGTTTGCGGAGACGGCGGGCGCGTCGGTACAGAATGTTACTGGAGGAGGTCTCTGGGAGGAAGATTATAAGTACAACTAGTGTGAATCCTGATAGCCACATGAGTTCCCAGATCGTCCAGCGCCAGCCTTTGGCTTGGGCGGCAAATCCGCCGACTAGGGGACCGAGCACGGGGCCGCAGATGGCGCTGATGCCCCAGATGCCGATGCCGTAGGCGCGTTTGCGAGGAGCGAACATGTCGGCGAGGCTGGCGCCGCCCTAGATGTTGTTAGTGGACAAGGGTAAGTGAGGGGAAGGGTAAAGGTACCGTTGCGAGAGCAGGCGAGCCAAAGAAGCCGGTCAGGAAGCGAAAGGCTAGTAGAGTGCCGAGGTTCCCGGCCAATGCAGCTGGGACTTGCAAGGCAACAAAAACAATTAGTGTCGCGATGTAGACGGAGTTGCGACCGATCTGGGGCACCTCGCTCATGGGCGACCAGAGAAGCGGGCCCAGTCCGTAGCCAGCCACGAACAGGGTCAGTCCTAGGGTAGCTGCGACTTGGCTGATCTGAAATTCGCTCATCACTGACTCGATACCAGCACTGTAGATGGCGCTACCGATGTACACGCTGAAAGTGAGCAGGCAGATCTCGAAGGTCACCACAACTTTCTTCCATAGCGGCCAGTGTTGAGGGTTCTGATGAGTTAGCTTCTGTCCAGAAGAGAATAGTAAAGTAAATAGCATACCTCCGGATCATGATCATCCCACCAGTCGATGATGGTCACGTCGCGTCCCTTTTCCGGGTCAATGGCGGCTCCGGTGATTCCTTGATAGCGGCGGCCATTATGTGACCACGCCGTCGAGGGCACTCTCGTCATGGACTCGGTGTCGGCTGCGCTGAAGCGCTCAGGCTCCGGTACCTCATCGGCATCGGGACGACCAGTGTAGGCCATGCGGCCCGATTTGTCGAGGTTGATGTACTGCTGCCATAGCGAGGGGTCTTTTTGCTCCTCGAACCGGAAGTACCGGCCGCGCGAAACGAGGCGGATAAATTGGCCGAAGACGGAATCTTGGATGAGGCAGGACATTCTACCTGTTCTATTTCCTACTTCCTACTGATGGGTTTTACAGTGATATGGCCTACTGGGATGAATTTTATAGGGGTGAACCCCTGCGTCGGTAACTGGTTTGGTTCCTGGATCAAGCAAGCAAGATGGATGATGTAGCCATGATAACACCTCGCCACCTGCAGTCAGCCAGACTCCGTTCTGGTCTCGATGCCGCAATCTCAAACTCAGATCAAATAAATATGTCTGCAACGTTGCACTATCTGAATAATTATCATGGACTCTTTCTTCAAACCCCCATATAAGTAATTTTTACGATGGTAGAATGTGCACGGGGATAATGGTGCTGATCCGAAGGATCTCACCCGAGGGGTGGGGTAGGGTTGGGTTAGGGCGCAATCCGGTCCCAGTGGAATAGAGAGATTGTCTTGCTATCATTACTAAATAACAGCTCTGGAACCCGTCGATCTTTAACCCAAAACTGCTGGCGACCGAGGCATTTGTTGCTGCACCCCGGATTGAGAGACAGCTGATCGATCGTGCCCAGCAAACGTCATGTATCCCCCACTCGTCGGATTTGACCGACCAGCAGGACAAGCCAACCACCATGTTTGCTTTCTTAGTGCCCTCTTAGTGTTATTTAGACCCTGCGCGAGGGACACCCCCCCCTTGGGCTGACCCCCGCATGACCCCAACATCTCACGCCGCGTGGCTCCCATCTCGACCTCTCCTGGAAGCCATATCCCGTGCCTGCCAGTGCTGAGACCGTCTCCGGTCTCCCGCCTGCCAAGCCTACCCCGAAGCATCTCACTCGCATCTCGATGGCCTGCTTCCGTTAGTCCTAAGCGGAAGTTGTCCGAGCCTCGTCCCCAGATTGTCGGTCTGTCCCACCTGGACTTTCAGGACCGGGTCTGGGATGCCACGAAGAGGCTCGATCCCCGGATTGTCCCCCGCAGCCAAGACGCTCCGTCCCACAACAAACCCAGCGCATCTTCGGAATTTTGTCGCTTTGCTACTCGCCAAGCTGTCCAGCATGTCAAGCGGTGATAAGCTCGTCGCGACAAGTCGGATTCCAACGTGGGATGTCTTGCTGGTGGATATCGTTCCCTGCGCGATCCATTGGCTGCTCTCTCCCCGATCCCCGCATGATCACATTTTTCGTAGTGAATTCTCCCCCGGACTAGTTTGTCCTACCTCACCATGAATAGGTGACGTTCCGACTGGCTGTCGGTAACCGACGTAGCTCTGATGGGGGTGACTGGGTATAAATGCCCCTCCTCCCTTGCAGATGCCAGCTGTTTAAAAAGAAAACCTGTAGTGGCTCGTCCAACTTTTCTGGGATTGACCGTGTGCAATCATGGCAGGTTCCAAGAAACCAGTTAACATTTTTCGCTTGCGCAATCTCGCTGACCCCAAGGAGGTCTTCAACTGGAGGCTATGGTTTGCCGTGCTCTCCTTTGGCCTCATGGGCGCTGCCCGTGGTGTTGACGAGGGTTTGATCTCGGGTGCCTTTAACTCCAAGGATTTTCAGCGCACTATTCATCTGGACTCGTACAGTGAGGTTGAACAGACCAACATCAAGGCGAATGTGTCCGCTATGGTGCAAATTGGTTCCGTGGGAGGGGCACTCTTGTACGCCATTCACCAAAATGAACCGTGAAGTCTGTCTGCTGACACTGTTATAGTGCATTCCTTGTGTGCGACCGTATTGGACGGCTGTGGGCGACTCGCCAACTCTGCGTTCTTTGGATCCTGGGAATTGCCATTTTCATGGGCGTCGGTGCCAACGGTAGCCTGGGGGCTGTCTATGCTGGTCGCTTCGTGGCCGGACTGGGCGTCGGCCAGACTGTAGTTGTGGGACCAGTCTACCTGGCTGAGATCGTGAGTGACAAGTTCAATTCCCTGTCGGGCTTGATTAACCAAAAACAGGCCCCAGCATCCGTCCGCGGGCTCTGCACTTGTGTCTTCACCGGCTTCGTTTACCTGGGCATTGTGCTCGCCTACTTCACCAACTACGGCTGCCAGATCCATATGGGCGACCACACTCACAAGCGATGGGTAAGGCATTCATTCACCTTCTCCATGGCAATGTACTGACCCTACCTAGGAAGTCCCAACTAGTCTCCACATCATGTTTGCCGGCCTCATCTTCCTCCTCTCCTTCCTCCAATACGAGTCTCCTCGCTTCCTTGTAAAGAAAGGCAAGCCCGAAGAAGCACTGAAGAACCTTGCGCGCCTCCGCAATCTTCCTCCAGAGCATGAATACGTTGTCGAGGAGTTCACGGGTATCCAGAATGCCCATCAGGCGGAGATGGAGGCTACCATGGGAGCTGGCTGGCTGGGCATTGTCAAGGAGGCCATCATGGTCCCGAGCAACCTGTACCGGCTGTACCTAGCCGCCATGGCGCAGCTACTGTCCCAATGGTCTGGAGCGGGATCCATCACGCTGTACGCGCCGGATCTGTTCAGTCTCCTGGGCATCACGGGGTCCAACGAGTCCCTACTTGTGACAGCAGTGTTCGGTATCATCAAGCTGGTCGCAGCTGTGATTTGCGCTCTGTTCCTGGTGGATGTGATTGGGCGCAAACGTGCCCTACTCCTAGGAATCACGCTGCAGGCCATCTCGATGATCTACGTGGCTAGCTTCCTCACTGCCGTGCCGGAGATGGGCATTGTCGATGACTTTGTCCTGCCGGAGTCAAAGAAGGGTAGTAGCCGCGGAGCCATTGCTATGATCTATATCTCCGGTGTGGGCTGGGCATTGGGCTGGAACTCCATGCAGTATCTGCTGACCGCAGAACTGTTCCCGCTACGCATCCGCGCACTGGCTACCTCTGCTGCTATGACGCTGCACTTTGTCAATCAGTATGGTAATTCCCGAGCGGTGCCCAATATGTTGCTGGGTACTGCGGAGGGTGGCATCACCCCCAAGGGCACGTTCTGGTTCTTCTCTGCCGTGACGGTGCTGGGTGGGCTGTGGGTGTGGTTCAGTGTGCCTGAGACAGCGGGGCGGAGTCTAGAGAGTATGGATCGGTTGTTTGCATTGCCCTGGTATCAAATCGGACGGCATGGCAACCGTGATGCCGACCAGCAGGACCAGGTGGTGGCGGATAAACAACAGCAGGTGGAGGATGGATTTGGAGGGGCGGAGCATCGCGAGCGGGTGTAACTGTTGCTTGACTATGTTACTTAGCTATCTCCTTCCTGGTGTTTTATTGAATCCAATGGCAATAAAGATACAGATTGACCAAATGGATTCCCTGTGATAGATCAATAGCTGACAGCCTGTGCATCCCAATGTGCATCTCAGCCCGCCAACTGGCGTGTCGGAGAGCTCCGATGCTGCATGTGGTTGGCTGGCAGCCCCGCTGGCCCGGTCAGATGACAAGCACTGTGTCATCCCTATCTCGACTGTGCTTCTCCTTTCTCGCTCTCTCCTTGCATAGCTGTTTTCTTTTATTCTTCAATCTGTTTCGTTCTCACTCATTAATTGATTGTCTTTATAAATACCTTGTCGATCCTCCCTCGTTCGTTGTTGTGCCATTGACTCCCTCACCGCCGATCCCAAAGGACAGCTTCCAGCTTTAGCTTCCCCTCACGATGACTACCCGCTACCGCGTTGAATGTAAGTCGAATTGCCTGGTCAATCCAATTGAGTCATTTATCTAATCCTTCAGATGCTCTCAAGGTAGGCAGTCATCTCTGCTGCCAGTCCATGCTAACTCCTGCAGTCTCACCGTCGAGACCAATTGGTAATTCCCTATTCCCTCAGTAGCTGTTGACTTAGCTAACAAGTTCCCAGATTGAATGGATTAAAGTATGGCACCTCACCAACCAGCACTATATACTACATACTAAACAATGTAGGGCCTCCTGGCCGTCCCCTTTGTGCTGCACTCGCAGCCCACCGCCGTCTACCAGGAACACAGTGAGAACCTGATCGCCGTAGCGGCCGACACGCACCAGCGCTATGCGGAGATCTTCCGCGACGTGGAGATGCTCATCCGCGACCACAGTAGCTCTCCCTCGGCCTCTCCCATTCTTTCTTTATAATTAGACACACATGAACTGACAAACACAGTAACCCACCAACAAGACGACGCCCCCGGTAAATCCAAACTCAAACTCCTTGTCCCCACCGTAGGCACCTTCTTCACCCCCTTATACCTCGTCGACGCCTTCCGCCGGCAAGACGCCCAACGCTTCATCAGCCGACGACGCTTCGTGGCCCCTTCTTTCAACGACATCCGGCTCATTCTCAACTCGGCCCAACTCATCGGTCTGGCCCGCACCACCGGCGTCGACCTCGTCACCTTCGATGGAGACGTCACTCTGTACGACGACGGCGCATGTCTCACGGACGACAACCCCGTGATTCTACGCATCATGCGCCTCCTCCTGCAGGGACGGAAAGTCGGCATCGTGACGGCAGCGGGCTACACCGACGCCGCGAAGTACTACGAGCGACTCAAGGGACTGCTCGATGCGATGTACGAGTCCGCAGAGATGACGGATGCTCAGCGCGCCGGGCTGGTCGTCATGGGCGGAGAGAGTAATTTCCTCTTCCGGTATGATCATGCCTCGCCGTCGAGGTTGAGCTATGTCCCTCGTGAGGAGTGGTTATTGGAGGAGATGAAGACGTGGCAGGAGGGGGATATCACGCGGCTGTTGGATATCGCCGAGTCATCGTTGCGCGCGTGTGCGAGTAATCTGAATCTGCCGGTCGCGGTGCTGCGCAAGGATCGCGCGGTCGGAGTGTATCCCACGGAGAGAGGGAGGATTAGTCGCGAGCAGCTGGAGGAGACGGTGTTGGTGGTGCAGAATACGGTCGAGCGGTCGGAGGTGGGAGCCAGATTGCCGTTTTGCGCCTTTAACGGTATTCCTTTTCCTCCTCTCATTTTGGTACCACTGTGAATCATGCTGATGGCTAATCAGGTGGCAATGATGTCTTCGTGGACATCGGCGACAAGTCGTGGGGTGTGCGCGCGTGTCAGCGCTACTTTGGAGGGATTGAACCGGCGCGGACGCTGCATGTCGGCGATCAGTTTTTGTCGGCGGGAGCGAATGATTTCAAGGTTTGCTAATACTCTAAAAGGACAAATATGGCGAGATGCTAATAATGATAGGCGCGACTGGCATCGACGACAGCGTGGATTGCAAGTCCAGCCGAGACAGTGCAGCTACTGGACGAGCTGCAGGGGATATAACCAGGTTATTAAGTAACTAATTACTTGTGATGAAGGATCCATTCAAGTGAAAGTAAGAAAATAGTTAACTCCGTCTGCAGCACATCGATAGTAGTGCAGATCGGCACTGCGCTTATCAAGCAGCGGGAATGTCTGACAAACTCACTGAGCAAAGTATAAGACTGTCAAGAATCCACTAGCGATAGCACTAGTCTAATTAATCTACACCTACTTTATCTACTTTAATCCTACTTAACTTCCATCCCTTCCATAACAAACAACCACTCACCATCTACCCACCATGACCACCGACAAAACAATAACAATCCCCATAATCGGCGCCTCCTTCGCCGGTCTCACCACCGCCCACTCCCTCCTCTCCCACTTCACCACCAACAAATCCAAAGGCATCAAAATAAAAATCCTCCTCATCAACCCCACCCCCAACTTCTACTGGGCCATCGCCGCCCCGCGCATCCTCGCCAAGCCAACTGCCTTCTCCGAATCACAGTACCTCATCCCGATCGCCGACGGGTTCACAAAATACTCCCCCGAGGTATTCGAATTCATCCTAGGAAGAGCTACGTCTCTCGACTTCGAGAACAAACTCCTCCAGGTCGAGGAATCCACCACCAACAACACCAACAAGGCCCTGAGAGAAATCAAATACGACTACCTCGTCATCGCATCAGGAAGCACCCCCTCCGCATCATCCTCATCACCACTATTCCCCGGTGAAACCGAAACCGAAAACAAAGATGCAGATAGGAAAGAAGTGATCTACCCCTTCAAACTCTCCCCGACCTCCACATCCACAATAACAGAGACAATCCAATCCGCGCAACACACCATCTCCACCTCCAAAAAGATCACCATCATTGGCGCCGGCCCCATCGGGGTAGAACTCGCCGGTGAACTTGCCGACCTCACCTCTTCTGCTTCTTCCAAAGAGAAGAAGGATATCACTTTGATTTCCTCAACGCCGCGCATTCTCCCCGTCTTGAAAGAATCCGCGAGCGGGACGGCGACGTCTCTTCTCACGAGTAAAGGCGTGCGAGTTCTGACCAATACCAAGGTTATTTCTGTCTCGGCTTCTAAGGAAGGTGGAGGTGGGTATGAGCTTAAGTTCGAGAATGGGGAGACGATGGATACGGATATTTATATCCCTACGATCGGAGTCCTGCCTAATAGTTCTTACATCCCCGGGGAGGTGTTGGATGAGAAGGGCTGGGTGAGGGTGGATTCGGAGTTGAAAGTGGTGGGGGTGGATGGGGTGTATGCGGCGGGGGATGTTACGGATTGTAAGCAGAAGTTGTCGTTCAAGGCGGATGAGATGGCGGGGGTGGTAGTGGGGAATTTGGTGAATGATATTGATAATAGTGCTGGGAAGGGGGGGATAGGGTGGTGGAGGGGGTGCAGTGGTGGGAGGAAGACGTATGATGAAGGGACGGAGGTGATGATGGTGGTGCCGGTGGGAAGTTCTGGGGGAACGGGACAGGCGTTTGGGTTGGTGTTGTTTAGTTTCATGGTGTGGTTGGCGAAGGGGAGGGATTATTTTATTTGGAAGGCTAGGGGGTATGTATTTAAATAAACAGCTTTAGATTACTTTTTACTGGCACCCATCGTTTGAATGTGACTCTGTACTGTAGTTGAATTCGGTATTGCTCATGACCTTTCATCATCATAGCCTGACTCTAGTCTAGGCGTTTATCGCTGCTTTTTGCTTAAGCATTCTCATAGCAACTCCACGTCGCGTTGTTCACGCTCGCCCGTCCCGACAGAATGTTCACCGTGTCCTGCAGCTCCAGCCAGAACTCCGTCTTGGGTCGACGGCGCGCCCAGTCCGTCTCGGTCGCCTCCAGGCCGGTCTCTCCACCCATCGGCGAGAACAACACCTGCGAGCCCTTGATACCAATGACCGACGCAGACAGCTCATCGGCCGCAATCTCATCCGCCGACTTGCCCGCATAGCTCTCCAGGTGCAGCATACACTTGGTGGCCATCCGCAACGCCCGGATACGGTCCATCGGCGACGGCTTGCCACCCTGCTGGAAGTGTCCCGGCACCGCCGCACGACTCTCGAAACGTCCCTTGGCTTCCTCCTTGATCATGTCGGCCACCACCTGTGTCGTGTACGTGCTGGACGCGCACTCGTTACGCAGGATGATCTTACCGGCGCGGTTCGCTCCCTTGTCGCGCGCAAAGTTGTCACGCAGGAAGTCAATGTCGCGGGCCAGCATCTTAATGTCGATGCCCTCCTCGGGAATGTACACGGCTACCGCGCCCACCGACAGACCAGCCGTCGTGGCGATGTAACCCGACTTGCCACCCTGCGTCTCGATGACGAACACACGGCGACGAGAGGACGAGGCCGACTGGCGGATGGCGTCGCAGAAGTCGATCAAGGTGTTAAGGCAGGTGTCGCTACCCAGAGAGTATTCTGTGCCCGGCACGTTGTTGGAAATGGTCGCCGGCAGCACGGTCATGGGAATCTTGAATTCGGGGTACTTCTCGCGCGCCTGGCGAAGCTGGCTGACGGCGGTGAACGCCTCAAATCCACCCACGACGAACAACGCATCGAATCCGAACTTCTTGAAGCTCTTCGCCGTGGTCGCGAGGTCATCGCCGGGCAGACCACGGTTGGTACCGATATCCGAACCACCCTCGTTGACCCAGGCGTCCGATTCCTGCCATGCCACCTCGCGCACAGAGCAGATCGGGGTGTCATCATAGTGCCGGCACAGACCGGGGAAACCGTTGTGAATGGCCAGGGGGGTGTGGCCACGAGTCAGGCAGTAGGCAACGGCCGCGCGGGTAGCCTGGTTCATACCACCAGCGGGGGCGCCAACGTGAATAATACCGATGCGCATTCTCTGCCTTTTGTTAGCTCAGCACCGAAGCAGCTACTGTGGCGACAAACCTTGTTCTCTGGGAGGAGCAGCTTCGGGTGGTCGGGCGTGGAAGTGTTGATGTAGGAAAAGTGGTACTCTTTGAATTCCGAGTCGCGGAGGGCCATGGCTTCGGCGAACTCCTTGTTCTGAATGTGCTTGGTGACAGTCTTGGTGTGCTGCACGGCGTCCATCAACGGCATGCGCAAGATCTTGTTCTCACGGATGGTGATGACCGGGGACGGGGCTTCGGGCTTCATGTCCAGCACCGCGCGGACAGCCTCGACACCCTGCAGTGTGGACAGCCAGCGGTCGTACGCACAGGCGGCTCCACCTCTCTGAGTGTGACCCAACACAGTCACACGGGTATCCAGGTTCAACCGCTCCGTCAAAATATCCTTGATCTTCGAACTCGAGATCTTGTTGAGATGGCGATCCTGGGCACCCTCGGCCACGATGACGATCGTCCTACGCTTTCCACGCTCCTTTCTGTTCTGCGGGGAGTTAGTGATGCCTCTGAGTTCTCTCCACCAAGTTCCGATCAACCCACCTTGGTAATGATAGCGCACATGTCATCCTCCCATCCGTCCTTGGGCGGCATCTCGGGCACGAACAGCCAGTCGGCACCGGTACTGATAGCAGACATCAAGGCCAGCCAACCGCAGTGACGACCCATGACCTCAATGACGAATCCACGCTGGTGGGAAAAGGCAGTATCGAAGACGTCGTCGACGGCGTCACAGATGCGAGTGAGGGAGGAGTAGCAACCGATGGTGGCGTCGGTGCCGGACATGTCGTTATCGATCGAACCCACCAAACCGACGATGTTCAGAATCTGGTATGGCTTGACCTGCTCTTCGGTCAACTCGCCCGTCTCGACCAATTCCTTCAACAGACCGGGCCACTCGGAACGAAAAACGTCGGCACCAGTCAAACTGCCATCACCACCACAGACGACAAGGGCGTCAATGCCACGGAGGACCATGTTCTTGGCAGCCCGCAGACGACCGGGGCGCTCACGGAAGGTCATGCAGCGGGCGGAACCGATCAAGGTACCACCACGGGACAACCAGCCGCGAACATCCTCCCAGTGAAGCTGACGGATCATGTCGCCGCCATTGACGAGACCCTCGTAACCTTCGTAGACGGCGAAAGCCTCACAGTCGGAGTGGATAGCCATCCGGACGACGGCCCGGACGACACCGTTCATACCGGGAGCATCGCCACCAGAGGTCAAGACACCGATGCGGCGTCTCTTGGGCGGTTGCACGGGAGCTTGGGGGGGAGCCATCGTGCGATGGTTTTTGTTGGGGGGTGTTCAGCAATTGTTCGGGATGAGCAACAGCTGAACCAGGATTTAGAATAAAAAGATGGAGAAGAAAGAATGGAGTAATGGAGGAGCAGAGGAGAGGAGCACACAGCTTGCGGAGGAAAGGCAGAGATAACTTGTGTTTGAAGGGTGGGGGAGAAGAGCAGCGCAGGTGCCGGTGAGAAAAAGCGGGTGTGGGCAACCAGTACGTCACTGACTCCGGCCGTCACTGCCCCGCTATACAAATACCCTCTCTCGTTGCTGGGAAAAGTACTTTGTACAGAGTAAACAGCCCACCACTGGGGAGATAACTGGTCTGCAGGTGAAAGGGCTAGATGCTCGTCGAATGCTGATCGGCCGGGTGACCTTGCTGCACGCTGCAATGGGCAGATACGACTTGGGTGTTGGCAGGGAATGTCTTCCTCCGCCCATTTCCTCTTGCAGTCCTGAAAGCACCTGATGTCACCGCCTGCACTCAATTAGGACTAGTGCGGGACAGCTCACGTAATTTATGGGTTAGGGCCCGTGCTGCACGTGATAGCTATCTTCACTAGTCCCAATTAGGCAGACACGCCCCTAATCCCTCGCCGCTGATTGAACGTTGCTGCGACAGTGCTACAGTGCTAGTTTGCTCACGAGCACCATATCTAGGTGACAAGTGGTATGATGGATACACTTTCTGTTTCTTTCATCGCATTTGAGAATCCCTGCAAAGGGCTGATTGCCTATTATCCGGACTTTATTCATGCATGATGTTATGCTGAAGGGTCAACTGCCGGACCCCTGTGGTCCACCCCCGATGCCCGGTTTGGCGGTGGAGATATGACAACATAGTCAACTCCTGCTATCCATGTTCTCCCTGTACTGTATGCGTTCATATACGGTTGCTCATCCATCACTTCTGCATTTGAATCCTACGTGGACTGGATGCCGGCTACACACTCGATACAATGGCACTATCACGCCGAGACCGTGGTGCAACACTGGTGATACGATCTGTACACTCAGCAAGTGGCGCGGTTTATCTCTACCCCCCTGCCCAAACAGCACCCGGTGCAACCAAATATAATGAAAGTCTACACTATCACAAGATCAGTGGCACCACCACATACACCAGACACAAAGCCTTGACTACCAGGCAAACACATCCCTGCTAGCTGACACCCGTCCATGACAACCTGCAATCAGTGCTCGGAGAAGACGACATACAATTCAGATAAGTCTACTAACACTTTCACTAATAATGGGACACCCATATTCCCACCCCTTTCTACCTCCCTGTCCCTATTACTACCGTGTGAACGTTGCCTCTCACATCGCATGAACGAGTTCAATTTCCCAGCCCCTTTTATACTCTCTTAACCAAGCATCTCTCAAGAGCTGCCCGGCTAGCTCAATCGGTAGAGCGTGAGACTCTTAATCTCAAGGCTGCGGGTTCGAGCCCCGCGTTGGGCTTTACTTTTTGCTTTTGAAGCCTTCATCTGCTCGCGGTGTGGTTCGTGATGGGGAAGCATACAAATTGTTTTTTCTACAGTGGATCCGAAGCTGTAAGGGATCCACAGGGCCCACCCACGACCCATTGGCCAATCAGAGGAGTCGCTTAGTAGTTACTCTAAAAATATCTGTAGGAAGTGAATTTATTGAGTGCGCAATCAACATTCTTTTAAGATGTGAATCTGCTTATAATGTTTATCTATATACAATGAAAGAAGCTAGTACTAGTAATAGCAGGATCAATCAATCATACTAACTGCAATTGGGAAAACGTGAGATTGTGTTAGTACTATCATACTACTACTGATCATCCTGGCAATGCATTGTGAAATATATATTAAGTATTCAACAGTAGCTCTGTAGGAACTTCATACACTCAAAAACAGCTATCGCATTTTTCAATCTCATTATGTTCCCAATTGTGACTGACTAACTACACTGCATGCCAATCACACTCATTATACCCGGCCTCCTCTCTCGCCAACTTATAAATATCTGCCCCCCTCGGCTCAAACTTATCCCCCCTCGACATCTTCGACGCCAAATACAACCAACAGACCGCATTTCCAACCGTAGTATTCGAGTCAGACAGCTTCCTGAACCCCGCATCTCCTTCCCCCTGACGAACCTCATCAACACTGAAAATCCTCGAAAAACACCGAGCAATCCCCTCCTCATCACCCTTGTCAACCAGGATAGCATTTTCTGATTCATGCACAAAGGGGAACAGCTCGGCTTCCCGAACAGCAATCACCGGCGTCCCCTTTTGAATAGCCGCGAGAAGCATTTCAGGGACCCCGTGCAGCGTGGAGAGCTGGACGAGCGCTCTTGCATTCGTGAGTAGGGCGTTCCACATTTGATCGACGGCTCCGATTGGAATGATGCAGACGGACGTAGATAGGGTCTCACTACTGTCAATTTGGGACATTGCTGCGTCGTAGAAAACGGTACTTTCTGGGGTTCGGAAGGGTCCGCGGTGACAGATCAGGAGCTTGGGGACTTGGCGGCCTGGATGCTCCTTGGTATAGGCATCGCAGAATTTCTGGTATGAGTGGAGAAGACAAAGTGTTCCGTCTCCGGGTCGGAATTGGGATAAGTGGAGGATATATTGCTCTACGTGCAGACAATTTAGTATTGGCCAAGGGGGCAGGTCTGGGGTATTACCCTCTGGATAGCGTATGATGGACATTTGAAGCGTTCGGCATAGCGAGCTGAACTCACGACCGTAGAAGCCCACGTCCCAGTCAGTTAGAGGTTTGTTTTGACCATCGAGTCTACACTGTATCAGCATCCGTGCAAATCATAGAAGGCTAGGGACAGTACTGGTCCACAGAGAATGACATGTAGCCAACATTCTCCTCAGGCATTATGCGCGGCGCAAGTTCCTTAGGGAGCAGCGATACCACCAAATCAACGTGGGTTAGCCGGGTTCGTATAAAGTCCCATGCTCGAGACTGCGGGCTACTAGTCCCACTGAGTGAGACTCCCTGGGGCTGGAGGCTGCTCTCAAATATGACAGGCCGCTCAGGATCTTGCTGCTTAGAAAGAATTGCCAATGTTAGAAGCGGCGCGCTGTCAATGATCACTACGTCCACGCCTCCCTCCGCACGGGGCCTAAGCGGTCCATTCTCGCACAGCCAATACCTCCTGGCGTTGGCGTATGCAAAGTCAAGGATGAGTAGCTCATCGTTGATGGTGATATCCGACAGGGGATCGCCCTGTCCCTCTAGGGTGTCCTGCATCTTCCGGATGAGGGGAATCATCCCCGGACGTGGCTTTGGCACAAACCTGTGGGCACAATGTAAGAATATCGTTTAGATTGACCCCATAGGATGAGAGTCATACCATTTGATACGAACTCCCAGACTCTTGGTGAACCGTGACAAGGCATGTCTGGTCGGAACATCTGGTTTTCCTTGGCAAGTCATACTGAAGAAAGCCACCTTCACCTCCCTTTCCCTCAGATCCTGGGCAAAACATTGAGCCATAGACCATGTAGCAGGGTCAACAGTCTTCTCATAGTCTTTCGCATTAGCAAGGTGTACATGATAGCCTCTGTCGACATCCACCGACCCGTCGAAATTTATATGATTATGTAGCACATGGCCAATGCCAAAAGAACTACACAAGTCAGTATTTAGCCCTCACCATCAAGGGAACACCAACCGAATGCACTTCCGCACCATTGAATCCGCCCGCTCGTCGAGCTCCTTCTTATTCCACCCGGCAAACGTCGCTAGCTCTCCCTGGTCATCATGTCGTCTTTCACGATCCTTATGCTCCAAAACTAAAGGGACTATATCGAGTTCGCTCCATAGGCGCGAGCATAGTGACGGACATCTATAGACAAGGGATTGATGCAAAGCAGCGCTAATTATCTTCTCAGTATTCTTCTCCCTGTAGTCTTTCAGCTCTGCAATTATAGTGTCGGTTGCATAGTCCGACACGTTTGGACGCAGAGCGTGCCAAGTACACACAAGGAAGTCGACCAGATCTGTCAAATTGCGGATAGCAATTGCAACTCTTCCGCTCGAATTGTTGCAGACGAGCTCTGTAATTCCAGCGTATATAACCTAGACGTCAAGTTAGTATCCTGACGGTCTGTTTTAAGATGAACATATCATCACACATTTAGTGGTTTCCCAGACCAGGACTCTGCGTCGAAAGGCGACCTAGCGGAACTCATTTTCGTATGATAATTACCACCCTATTACAGTTAACTTTACCACGACTGATTATACTTGAGATGTCAAATCAACACATTATAGCACTCATATAACCTCTAGTATACGGGCTATTGCCTTCGGGGTTGCTTCCCGTAGAACCCTACAAGGGCTGTTGTTGCCGAACGCCGGGCCTGGAGCGGGGAAGCTTTCGGCGTCCCAGAGAAACAAAAACGCCTCCTCTCGCCCTGACGCAGCAATGACACCCATCAGTATACTGGCATCGTATGATCCAGGAGTATAACATAGCCTGACCTATCGCTTGGAAGGAGCAGCCGTGTAATATCCGGCCAGCGGCGGCTACATCTCGGAAGGGTGGGTGTTGGTTCGGCCGGAGCAGGGCCTCGATTCGATCCTTGCAAGTTTCAACAAATCGCCGATGGCAATGATTGTGTTCTCCTGAGGTGTATACTTGCACGCTGCAAAAGCATTACCAAGATGTCAAGCTAGGGAGTAAATGGCGGGTGTAGCAGTCTGTTAGTTACTCGATTGACCTTAGAACGAGCCAGAACCAAGTATCATCAATCCCGCGGAGATATGAACAGGCATCTTCAGAGCGGCTACTGATAGATTGAATTTCTGGATGAGGCTGGAGGCAAGATGCAGACTGTTACAAACCGGTGTGGCTGCTCTTTCAGTCACTGGCGATCCCCTATATCCTGGGTTGCCTGACATGGCACACAAGCGGACAATCACGTATTTCGCACTCGACTACTGACAATACCCGCTTTTTATGACAGATAAAGCAATTTTGTCATTCACTTTCACATCAGACTAACGGAAATTGCACACACACAAACCAGATGTGGGGCTGACACTAGGGTTTGTCTGTCTGCTCTACATGGGATCTTGCTGGTGCAAGTAGATCATGCCACTTGCGGAATACATTATGCGGATCATACTTCTTCTTCAGCTTCTGTAGCCGAGGCAGGTTAGCACCAAATAGCTTCTCGGCACTAACGTCATGTCCTACGCACATTAGCAAGGGAGTCCTGATATGCACCATTATCAAAGATACTGACCGGCAAGATTGGGATACACCACAGCATGATCATCAGTAATGTCTCGTTGCGCTTCCAAGATTTTGGAGATAATGCTCCGTTGAAGAGCATGCATCTTCGCATCTAGATCAGAGTCATGCCAACATAATATGAGACCAACGTTGTAATAAGGTCCTCGATTGGCACACGCGGTCTCCTTAATAGGAACCTGCACGGCCTTCGTATAAGGCAACAGCTCGAAGACCAATGCGCTGTCTTCCATACGAGGGTACGTATTCATAGCCTCTTTAAACTGACTGTAGAGATTCTGCAAAAGGCTTGTCTCGAGAGGTGGCATGATGTTGGCACCACCGATGCTTTTGCGGCCTTCTGGCACCGGGTCGACATTAGCAATTGAATTCATCTCTATGTACGACTTCATGGCAGCTCGGTTGATCAGCGGGTTCGGATTTAGGATAGGCTCAAAGAATGCTTCGCCGTCGTACGCAGACCCGTCGTAGAAGAGTACGGCCAGCACTACCATGTGCCCTATCTCTCGTGGAGCTGCGAATCCAAAAAAGAAACCACTCTTCGGATCCTGACGTTTATCGAACTCATTTGCAAACGAGACCAGCATTGGCAGCTTATCCACATCGTAGTATACCAACCCTCCGAAGAACCTGTCTCGGACTTTGTGAGCACGGAATACAAACTCGGTAGCAACACCAAAGGCTTGTCCAGCTCCGCGCACCGCCCAGAAAAGATCTTGGTTATCCTCGTCCGAGGCTTCAACAATGCTGCCGTCGGCTAGGACCATCTTGACACTCAGCAACTGGTCTGCAATCAGGCCGTGCTGCCCGGTTAGCCATCCGAAACCACCTCCTAATGCTGACCCGCCTACCCCAGAGTGACTGGCGGTAGCGCCTACCACAGCTAGCCCGTAAGGAGCAGTTGAATGATTGACCATATCCCAGTTAGCGCCTCCCTGAACACACACCGTCTCAGAGGCAGGGTCTGTCAAGACCTTGCACATTCTAGCCATGCTGATTACTACGCCTCCATGCGACGAGGAAGCTCCGGTGGTGGAGTGTCCACCAGCCTCGACAACGAAGTCGATGTGATTCTTCCGGCAGAAGCGTACTACCTCCGCCACCTCTGACGTGCTGGTTACACGTACAACAGCCCCCTATGTTTGGTCAGAATAGTAATTATCAAGGTCAAGAGTGAGTGGTCGCAGTTCACATACAGCTTCTTTTTCGCACGTGTCACTCCATCGGCGAATACTCGTCGCATAATCATCGGAGCCGATACAGACAACCTCCGCTCTGGTTCCTTCCAGCTGCCTCCTCAGTTCCAGCGCACGGGCAAATGACAGGAAAGGCATGGCTGAAATATTGGTTACATGCCCTCGAATGCTTCACCATGCAACTATCATCAAGCCGACAAGGGATTTTGTGGCCCCGGCCGCACGGCAGAGGATGGGAACCAATTTATCTGCGCATCCTATCAAGTGCCAACGGATGATCACCGTTTAGCTGGTAGGTGAGAAGACCTCCAGAGGTGACATGGAAACGTCTCCAAGCTGGCCACTAGGAAGCTCAAAGCTTCTGCAGTAGTGCAACGTATCAGCTACTTGGCACAAATCATACAATTTGACGGCTTCCTTATGCCGCAAACCTGACGTTCCATTAGACGTGGCTGATCCCGCCATGGATGGATCTGCCCAGATCACGAACTGCGCAACTTAAGGTTTCCCCATCCGCGGGTCCTTCCCACACGTGGACAGGGACCTACTAGATAGCTCTCCTAGGTTCACGAGAGGGAAGACGCCTTCCGGCCAATAATGATAGAGGCCATCTTTTGAGCGCACTGACTACGCTGTTTATGCTCCGATTACTCGTGATACTGCTTCCCGTCTCATGACAGTCGGTCCATCGTGATGATATCATGACACTGTGGCTTCCGAACACTCCCAAGTATTGCAATAATTTCCTACATGTACTCATATCGGCTCAGTACGTAGTCCATGCTATGTACCTGTCATTCTCCTGCACATAATTTACTTGTACTTCAAATATCCAATATATATCATCGGACAACGACGACTACGGCTAAGAGGCAATCAATATAATCAAGATGAACCGCGGAAACGGATTGCCGAAGCGGGATCCAAAAACCACCCAGGCCTGGCTCATAGGCAGTGGGATTTCTTCTCTTGCCGGCGCAGTCCACCTCATTCATGACGCGGGTGTCCCTGCAGCAAATATCCACATCCTGGATGTTCACTCTCACGCGGGCGGTGGCATCAAAAGCTGCGGCGACGCAAAGAGCGGCTACGTCTTGTACACTGGCAGTTTGCCTTACTTCCATGATCGCTGTGTAGAGCACCTTCTTTCCCTTGTCCCCAGCGTCGATGATCCCAAACAGTCACTTCTGGACAGCATCAAAGAGCTTGACCGGGCAACTTCTCCCAAAAAGTCGGCGCCAACCCGTCTCATTAAACATGGGGATAAAGGCCCAGAATGCCTCTACTCCAAACATCTCCAAATTGGACCGAAGTATCGAATGGAACTGATCAAGTTGATGCTCGAAAATGAACGTATTCTCGGAGAAAAAGCCATCCAGGATGCTTTCGATGAGGCATTCTTCAAGACTAACTTTTGGACGTTGTGGGCGACTACGTAGGTTCATATCTATGTTTGCCCGCTGTTACAATGCTGATGGTATACAGCTTCGCTCTGCAACCATGGCACAGCCTGGTGGAGTTCAGAAGATGTCTCTGTAAACATCTGGCCGAAATTGAACGCCTGAACGACGTGAAGGCTCTGGATCGAACCAAGTACACAATTTACGAGTCGGTTATCATGCCAATCGAATCATATCTGAAATCGCAGGGAGTCGACTTCCACTTCAATGCAAAGGTTACAAATCTGCAGATCAACCCAAAGGAGGCCCAGACGACCGTGTCCGGGATTATTATCAAAGATAACGGCGAACAAAAGACCATTGAAGTGAGGCCCGAAGACCTTGTCATGGTGACCCTTGGATCAACGACCTCTGCAACCGAGAGGGGCTCCAACGACAAGGCTCCGGCTGCTCCACCCCAGCACAGCAAAGAATTCTTGGATGATGACTGGGCTCTGTGGATCGACCTGATGCAGGCCTCGACGGACTATGGAAACCCGTTCAACTTCCACAACAATGTCGACCAGTCGACCCTGGAGTCCTTCACAGTCACCCTCCGCGACAGCGACTTCATGGAGCGCTACGAAAAGCTGACCAACAACAAACCTGGTACGGGGGCTTTGCTTTCCTTCTCCGACAGCAACTGGGGCCTCAGTATCAGCGTTCCCCGTCAGCCCGTATGCTCTGATCAACCCTCCTCCGTCGATGTATTCTGGGGCTATGGGTTGCATCCCGAGAAGACCGGCAACTTCGTTCACAAGCCCATGTGCCACTGCTCCGGCAAGGAGATCTTGACCGAGGTGCTATCCCAGCTAGGAATGCCAGTGGATGACATGCTCGCTAATTCGATCACGAACCCTGTGCTGATGCCCATGGCCACGGCACCACTGATGCCCCGTCGTCATGACTATCGACCCGAAGTCATTCCTCCCCAGAGCAGGAATCTGGCCTTGGTGGGACAGTATGTGGAGATTCAGGATGATACGACTCTGAGCATGGAGTACAGCGTGCGCGGTGCCCAGATGGCTGTGTTCTCGGCAATGAAGCTTAACAAGCACCCGCCCAAGATTGAACGGCACCTTTTGTTATCTGTTTTTGATTTGCTCGGAGGTGCTTAGTCGATACCTTTCTAATTTTATGTCCTTGATTATATCTTCAATTCACACCTTGGTTAATCCTGCACACTTTGTACCCAAGCAAACCTGATTCATGTCTGTCATTACAGATATCGCTCAATATCCCATGCTGCTACTTAATGTGAGATAACAACAGACTGACCAATCAATACCAATATTAAGACCAACATCTCATTCACAAGAACCCACCCCTTACAAAAAAGACATCACGCTCCCGTGCAAACGAACACCTCCCCACCTTACACCCCTCACACAAATCCCTATTATGCGGCTTGGAATTCCCACTCCCATTATACACCGGCCTCTCCACATCCACATCATACCACCTCTTCATCCGATACGCAATCCTCTCCGCATAGCTCTTCTCATCCAGGAATGGCCGACTAAGCGCATTACATCCCTTGCAGCGCTGATGATACACCCGCGCGTTGTACTCATCCCCTTCGTACAGCCGGATCGTGATGGCGATCTTCTTGCTCGTCCAGCCGCTTGACCCGCAGGAGTTGTTCGGGCAGATGAATCGACCCATGATGTTCGTGTCATATTCTTCTAGGCAAGTGTCGGAGTCGTCGAAGGGGTGGAAGGTTAGAGAGGTGATTGGGAAGGTCGAGGATGAGAGCTGGGTGAGGACATCGGCGTGAAGGGCTGGGTACATGGACCAGCGGTTGCCGGGGAGGGTGGATTTGGATTTGGATTTGTATTTTCGGGAGGGCATAGTTGTGAGGGGTGCTTCTTGTTGTTTTGGTTCTTGTTGTTATTCGTGGTTTGTGGGATGAGGAGGGTTTGGAGAGAGAAAGGTTCAGGTTGAAGGGGACGAGTATCTGGGGTTCTTAAAATCCAGGTCAATTGGAAGTATCGCAAGGCTGGACAGAAGCGGNGTGAACTGAGTTGTCATGAGCAAGGCTGTGATGTGCTCAGGTCGCATATGTGTTCCACCTATAAGGATGTTTGGACGCTGTTATCCCCTGTCGTAGAACCGGCGTCACGGTATGGTTGGTCACATATCATTGGCTGGAGTGATAATTTGTTTTGGTCACTTCTCGAGCATCATGATCTGTAAACGGTATATAATGTGGGAATCTAAATGCGGAAGGCTTTGTTTTCAGCAATATTGGGTGCTATACTGAAGCATCCTGGTGACACTTTATTTTCATCGAGTGGGCTATTGCCCATGTCGCTGTCGCCGGTTATGCTTCCTAAGAAGTGGCCGGGGCCTTGCTTCAACAATGCAGACTAACAGAGCTTGCTCACTCTACTGCAATTTTTAGGGGAACAAGCTTGGTGATGGCGCTTGATAGCAAAGAGAGATGTATATATGTAGTATATCCTAGAATACTATAACCATAACTGTTGCTTCCTGAGGCATTAACTTTGTACCCACTATCCACACCAGTCCACATCCGGACTAGCCCCAGCTCCAGACCAGTCACGTGCCTCCTATCAGCAGTGCAATCAATCCGTCACCATCTCTCCATTAATCAAACAACAATACGCCTTCAACTCAAACTGCCCCCGGCAGAGCGGACCGCAATCATGTCCGACTCATTCAGCCTCCCCCTGCGCCCGCTCACCGAGAAGCCCGACCGCCCCGATACCCTTCCAATCGAGATCGCCCAAATCAACGCCCGATGGGGATCTTTCCGCGACGTGAACGAAGAGACACTGCTCGCCAAGATCGAAGAGGACAAGAACCGGGACCCATGGGAAGAGGAAGATGAGGACGAAAAACTTGCTGAGGATGTGGACTCAACCGAGCGTCTGGAAACATTGTACAAGCGGCGTGCTGAGATCTTGCAGTTCGCTATGTAAGTAGGTGGTCTGCTGGTAGCAATGGTGGGCAATTGCGCTAATTGATTTGTTGCGGGGTGAAGGCAGGCGCATATGGAAGCTTTGTTCGCTTTGGATTTTGTTTCCCTTTTGCTTTCGAAGCATACCCCTCGCCAGGCGGAGACTTCGATGTCGGCGTTCCTGAAACAGGTTGCGCCGCTTGGGTCGTTGAATGCGGAGATCGTCGAGCCGCCGCCGAAGTCGGAGGCCGCTGTGCAGGATGTCAAGACTGTGTCGCGGGGTTGGAGGGCGCAGAACTTCAATGCCGCTGCGAATAAATTGCTCAACTCGGCGACGCGATTGGAAGAAGAGGTCGCTTCGGAGACGAAGTACTGGGATGAAGTATTGGCGGTTAAGGAGAAGGGATGGAAGGTCTGCAGGTTGCCCCGGGAGAGAACTGCGCTGGGAGTACAATATGGGTTCTTGGAAGGTAGGATGGCTACGTGCTTTGCTGGATTGATGCTGACTGTGTTCCTATAGCTACGCCTATATTCCGCGACCGGGGTCTTGCTGCTCTACGGAGGGCTGATAATGGAAGCTTAATACTGGATAAGGGACTGGCACCACAGAAAACGAGGACGGTTCGAGTGCGTGTGAAGCACCGCGGACAACTTACGGGATGCTCTAAAATGCCGGATCCGATCCCCGATGCAGCGTCGGTCGAGCGCAGGATTTTGCAAGCACGCGACACAGTGTACGAGGAAGAGCTATTCCACGAGTTGATGCGCGAAGCGCGTATCATGGGAAGTCATGGTGTGACGACTCGTCAGAACCTGGTCCGACTGCCGATATCCGAAGACCAAGAGATCCTGCTGGATCTGGTAGATGCGGACCGTGAAACGCCCGACGAAGACAAGATCGAGTCAACAGAACACGATGTCCTTGCTAATGGGCTCTCGCACTCAATTCGGATCCTGCTCGCGTATGCACACCGCCAGAACCTGCGACGCAGAACCCAACCGCCGCCCCCGCTCTCCCAGAAACGTCGGCTTACCCCCGAGTATCAGCTCCTGCGCCCTGTCATGGCGTATCTCCAACACAGCTCGCACGTCCGCTGGTTGGAGTCTTTCATGAATGATATATACCGGGTTCTGCGGGCGGCAGGGATCGAGCGTGATTTCCACGCCGTGCCTTTTGCGTCTGTGAGCCTTCCGAAGGTGCAGGCTGTTCCGAAGGTAGAGAGTCTGGTACAACAGTTCCTGATGCCCTTCGAATCGACATTTTCCGGCCATCTGATCACCCCTCAAAGCTCTTTTCGCGTGAAAATCCGCACCAACCCGGTGTCGCCGCCATTTGGCACCCACTACGACATTTCCATTGACCTACCTCACCACCCCGAAGTTCAGCCTCCCGGTCGGGTTGGACTGCAGAATGAAGCAGCTGCAGCTCTCATGCATTTCGTCAAGTTGGACATCGTGTCGGCCATCGCGCTCCAGGGCTCGAAGACGACCAAAAATACCACCAAGAAAGAAGGCGCCGAGGGGACTTTGACGTGGGAGGCGGCATATCCGCACCACGGCGAACTGCTGGCGTTTTCGACTGCTGGCCAAAGCAAGAAGCTGAAAATCAGCCTGTCACGGGAGGAATTGAAAGTGGAAACATTTTCACTTCGGGGACTTGAAGGGTTTGGCCGATCGGGCGGCCCCAAGGCACCAAGTTTGCAGTCTCAGACGTGGACAGCCACTCAGACAGATTCTAAGCCTGGTCTGATGGATTTTGTCGCGGAGGTTTCGCGGGAGCAGTCATAAGCAGCTGCGCCGTCGCGGATGCTGATTGCGTAGATATTTCCCTCGAATCCAATAGGAGCATATGTGGCGAACTGCTGGATAGTGATAGATAGATAGATGGCTTATGTATTGATACCCATGACAAAATATTCCAATGGCTGGCACAAACATGTGAATGGTCCAAGCTTCCAATCAGACTCTCCTCGCCATTCGATGCTCAATATCCTGGATGACCGCCTGACAGATTCGGAGACGCGGGACGGATGAAAGGAATTGCAATGCACTTCACGTGGTGCATTCAGCTATAAGCAAGATGCGCTGTCCAGACTAATATGTGCCAGTGACGCAGCGGCGTGCCAAACAATCCTGTTAGTGATGACGCCGCTGTCTCAAGTGGAGATGCCGATGAGAAGGTCAGTCCCGTCTGCTCTGCTGACCGAGTTGCCCCCGACCGAGGGACTCCCTCATCCCCTACGGTCCCCCATATGAGCCAGTCCAGCAGCTCCCCCGCATTCCGCTCTCACTGCGGCTGGACCATCGACTGCTCCGGCTGAGCTGCAGCGTAGTACATAGTGTATCTCCGAAGAGGACATACGACTAAAGTTCTAGTTAAGCTTCCCACTAGATCTATGCCAAAGAACGTCCATAGAACTGGCTTCCAACTGCCCGGTAGGTTGTTGCCGCTGTGCCTCGACGGACCGAGGCTGGCAGCGAGTCTGGGGCAATGCGACCTTTACTAGTCTGTACCGTTCCGTTTAAGGTTGTCTCTTACCGCTAGTAATCCTGATACAGTAAACAATGCATCCTTTATTCACCCTGTTGGCGATGCTGAATAACCTCAGGTAGCTGTATCACCCATTTTGCATGTGCTTTTATGGCTTCTCTGCTCAAGTGGATCCGAGCATCTATCCATCCTCGCAGAGCTCCTTTACCTCCTCGGCGCTTCCCAACTACCGGGTTCACAATTATTCCGGCATCCACAATCCTCGAGGAAGAGCACTTCAACTCCTTCACGAATGGCCATTACTACCCTGTTAACATTGGGGATGTCTTCGCCTCCAAGTATCAGGTCATTGGGAAACTAGGATACGGATCAATATCGACTGTCTGGCTAGCTCAGGATCTCCAGTCTGTTCTCCCACTGCTTCATATAACCAACATGCGGACTGATGCTAGATGATCAGATCTCATCGCTACGTGACCCTCAAAATTTATACCCGCGATGAATCCCATACTGAAGAGTTCAAAACATATCAGCACATAAGTCAAGCCAACCCATCTCATCCAGGATACGGCTATGTACGAACGGCGCTTGATACTTTCATCATTCCCCGTCCTGGAGGCGACCATCCCTGTCTAGTCCAGCAACCAATGTGGGATAGCTTTACCGATTTGCTGTTTCGCAATCCCCGTCATCGGTTTACGGAGGATCTGCTCAAAGCTGGTTTGATGCAGGTATTTCTTGCTCTAGACTACTTACATACTGAATGCAGGGTGGTCCATACTGGTGCGATTGTCCTTGTGGTGGGAAAGGAGAACAGGTACTGATGCGTCTATGTTGCAGATATAAAGGGCGGTAATATTCTCCAAGAGATTAGGGATAATTCACTCATGGAAGCATTTACTGCCGGTGAGATGGAAAGGCCTTCTTCACGCAAACTCGCTGACGGGGTGCCGGTGTATGCTTCGCGACGGTTCGGGCTACCCATATCATTTGGTCGAGCGGTCCTCAGCGACTTTGGTTCTGCGGTACGCGGAGATGAGAGCAGGGATCATGATGCGCAGCCTGCAGTTTACAGGTCACCGGAGGTCATGTTGCAGGTGGGGTGGAGTTATCTGGTGGATATCTGGAACGTGGGTGTTATGGTATGTCCTATCGTATTCTCGGAAATCTGAGAAAGGTTTCTGATGGGGCAACTAGATCTGGGATCTGTTTGAAGGCAAGCATATGTTCTACGGGGAGGATCCTGATGGAAAAGGATACTCGACACGTGCGCATCTCGCTGAGGTCATTGGTCTTTTGGGGCATCCTCCGTTGGATCTATTGCAACGGGGGAAGCGAAGCCACGAGTTCTTTACTGAAGACGGTATGTTATCTTAGTATCTTAGAAGCGATTGGCATCAGACTGAACAAAACGGGTAGGACAGTGGAAGCAAGACATCGCTATCCCGCATACCGAAGGACTCCAATCGTCAGAGGAATACCTTGAAGGAAGCAACAAGGAGGCATTTTTGAATTTCATGAGAGGGATGCTTCAGTGGCGACCCGAAGATAGAAAGACGGCAGGGCAGCTGCTGCGAGATCCGTGGCTGAATGGAGAGACAGTTTAGTTTATAGAATGTCGACGTAGCTGGATTATCATTGCAGCGCTGGACTACTATGTTCAAGCTGTTCCGTACCCCATGGGGTTTATGTCCGTCCCAAAGTATCAACTGGTAAGGGGTATGATATCTCGTGATGGCTAGAAATTGGGTCAATTCCGTCTCCACCGGCCCAAAGTGAGTTCCTCGGCGATCCGGTTGCCCAGCATTACTCAGATTACCGTTACATACACGGCATCCCCACCAGTCGGCGGACCAACGTGAAAGATCCACCCCAGCCATGACAATACGTGACCATCCAACAGTCGGCTGATCCTGGCTTCCATCCAGCCGAGGTATCTTCCTCTCTCGCTCCGTTCCTTGTCTTTTGACTCGCTCGCTCTCTTATCTCATGTGGCCTTTTTCCTGCTACTTTTTAGCCCACGTTCCTCTGGTCTCTCTCTTCTCTCTACTTAACCATCTCTAACTCTTCTTTCTCCTTCTCATCTTCCCCCCGTCCCTTCACAACCGCGAGGCATGTTCGCGGCTTCGAGCAGAAACCGTCTCTCCACTCTCCCCCGGACCCGTCTCTCCCCCGCCAATTCACTCCTCGCCAGATCCGCTGTGGTAAGTCTACCTCCATACCACCAAAGTCTGTGGGAAATGGCAGCTAATTGTGACTTCTACCGATTAGACACCCATAATGGCACCCCGGCGCAAAGCATCTTCGGTCCCTGAGGGTAAGCGATCACATGCGAATCCGAGGCGAGATCCGCCATTGACACGTTGTGAATGAATAGGCTACAAAGAAGACCTCTCCAAAGGCAACATGCTCAGATTCGAAGACTCCCTCCCCCGTCTGCCGGTCCCCTCTCTGGAAGAAACGGGCCGTCGCTACCTCAAGTCCGTCCACGCGCTGGTCTCCGAGGCCGAATATGAGCGCACCAAGAAGGCCGTGGAGGCCTTTGTCCGCCCGGGTGGTGAGGGTGAGCCCCTTCAGGAAAGGTTACTCGCCCGCGCCGCCGACCCCAAGATTAAGAACTGGCTTCTTGAGTGGTGGAACCACGCCGCGTACCTGGGCTACCGGGACCCTGTCATCCCCTACGTTTCCTACTTCTACTCCTACCGCGACGATCGCGCCCGTCGGGACCCCGCCAAGCGCGCCGCCTCGGTTGCCACTGCCGCCCTGGAGTTCAAGCGCCAGGTCGACGATGGCTCCTTGGAGCCTGAATACATGCGCGGCCAGCCCATGGCTATGAGCACCTACCAGTACATGTTTAACTGCTGCCGTATCCCGGGTGACAGTGTCGACTACCCCCAGAAGTTCCCGGCTCAGGACAACGAACACATTGTGGTCGTGCGCAAGAACCAATTCTTCAAGGTGCCTTTGACCGTCAATGGCAAGCGCCTGAACAACTCCGAGCTGCAGCGCCAGTTTGAGCGCATCTACGAGGTCGCTCAGCCGGCTCCGGCGGTCGGCGTCTTGACCGTCGCTAACCGCGACCTGTGGGCCGACGCACGGAAGAAGCTGCTGGCCGCGCACCCGGCCAATGAGCAGGCATTGCGGGACATCGAATCCAGCGGATTCCTCGTCTGTCTGGACAATGCCACCCCTGTCACCCTGGAGGAGCGTGCTCACCAGTACTGGCACGGTGATGGCACCAACCGCTGGTTCGACAAGCCCCTGCAGTTCATCATCAACGACAATGGTACCGCCGGGTTCATGGGTGAGCACAGCATGATGGACGGCAGCCCCACCCACCGCATGAATGACCACCTGAACAACCTCATCTTCAACCACAAGATCGACCTCTCCGAGAAGCCCGTGCGGTCTGACCTGCCCGACCCTCGTCCCATCACTTTCCACCTGGACGGACCTGTGCTGGAGGCCATCGACGCCGCCAACAAGGAGCACCGCCAGCAGATCTCGTCGCACGAGCTCCGGGTCCAGGCCTACCAGGGCTACGGCAAGGGTCTCATCAAGAAGTTCAAGTGCAGTCCGGATGCGTACGTGCAGATGATCATCCAGCTGGCCTACTTCAAGATGTACGGCAAGAACCGCCCGACCTACGAGTCTGCCTCGACCCGCAAGTTCCAGGAGGGCCGTACAGAGACCATCCGCACGGTATCGGACGAGAGCGTTGCCTTCTGCAAGGCCATCAGTGACCCTGCCGTGCCTCGCGAGGAGGCTGTCCGTCTACTCCGCTCGGCGCTGGCCGCCCACACGAAGTACACGGCGGAAGCCAGCGATGGCCGTGGTGTGGACCGTCACTTGTTCGGTCTGAAGAAGCTGCTGCGTGAGGGAGAGAAGCTGCCTGCTCTGTACGAAGACCCGGCATTCGCCTACAGTAGCTCGTGGTACCTGTCGACCAGCCAGCTGAGCTCGGAGTTCTTCAACGGCTACGGATGGAGTCAGGTGATTGACGATGGATTCGGCATTGCTTATATGATCAACGAGAACAGGTGAGCCCTTTACCAAATTCCCCCCCTATCGTGATGGTTGATCATTGCTGACTGTGATTTAGCTTGAACTTCAACATTGTCTGCAAGCGCCTTGGAGCGGAGCGCATGAGCTATTACCTTAACGAGGCGGCATCTGACATGAGAGACATGCTGATGCCCGACTTGGCTGCCCAGAGCGAGAAGGCCAAGATGTAAGATAGATAGATACCTATATACCAGTGATACACAATTAGATCCTACCACAACAGAGGAGATACCTGTTCTGCATATTTATACATAAATAATAAACTCCGTATCCAAATGCCACATGTCCGGAATCACCTGAAACAAGACAAACCTACCAACAGTGCCGACGCACCCGAACACTAGCGTTTCACCTCCCTATCAACCGCGATAAGAGCATCACCACTACTATTTATATTTCCGCAATAGCCGATGATTGATCCAGATTACCTCGGAAGTATATCCCTAGAATATCGGTATATTAATCCCTCATCTTGCATCCCCTTTATACCTATCTACATAGAATGATGTGTATATGCCTCACTGATCGTACAACAAAGTCTGTGCTTTGATGAATATGGACGAATAGGATGTTCCGGACGCGGAAATTATGCGCTGTAGGGTCATGTGTATAGATCGATCCAGATCATGCAATGGAGCATCTATCTAGCGATGAATGATGGACAGGGGACGGGTATACGGCATGGTTACTCGATAGGAGTATCTCCTTTCCTTTCGAATGGAGAGAAGATATGTAGCATTCTGTATGGGAGGTAGATAAGTATTTAGTTCGTTCCTCATCATCTGTCTTCTACATACTTTGCCTCATCCTTGACACCAATCCACAATCGAAACCAAACTTGACATCTACATACTACTACGTATACACCCACCAACCATGGCCGTCACAGGTACATCCTCCCTCCCTCCCTCCATTCCCCCTCTTCTTACCAACTAACCATCCAACCACCCAACCAGACCTCCACTCCCAACAACCCGAAAAACCCCAAGACCCCTACACGAAAGCCCTCACGCTGAACCACCTCTGGGCCCAAAAAACCACCCTCCAAAACCCCTCCCTATTCCCTACCCTCGCGCGCGCCCAACACCCCCAAATCCTCTGGATAGGATGTTCCGACTCGCGGTGTCCCGAAACAACCCTCCTGGACCTGAAGCCAGGTGACGTCTTCGTGCATCGCAACATCGCCAATGTGGTGAATGCCGCTGATGTGAATTGCGCCGCGGTGGTGGAGTATGCGGTGCTGCATTTGAAGGTGAAGCATGTGGTGGTGTGTGGACATACGTGTTGCGGGGGGGTTGGGGCTGTGTTGGCAGCCCCGAAGGGGGAGAGGGATGGGGAGGATGGGGAGAAAAGTGTGCTGGATGCGTGGTTGAGTTCTTTGAAAAGGGTGAGGGATAGGTATGCGAGTGAGTTGGAGGGGATACATGGGGAGTATGAGAGGGGGGTGAGATTGGTGGAGTTGAATGTGTTGGAGGGGGTGAGGGTGCTTATGGCGATGGGGGTGGTCAGGGAGGCGGTGGAGAAGGGGGAGGTGGAGGTTCATGGGGCTGTTTATAATGTGGGTTGTGGGGTGGTGAGGGAGTTGGAGTTGGAGGTTAAGTTGTAGAATTAAGGTGTTTGGTTTCATTGTTCTGTTGTTGGGTTGTCTGTATACTAGTTACTTTGGTTGGAGATTGTATATTATGGAGTGGTTGGATAGATCATGTCATCGGTTGAAACACTAATGGGAGAGGTGGGACTATGTCTGAGTGTACTATACTCAAATCATTGAGTTAAATGGGTCAGATGATGATAATATGATAAAACCAATCACTGGTGCTTGCAGATGAGGCTGCTTATTATCTGCCACTGATGTGATCAGGCTACTTGCTGACTTGATCCCCTAAAGTCGTGACTAGGATTGAAGAAGAATATATTTCAAACCCGACACAATAATATATGATATATATAAAACACGATCAAGTGGAAAGTTTAGGATCAATTTGGCATTGAACCTCCCTCCGGGGTAATTATTGTTGAAGTTGGAGACACCGATAGTAGGCAAAATATAGCAGTTCGTGGTGGTGCCACACCATAAACTTACTAGTACCACTACTAATACGATACAGGCTAATCAACTTCCAGAACAAGCACAAGAAGACTAAAGAACAAGCACGGAACAACCCAAATTGACCACGTTGTGCAAGCTTGATCGTATGATCTGTCACCTTCCCGAGTGATAATAAACGATTGTCTGACTCGCGCATAAATTGAGTCCCCCACTGTAAGCCGTTAAGGCTTGGCGTTGCTTAGCCCAGCAATAAATTAAAATTCTTACTCTGTGGTCCTATCCCACTTATGCTTGCTTGGAGAACTGAAGCTGTAAGCTGTCATTCAATTCTTTTTTCTATATTTCATTTATAGTTTAATAAGATTAAGGAAATTTCTAAAGGAATGTAGTACACAAGATGCCCCCAACTCCGACCAACCGACCAACCGACCAACCAATGCTAATCATATGCCACAATAACCTGCCGACTAACAAGAATATCCGTGTCTCCCGGAGGAGTTCCGCCCGCTAGAATCTGCTTCTGACTGTCCCCGTCGCTCATCTGGCTAGGTCGTCGCGTATGATCGGCCATCGAGGTAGTGGTGATCTGGTTAGTGTGCTTCCCCTGCTCAGCCAGCTCGTAGTTGCGAGAATACATGTTTGCCGGGCCGGTGCGCTGAGAGCTGTAGTACCCCCGAGAGTTGTATTTGTTGTTGGACGATGTCTTGCGGTCGCGGAGGATGCGGAACAGCGGGCGCAGTGTCGCGACGTTGCCGACGATCATTCCCAGGGCGTTTTCGGTGAATCCCCAGATCACCACGTTGGTGACGCTGTAGAGGTAGTTGGATTGGCTGGTTAGGGCGACGGTGTATTTAAGACGGACGCAGGCGGACATGGAGGCGCTGTGGAGGAGGCCATGAGTTAGTTCATGCCATCGGGGCAAGGTATAGGAAAAACGGGTCTTACAAGATACCCAGGCCCATCAGGCCGACAATCGAAATCTTGGTGTTGCGGTTGAGTTGGACGTTCCAGAGCAGAGGTACAGGCCTACTTCAGTCAGTGGTATTCGATAATAGCTGGAAGGAGTCGCACATCAAAGCTGTCACCCAGTCGGTGAGAATATTCACGGCTGTGCAGGCGTAGTAGACATCGGCCAATACGTAGGATGGTTGGCAGTGTCCTCCTTGCTTGAGCAGTTCCGTATTCCAGGCCGCGCTGTAAAGTCAGTATCGGCTGTAACCCTCAGGTAGGTCGGGTATCGTACTCAACAGGAATGCAGTTGATCAGAATAAAGATCAATGCGATGATGTTCATAAGCACAAAGACGACAATCACCACGTATTGCGCATAGAGGTACGCTTTGCGACCCTCGGCTACTCGGATCAACATCCAGCTGATACTGAGCTTGATGGGAATAATGGCGGAGCAGTAACCGACTTCGAAGATGAGGAAAAACTGAAGAGTCAGTATTATGTAGCTGAACATACTCGCACTGTTCCTACCTTCTGTCCTTCTGCTTGGTATTTGACATTTTGTGGCTCTGCCAACCTAGAATCACGAATGCCAATTCCATTGAATGCGCCCCCCAGACATCCAGCTACCAGCACAGCGAATGGCACCTACGACAGTTAGCCACCAGTAAAGCTTCGATAGCCTCTGGACGTACCAATGCAGCCGTCATGATCCAATCCTCCACACTCCATGACTTCCTGGTCACCCTGCAATAAATCCGCAGGCCATAAGTCAACAATGCCAGCGTCGTCAACATAATGACACTGCCCGCCAGTGAAGGCGCTGCACCACCGTAGATGGCCATGGCGTCACGATTGAAAGCAGGGTCGATATCAGCCTTGTGGTGCAGACAAGGACATGGGTGTCAGACATAAATTTGAGGCAACATGGGGGGAAGTGGACATGAGTGGGGAGTTAATACGGTTATGTTAAGTCGCCGCCATCATGGCAGCCCTGATGAAATTCCTGCTAGTACCTGGTCTAATACACATTAGGGATTCGTCGAGCACGCCGAGACAACCATGGCTCGTGGCACGGAGTCGCCATCTGCTCTTCAGTTCGGTAACCGGGAATACGAGACCCCCCCCTTGGCTACTAAACCACTAAACCTTAAGTGATCGCCCATTTGGCTTGACAAACGGAGTCTATCTAACTGTATTCAGGCGTCCCCACAACTGTGCTAACGTCCGAAAGGCTAAAGTCGATGCGCTGACTCGCTGGTGCGAGGCGCAACTTTTCCCGGAAAGTGGATCAGGACTGCCAACAGCATTCGTACCCTCCGGATGACACACCGCTGTCCGTCATGATCTGCTAATCTAGAACTCCTGGAAACGGAGAGGGTCGAACATTCTGCGACCCTCATTTGACCGCAGGAGAGAAACGGGGAAATTGCTGATAGCGATTGTCCTGGAATGGTCTCCGGCGGCTTGGCGGTCTCTAAGCGAGATGTCCACTCCACGTTCATTTGAGCATTTGCTGCTTGGGAATCGTATTTGCCACGGAGGCTAAGAGTTCAGTGGCTCTTACTATTGAATTGGCAACATCAACTGGGATAAAGAAATCCTTCGCAAGTGAAAATAGTAGGGGAGGGTGAAATTGCCGAAAATCGCCGGGAACCCTAAGAGGGAGTCCCCGCAATTGCATGTCTGACGCACTAAACCAAACAAAAAATGGGTCCCTCAGTCGGACGGATGGAATTAATTAGGAAACGACGAGCGCTGCCGGGGAGAAATCATGACTCGTCGGGCAACTGTTAGCTTGCAACACAGTAGGACAGACTCGCAATGGATTCCAACGCCTGTCCCGTCCACACGCCATCAGGGAATTCCGATTTGCCTTCATCCCCACTGCTTGCGACCGAGCGCCAATCAAGGAATTCTAGCCGATTGGGAGAGTAATGGACTGGAAAGCTGCCAAGGAATGTATTCTGGGTCGATGAACCTCGCACACAAACAAATAAATAGACTTCTTACCTCCCCATCCGTCCCAATGGAAGAGTCGGAAAACCCCGACCATGTCGGCTGTCATCTGCGCGGGATTGACAATTGATGTCCTCTCTTTGGCTAATCATCCGAGGGACGAAACTACTTAATTGACTAGTTCTCCTTCGCATCATAGATAGCGATAGCCAGTGGACGACGGCTAATCTCCTGCAGGGGCATCTACTAGTCTATCAGTAGGGCGTTCAGGGGGTGTTGCGTGCCTGGGACGGGAGGAGTCACCACTGGCGGGGGAAACCCGAGACTGCGCGACCCGGACTCGACCCATGGAACGCTTGTCCCAGGGAAATTGCGTGAAGAGCCTTATTTCTCATGTCGTCTGCTGCAGGCTTTCCTGCTGCATGTTGCATGCTGGTATATTTGCTATGTCGCTACTAAGCTTTACGCTTTAATGGCGGGCGCAGAGCACGAGCCAATAAAATGCGTCTGTGGTGAGTCGGTCAGACGTGGATGCTCCCTTTCTCGATCTTAGATAGTCGATTTGTACGGAGTACAGCATCTACATCTGGCCGGGCCGCGGTTATTGATCCGTCGATCGACAGACAGAATAGTATCCTCGAGTCGGGGTCAGATATGGCGTGGATGATCTGAAGCTATATATAGAACATGACGGCTTAAGGGGGTATAGGGGTCACTAAGCACCCGGAATTCTCTTCCCGGAGTCGCCTCCACACACATGAAGGAGATGTTGTCCGAGTCAAAGGGGTATTAAGTATCATGGAACCGCATCTGACAGGCTCTGGATGAGTGGTGGTTGGGTTCGCTGTTGGTGGATGAAATTCATCGTCGCGTTCCACTTTGCAGTAGATGAATGTCCAGCCTGCCGGCAGGGATACTATCACGTGGGATCCCACTATCGATTTAGTCGTGAAAACAGACAAAGGAAATGGGATATGGACAGGGATTAATTGGTGATGGTGTATTTGCCCGATGGCCGCTATTCGCAGCAAATAACGCGACGCGACTCGCGGCCGGATAAGCGTCTCTCAACTGCAATTCCAACTTTGACATCACATCCTCCATCTCGCAAACTGACCCCGAGACTCTTGCAATTGAAGGAGCCAGAATGAGACCTATAGTGGCAGATGTAAACGACAATGATGGTCACATTGAACTCAAGAGAGGCCTGTGTGCCGTTCTGGAGACCATCGAATCCTCTGGGTCCTTCTTAACACAAGACCTTGGGCTGGGTCTAGCCATACCTGGCCTGAATATCGCAGGCCTAGGCAACATTCGACTTCCCATCTCAGCAGACGATGCAAAAGCCATCACCCAGTGTTGCGATCGCAGCCCCTACGGCAAAGGTTCCGAAACTCTGGTGGACGAATCCGTTCGCAAAACATGGCAACTCGACCCTGGCCAGTTTTCGCTTCAAAATCCGCTCTGGCAACAGCAGATGGATGACGTGGTGGACGACGCCGTGACGGGGCTGGGTCTGACTGCCCAATCGGATGAGGTTCAGGCCGAGCTATATAAGCTCCTGATCTACGAGGAAGGCGCATTTTTCCTTCCACACCAGGACACTGAGAAGGCCGATGGCATGTTTGCTACGCTGGTGGTATGTCTTCCTTCGAAGCACGAAGGCGGGACACTCGTTGCTTCCCACCGTGGTTGGAAGATCGCATGGTCAACTGCATCATCCTCTGAATTTAGCTTCTCGTGGGCTGCTTGGTATGCGGATGTTATCCATGAGGTGAGACCCGTCACCTCTGGATATAGAGTGGCTCTGGTGTACAATTTGATTCATCGCCCATTAGTTGGGCTTGGTATTTCCGGTGTTCAAACAGACAAGCTAACTCATCTACTTGAATCCTGGGTCTCCGATTGCAGTGGAAATGGGCAATCTGATCACTCAGCTTGGGATCATCATATCAATGGTGACTGCCCACCAGCACTTGTCTATGTCCTAGAGCACCAGTATACTGTTGTGGAACTTAGCTTTGATCGACTGAAAGGAGTAGATCAAGTTCGTTTTGGAGAACTCCAAAAGGCATGTCAGGGACTTGATTTCGACTTATACCTAGCCAATATTGAGAAGACCAGAATGGGTGGCGTCGATGGACGGTACGGGAACAGTTATTGGAAAGCTCACAATGCGCTAGAGGATGTGCTCGGAGGCAATCAGAAGTTCTTATCAGTGGTGGACGCGTCAGGGTCCGAAGTCGGAAAGCGTTTGCCATTCCACGGGAAATTGCTGATTCAAGAGGATTTCTTCTCGAATCGACTTCCGGATGATGAAAAATACCAAGGCTTTACGGGCAACGAAGCGGCTAAGGCAACCCGTGTTTACCGAGCGACAGTAAGTCTTCATGCCGCTAGTGATTACTTCTACACGTCCTGCTCTGCTTTGGTGTATCTTCGTCCTCACAACTCATAGGGTGCCATAATTGTCCCAAATGTTTTTCGCTCCTCGTTCATACTCCACCGGCTAATATACTCCGCGGATAACATTGCAGACCTCCTAGATGAGTGTCACCAGCTATTCTCAGAACAGCCCGATAATGCTTTGACGAAGCGGAATCTGGTCCGGGCCTGCCAAACGATCCTGAAAAAACACTCTTCGTCGTCTGAAATGAGAGCCAAGGTTATGCAGATAGCCATTGATGTTGATGACGTGATTCTATTCTGCCAAACTCTTGTGTCCCTTGAAGGCACCATGTCTTCTTCCGAGATTACTCAAACTGCGAAAGTCCTGGCGAAACATGGACTTGAAGCTATTCGCTTGGCGTATGTAGACTTATCCCACGTGTATTGTCCACGTTCTGATATTATTGCCTAGGCTGGAACGTGTTTTTCAAGACAAACCGCATGGCCCCTCATTGCCAGAGAGAGTCAGCTGTATTTCTAAACTGTTCCGGGAATATCGTGCAATCTGCCAGGAACGGGGCCGAGCGCCATCGGTGGAAATGTTGAATTGGGAAAGCGCTATTATCAGCAATTATCTGTCCTGCTATTCGAACGACACAGAACCAGATGGCCGCCATCTAGTGGATGTGCTGACGCCGTTGCCCCAGGAGGGCTTATTCGAAAGGTAGACGGAGGCCTGTCGATTGCTGAGTCATTACGCTAACAAAAACAGAATCATACCTTTCCTGGAGACTAAGATTGAGCGCACAGCTTGTCTTGGGAAATTCTTTGTCTCGGTCTATGTCTACTCAAGGCGTGGGAAGTTCGACCAAGATGCGGTTGATGCAATGCTCAAGAATCTTCTACCAAAATTTTTCCGCGGCTTTCGGGTTCAATACAAGCATACCTCTAACTCTGGTCTTGAATTTGCTGCGAACTGCCGCCCCACGAAACATACCACGAGTATCCGCATCGATCCCAAAACGGTAGTCGGGTTGATTAAGTTAGGAGATGTTATGGACGTCGACAACACAGCATTATTTCATGCCCTCACGGAATACACTCTGGACGTCCAAGCAAGAGATATGCCTGATGTTTTTACCGACTTCCTGCTTCCAGTGGCAAACGGTGTTTGCGAGAATGTCATTACGTCTGGAGGCCCTTCCACAAATAGTGAACGACGATTCGTTAAACACATTCTCAACAAATACATAACTGGCTATGTACTTCCTGCTCCTCTCGTGCCACCAGACTGGAAGGGCAGGTCATGTATCCTCTGCCGCTGCTATACCTGTGCTAGCCTAGACACATTCATCGAAGACCCCGCCGTAAGAACAAGAAAGGTTCACATGGGTGGAAATGATATGGAGCACTTTGATCGCTACCTTGACGATTTCTTTTTCACTAAAACAGTCGTCGGACCTGTCGGTATGCAAATGCTGCGAATATGGAAAACGGACGCGATGATGCTCGTTTCCCAGTTGCACGCCTGGAACAAACGAGCTCGTGATGCAAAGGCTCAGTTGGACCAGTTGGATAAGCATAGGTCTTTGAAAGAGATTTTGGGGAATACTTACGACTCCTTGATGAATCACCCGAATCTTACACTTCCTGATGACCACCCTGCAGCTACTTCAACTGCGATCCAGGCTGGTCACCCTATGTCTGGGAGCGTCGTTCCAAGTAAGCGCCGTCAAGAGTGATTTATGCTCCAACCTGTACATACTTCTCTTTGAAAACAGACAGATGTTGGATCTGTTCGCTTGGAAATATAATGTTAAAATATCCGACTTCATATAATCCAGATATTACTCTCTACCGCCAGATAGACGATGAATATATGTCAGCATGCACCGATGAATGTACTAACGCTTCTACATAACAACCTGCGTTGACATCCCTAGCGTAGCGCTACCAAAACGAGTCATAATAAAAATGATACATATCTCGGAAGAGATAGCCAGGCCACATCACCGCGCCACTGCATACTTCATCCACAGCGGATCATTGAGCAGCTTCTCCAAACATCCATCCGCCACCCCAACCAGAACCTCCATCCCGCCCTCCCGCGGATTGGGCAACACCACCTGCAAACCATTTATAACCCCGACATGCGGCGCCCGCACCGACTCGATATGTCCTCCCAGCAACGTTCCCCAATCCAAATTATACAAAGCAAAGTCAACCCACGAAGTCAGTATGCAATTGAACCCAGGCAGGTCAACCAGCGAGGCCGGGAATATCTTCCTAATATCATCGAGCTGCTCGATCAGGGAAATCACATCGTCCGTGTGCTGGTTGCTCACTTGGTGCAGTGCCTGGCGGATCAAGACAGCTAGATTGGCCAACTGGGCGGAAGTGAGCATCTTGTGCACGGGCATCGACACCCCGATGTATTCGAGGAAGCAGCCAAGTGTGTTCGGGTGGACGGGGGGATCAGTTCGTAAGCGGCCGTTCAGGGCGATGTTGAAAAATGATTCCTGATCCTGGTTGACGCTTTCTAGGGTTTCGAGAGGCCACTGGACGGCCATTACTGTCCTCCACAGCAACGCGGACAAGGCATCATTGGTCGAAATCCAGGGCACGTCCCTCGGCTCAGAGGCATTCTTGGGGGATGCTTCCTTCTTCAGCGCGGCCAGAGCCTCCGGAGAGAAATAGAAGACTTGAGCGCGGTGGTTCTTGGCCAGCATCTTCGGCGGCAGGCCTTCGGGAGGCTTGAACGGGAGGACGACGTATTCGGGGTGATCTTCTATTCGGCCTGGATTACGGCCTGAAGAGCGCATGACTTTCTCACGGTCCGCGAAAATAGCTGGTGGGAGTACGACAGGGTCAGTAATTTTCACGCCTTGTGCGCGACGGCATTCCTCTGCCCAAACTCGCATCCATGTCTGGAAGGAGTTGCCGTCGCCGGCCATGTGCAGGATGCACCATGTGAGGATCAATCCACCGCGGATGAAGTTGGCTTGGACGAGAGAGATGGGTAGATGTTCGCCTAGATCTGTCGGCCAGATGTCACGGCGGCACAATGTGTCGGCGTTGAAGGCGGCCACCGGGAAGTGTTGGGTTTTGAGCTCGGCATAGCTTGGGAGTGTGTCCTGCGTTCGGAGGTCTTTTACTAATATAGGCTCTTCTGCATTTGGTCCAAGCATCTGCAGCTTCATTACACTATCCTGTCGGGCGGTCGGGTCGGGGATGGCCTCGCAGGCTAGAATGGGGAGGCGCTGGGCTGCGGCGTTGTAGCCGGCTTTCAGGGCTCTGGACACATCCTCCAGCACGTAGTCTTCGCCTAAGGGGAAGGTGAACACGTATCGCATGTAGCCTCGGGGGCCGATGAGTTCGAGCGGAGTAAATGTTGGCACGTCGGGGGCGATGGAACCCATGTTGACTGTTGGGGTAAAATGGATTGAGGGATTGGCAGCGGGCAAGGCTGATCTGCTCTTCCCTGGGCTTTTTATCTGTCGCTGCAGACAAGCAGTTCGGACTGGACTTTCCCCGCTGGTTTATCTAGGCATACAGCCTAAGGGGAATGGTTCGATTTACATGGTGTACTAGTAGTGTGGGATAAACAGTATTAGCCATGCTCACTGCTACTTCCGCCAAGTTGTCATGATCACGGCTATAACTGTCCATGCCAATATTGCACATTATCCTTGTTCAGTAACAGGCAGCCATCCTCCGGCTTGACACTGCTGCATCTCCTGTTTGTTTAGGGTATCGGTTGAGGCTAAGTGTAAGCGAAGGAATCCGCCCCCGGTCGTGTGCCTCCGGAGACCCACGCCGGCCACTAATTATCGGTGCGTGTGGCTGCTGTCAGCGTTGAGCTAAAGAGACGGTGGCTTGTCTTAATATCCACTTGAAATTGGGGTCATATATGTACCAGCATTGATTGGATTGCCCGTCTGGCCCCCAAGCTTGTCGGCCGATCTTAGGAAACGCCATTCCCGCAGCCAGGATGCTCAGCCGTCCGTAGGGGCCATTCCTGGTCGCCTTTATATCACCCTTTTCTGTTTTAATCAATCTGCTGGTGAGATTTTCTTGTCGCTGCTGTCGCTGTTGTTGTTGCGGTCGGCGGACCACTATGGCCGTGGATCCTGCCATTGTCGCTATATTCGGCGAGCCCCCGGATGATATTGACTTGACGGATAGTAGGGTGCAGCAGGATAATGCTGTAGTCATTTTTATTCTGTGCTTGGCTGTTATTTCGGTTGTGCTACGCTTTGTTGCCCGGCGTGTCTTGCGCAATTCTCTTATGGCCGATGATTGGGTCATTATTCTTGCATTGGTGCGGTGGACTTGTCTTCACATGGAATTTGTTTCGAAGGGTGTCCGCTAATTGTGCTTTATAAATAGGTATTTATCTGCACGACATCCGGCTTGAGTATCTCCGGTAAGGTCTATCAGGCTATTGGGGTCTATTTGTTAGGATTGGAGACTGACGGATACCAGGAGGCTTCTACGGTGCCGGCAAACATGTCTGGGCTATCAGCGTCACCAAGCTGGTAACACTATTCAAGGTCAGCAGCACCCCACATAGCACTGTTGTCCGCGCACTGACATCTCAGATCCTCTACATCTACGTCATGGTATATTCCGCCGTATGCTGCGCCGCCAAAGTCTCGATCCTTTTCTTCTACCGTCGCGTCTTCATGGCCTCCCATGCAGACCTCTCCCTGCGCATCGGCATCTACCTCGGCTTCTTCCTCACCCTCTCCTACCCGATCATCATCTGCGTCACAATGGCCACAGCATGTAAACCCGCCTCATACTTCTGGAACCAGTTTGGCGGTGCAAGCGGCACCTGCATTGACACCGATACCTTCTTCTTAGCGCTGGGGATCATCAACATGCTCAACGACATCGTGGTTTTGTTGATTCCATTCCCCCAGATCGCCAAACTGCAGATGAACCGTCGCAAGAAGGTGGCTATTAGCGGTATTTTGGCCGTGGGCAGTTTGTAGGACCCCTTTCCTCTGTTCCCTAATTGCACCAGGACTTATATTGGCTTGTAGTGCCTGCGTCGCCAGTATCGTCCGCATCTACTCCGTCGATCAATTCACTAAACGCACCGACGTCACTTGGACCCTCGGGCCCGTCTTCATCTGGTCCACCATCGAACCGGGCCTCTCCCTCGTCTGCGCCTGCCTGCCTCATCTCGCCCCGTTGGTCCGGTTAGCGCATATCAAGCTCTCCTCGAGCCAGGATAGCAAGCGCAGTCGGCCAACTAACCCGAGTACGCCGTGGCGGTCTCGTAGCGGCAATGCCAACGGGAATGGCACGCCTTCCGCTGGTCGACGCGTGCATAGTGTTCTGTCGACGAAGTATACGTTTGATGGACAGGATGACGAGGAGATCGGCCTGACGAATCATGTTACGACGAGTGCGAGTCTAAGGAAGCCACACTCCATAGAGTCGGTGGAACGGGAGGGAGGAGGTTCGGTTGATCAGTCCATTATGGTGCATTCGAGCTTTGTGCAGTCTGTCTCAAATAAGTAGAGGTTTATAATATTTTTATTCGATATCATACTAGCAAAATCTCTAATATCCGCCTCACTTCATCCCATCAACTACTCATTCATTCCTCGCCAAAATCTCCTCAACACTCTCCACCTTCACCACCTCCTCCGTCTCCATCGCCCTCTTCACAGCATCAACCACCACCAACGCCCTCAATCCCTCGACAGCATCACACCTCGGCGTCTCTCCCCTCTCTAACACACGCACAAAATGCTCCAATTGCAAATCAAACGGCACTCCCTCATCGACCTCAAATTCCTCCACTTGTAATCTCTGATTCCACCCCTTCTCCCCCTCAACCCCATCATAACTCCACCTCTTCAAATCCGGCACGCTCAACGACCCCCGACTTCCCAAAACCCTATAGAGCCCTCCTCCTACACCACCCACTTTAGGAATAATCGGATTCTCACCCGTCCCGGCCTCGAAATTCCACGGCGACGGCGCACAATCACTCACCACGAACGTGCCCACCACCCCGCTAGCAAACCGGAATGTAATCGCCGCGCCTTCTTCCGCGGTGTGATTCTCATTCCCATCTGGACCCCCGCGCTGAGGGAGGGTTTTCTCTGCGTAAACGCGCGTAATAGGACCGAATAGGTAGTGGAGTAGATCCACATCATGAATGAGGTTAATACTCAATACGCCACCTTTAGCCTTATCCCTTCTCCACTCGGTAGCACCGGTGAAGTATGATGCTGGCTTGTATAGAGTCCATAGTCCGGATAGAGCAATAATTGGACCCAGTGACCCGGACTCGAGGATTTCCTTGGTTTTGGTGATGTATGGGTTGAATCTCCGATGGTGGCCGATGAGGATCTTCACATCTGGATACTTTTGCTGCGCTTGGAGCAAGGGAAGCGCAGTGGTGATGGTATCGCTAATGGGTTTCTCGAGTAAGATGTGGATGTTGTGGCTGATGAGTTCGAGAGCCACGGGAACGTGCGTGTGGTTGGGGGTGCAGATTATGGCGGCGTCTGGGTGTGGGATGTTTGGTACAGAAGACAGTAGGGCTGATAATGAGGGGAAGTAGAGCGTGTTGAGGGTTTTAGCCACGGATGACGCACTTGGGGAGGGGTCGACCAAGGCAAGAAGGTTGGTGGAGGGGTTGGTGATAACAGATTGTGCGTGGCGGGGGCCGATGAGGCCGGCGCCGACGATGATGACGTTGAGCATAGTAGTAATTACTTTTGGTTGTGGTTGCTTGGAGGGTGATGGTTGTGTGCCGGTGAGAAGGGTGCTTTTTATATCGGTGAGTCAAGTTGGGATGCAACGGTGGGTCTGGTCTGGTCTGGGGTAAATGCAGTCCCTGACCGGGGCGGTGGATCTGGATGCATAGTATGGTGCATTATGACGGTTGCATAGTAATGCGGTTGTGGCTTTGGGGTGCTAGCAACTTTTGGTAGGAATTATGCCTGGCATTGTGCTGGGTAATTGGGGTGGCGTGGGAGGGCCGGAGAAGCGCTTACCCAGTTACATAATTTGTTTTGCCGGTGGGGTTTGAATAGCTTTGAGGCTGGATACGGGATCCCTTCCGGCGACATTGCCCCCGCTCGGAAACCATTCCGAAGGCTACTATAGCTAGAGGGTCTGGCCTACGATTAGTTTGTTTGGTGGGGTTCACCCCGCTGTTCTACTGGGACTGGGAGATATATTGTCCCGGGAGTGTGGAAGAGATGTGTCAGTGTTTGATTGTTCAACAAGGTGGAAGATGGAATGCTAAGGATTGAATGCGGCATAATGATGGTACAGTGTACGGAAATGTCCTGTTCCGGATACAAAACACAAATCCTCTCTGCTAATGAAACCACATATCAAGTAGAAGTGATAACTGAGGATACAGAGGCGCACTGAATGTTCCCCATTACCATAACAGTATCAGGGTAGTGGACTTGGCAACAAGAATCATCATAAGAAGTGGTGTTTTTACGGGGAAAAGAGAATGTGCAAGTGGGAGCAACAATGCCAAGAGAACGAGGTACTTTATAAGAGATTTGACAGAGAAAACCTCTTCTTGATGGTGGATGGTACCGTTGTTAAGCGTTTCCAGTGCCTTGATGTGTAATCCCATTGATTCTCACAGCTTCCATTTAGGCAACCATCTTCGGTTTGATAAGATGCGTGAACAAGACAACGATCGCTTTATGCTTCCAATAACACTCCCAAACCACTGCCATTCTGGATCCGATGTTGGTCTCCCACCGTTTGCTTGCCAATCGCTCGGCTGGCGTATGCATAGGCACGTAAGGTGATTTTTAACAGAACATCACCAATAGTTTCAATTGCCTTCGACCCAGTGTGCTCCAGGGTCCAAATTAACGCATTTTGAGAAACAAACGCGGTCCTGGGGCCAGTGTACGGTAAATTTGCTGAAAGTATAGCCATCATTCTACTCTGCATATTTGGTCAATGGGACGAGGATCTCGTGACACGTGGTAATATCATCATTAGCGGAGTTGATGGTGAGGTTGGGAGATCATGTGGAAGATTCGGATTGCATCGTGAAAATCTTGTAAACGATGCATTGATATAGTTATTTATTTTGTGCTTCGGCATGTGTAGGTCAAAGACCTTGACTAAAGTATTACTGCCAGTGCTGACGATGAAACGGACGTGGCTAAAGGGGTACCATCTTTTGATCGGTGGTGTCGCGGTATGTCTGTGCGTATGCTTTGTTTGAGCAGATAAATAAAGCCTGGAGTGTATTAGTACAAGAGTGTGGAATGATCCGGAGTAACTGGGGGTATTGCATAACCTGATGGATCTGTCCCCCATTCTGCCAGAATACTTGTCCGGTGTGATCGAATTTAACCTCGGCTACCATCTGCGCATCCTCATGCTTACTGGGTAGGTATTCAAGCTTTCCTTCCTCAAAGCTGCTTAACTTCGACCAATGCTCGTCCTTTCTGGATGATCCGCTTAAGAGGCAGCCATCAGTCCGTATAAATATTATCCATAGTCGACGCCTTCACATCATCCTCCCTAGATGGGCGATCCAACACCGAAATTGGTGGGGCAAGTGGTGCAGTGGCCGAATTGGGCGGCCAGCTCCAGGCGAGCGGTCGGTCCGCATCGGACCATGACGCTTTCGCTGTCTGCCCGGTTGTTTATAAACTGCGGTCAGGATAACGTTACACAGGAGACAGGTCCGGAGGGCTGCTGTAAGAATCGATATACTGGAGGTTTTCCTGAAGAGGGAAGTTTGTAGTTTTCGTCGCGTGCATGAAACAACACCCTCCCATACTTTGTAAGCAAATTGCTTTTGGAGACGCTATGTTATATCGATTTGTAGAGTGTAGACTTTAAAATAAGTTATATAAATAATGAAAATATAGAATGATTGATGTCAGCTGTAACTTGAATGGCAGGAGGAGAAGCCCCTTTATACAGGGTTAGGCGCGTGGGAGGCCTTCACTATGAGCAGGTATAATCCGAATTCCACTATGGCAGTGACTGGAACTTCCACGGGAATGTGTTACAGGAAATTTATCCAGTGCGCTCAGATTATCGAGCGTATATTCACACATACCCATCTTGTGAAGAAGCGGGTCTGATTTACTATGTGAATATCCTTGTCGCCGCATTAACAGAGCAATGGGTTGAGAACAGAGAGAGGGGTGAACGAGAAGGCAGGATCAATTGCCGCCATGAAGGGGCAGTGATTGACATTGAGCCACATGTATCAGTGATAAAGTGCACTTCCTCTTGTTGCTATAGTAGACTAAATCTATATTTATTAACACGTAGCTGCTGTCACTGAGAGGTTCTAAGCAAGGTGCCCAAACGCCGTAAACCAAAGAGGCCTTGACAATAAGATGTTTGCCTCAGGCCGCGGTAGCCGTCGCCAATATTCAATCTCTCCCCCCTGCCTTCCCAGTTCATCATCACCTCTCACAACTCAGTCACCATGTCTGATCAACAGCTTCTTCTTGAGCGACAGGCTCGTCGTCACGCTTTGGCTAAGGTTGAGGAGCACATCAAGCAAACACCTAATATGCATGTCGAACCCAGCGACCTGAAGGCGGCCAGTATCCGCCATTTCCCTTTGTCCCTCGAGGGTACCAAAGACCAGCCGTGGTTCTTCAGGCCGTACGAAGAGGAGCTGCCTCTTCCGGTTGAGGAGGCAGAATTTCTTCAGATTGAGCTGACCCCGGATAACATTATGTGGGATACCCGTGCGTTGGAGCTCTTCCTCTTTGACCACTTCCATGATTGCAGAGGGTTTGCCAAGTGCGAGTATCCCCAAAACCCTCCGTACGGCGTGTACCGAGAGTATGTGGCTTCTCTCTCGAATTTTCATGTATGCTAGCTGGCTTTCTGACTACATCATCCCAGAATTGGGGATGTCAAGTTCGGCCAATTACTGGAATGCGGAAAGTTTAACTGGTATGCTGTATCAGTGACTGATTACCCAGGCGAAAATCTTCCCCACATCAAGGCCATTGTGGAAAATGATGCCATTGGCGATGATAAACTACTCCGTGGAGAAATCATGACAATTACAGACATCATGAAGGCCCGTCTAAGAAGCAACACACTGCGACCGCATATTGTTGCTCCGGTACAGTCTTCCTCCGACAAATCCATCAAAGGCTTCTACTAATCTTACTTTGGTAGATGCTGGTGCTCTCTCTCATGGGTCCACGCCATGCCCGTGTTTTAGAGGCCGATTTCGATGGAGTGATGCTCAACATCCGTGCTTCCGGATTGTACGATTTTACGCGGAAGAACACAGATGCTGTGCAGTTGCTGACGCGGTATTGGCTGGGTGGGGCATGCGGCCAGACCACAAAGAAATCCTAAACTGATACATCTGATTTTGGCATACAGGTTTGGTGTTATATATTTATTGGGAAGGGGCATGGACATGGAGTCACAATGATATGAATTAGCTGATTGATAACTAGCGTCGTTCTGGCAATGACGTCTACATGTACGGGCTAGGTAAATGGGCAAATATCTTGCATGTATTATGCTCCGAATATGGAAACTTGAATGGCAGATGGGTCGAGAGTAGTACTACTAGGAAGCGGTGTTTTTGCTTCACCCAACTAGCCGACTCACTTAACATGATCAATTCGTTCTAGTGATCTCTCTGTCCTGCTGCCCGTCACGTGCTGCTTATGGTTGCCGGATGCGACGATGCGGAGGAGATGGCGATCCGCCGCTCTGATTGGTCAGCATCCGACAGCGAGGACTCGGAAGGACCTGTTGAGCGTCGGCTACTATATATAAATCACTGTATGTATGCCACTGATTCTTGCAGAGTTGATAGATCAGAGATATCTGGTGAAGTGTCAATGGTGTTGTCTCACAACTCGCAATACATCACTTTCTAGAAAGACTGACCGGGCGGCAACACGTGGATGGTACGATCCTGCTCTGATTGGCCCACAGGCGGGATGGCAGGTGCACCGCCACGGCTCCGGCTCGACTTTTCTCTCTCCCTGTCTTTCATCGCATCGTCAGGCTTCATCCATCGCACACCATATCGTCAGGATGCGCTGCGCTTCCCCATTGGGATCCCCGTTGATGTCTCCTCCATCCCAGCTGTGCCCATAATCTTCAATCTGGCCTTCCCCGCCTAGGGAATGGAGCCCGCCCCGCTGCCTGCAATCATGTCCTCTGATTCGACCCCCGACCCCCGTCTGGAGAAGCCCCGGGTTGCAGTGGCCAGCCGGCTCAACTTCTTCACCTCCCAACTGAACACCTCGATCGAGGCCTCCAGTATCGAGGACTTATGTTCCGTGTATAGGCCCTTTGAGCTCCTCCTGGAAACAGGGGCTCACAGTGGCCTATGGTGGCTTGATATTACGGCCCCATCGGAAGAAGACATTGAAGCCCTTGCGCGATTCTTCAACCTCCATCCCCTGACTACGGAGGATATCAAGACCCGTGAAACCAGAGAGAAGATCGAACTTTTCGGTCAGTACTACTTTCTCTCTCTGCGACCGCCGCGTCGGCTCGAGACGGACACTGGAGTGCGTATCGTCTCGCACAACCTGTACGCCGTGGTGTTTCGAGGCGGCGTTCTCAGCTTCAGCTTCGACCCCAGTCTGCACACTAGCCATGTGCGACAGCGTATCAAGGAGCACAGCAGCCATCTGCTGTTGACCAGCGATTGGATTTGCTATGCCCTGATGTAAGCCCCACCACTACTCTAGCTCTGTTACGGCTGTGTTTACTGATGCCTGGCAGCGATGATATCGTTGACGGTTTTGCCCCGTTCATCAGTCGTGTTGAAAATGGTGTTGTAACCGTAGAAGACTCTGTCTCCATCACTCGACCTGACGACATGGGACTCGCCTTGCAGCGCATCTTCAAACTGCGCAAGGAGGTCATGAATATTCGTCAGCCGCTGCACGACAAGATCGATGTCATCCGCTCCTTTGCGCGGCACTGCGATATCTCCGACACCTCGTCGTCGCAAGTTGCCCTGTATCTTAGCGATATCTGCGATCACGTCGTCACCATGATTGCCAACCTCGAGCAGGCCGAGCAGATGCTCTCGCGATTGCAGTCCAAGTACCTCACTCAGGTTCATTTCGACTCCGGACGCATGCGCAATGGTATTGCATCGGCACTTAGCAAGCTAACTGTTCTTGCTTCTATTCTCGTGCCGATGCAGTTCATCACGGGTCTATTTGGAATGAATGTCAGAGTGCCAGGGAAGACACATGATGGGGACAATTCACTCACATGGTGGTTTAGCATTCTAGGTTTCATCCTGGGATTGACTGTTATATTTGCCTGGGTGGCCAAACGAATCGGATTGCTCGATCGGTAACCGATACACTACATTTGTTTGATAGACGTATAGCTTCATCTTACATACTTAATGCCATATACCTAATACTATGTTATTTTCCTTCGCTTAATCCCACTTACTCCTCACGCCCTAACATCCAGCCCAAGCGCCCGCTGGCTATCTCGCACCTGGCCCATCAACACCGCCATATCCTTCTCCATCTCATTCCACTCCCTCTCCACAATCTCTTTGGTCTTCTCACTCCGCGGCACGAACAGCGCCTCAAACGGTTCCGGTGTCGACACAAAAGCTGAATCAAACGCCATATCATCCACCGGGACCGGCTTCCCATCATCCCCCAACGGCGCCTGGATATCAAACGCCCAGAGAATTCTGGCCATCAACAAGAATAATGAATTCCTAGCAATATGCCGCCCGGTGCATATCCGCCGCCCATACCCAAAGAAATTGCGGAACCGACCTTCCTCCTTCTCCGTCGCCTCGAACCACCTCTCCGGCCTGAACTCCAGCGGATCATCCCACGGCTCATCAGTCAGGCACATCGACCAAAACAACGGAATCACCGTCGCTCCCTTGGGAATCCGATATCCCATATAAGTATCCTCCTTCCTCGCAGCATGCGGTATGCCACCCGGAGCCATCGACCTCCACCGCAACGTCTCATCCACAACCGCCTGAATATACACCAGCTTCTCCTGATCCTCAAAGGTCGGCATCCTATCCTCACCCACCACCTCATCCAACTCCTTTCGCGCGACCGCCACAAACCGCGGATCCGACCGCATCGCCAGCACAAAGATCTTCATCACCGTCCACGTCGTCTCAAACCCCGCATCCACCAATATCCCCAAATTATACGCCAAATCCAACCGCGGCATCCCCTCCGCATGCTTCGACGCCGCAAACTCCTTCGACCAATTCCACGGCTCACTATTTAACCCCTTCTCCAGATGTCTCGTATGCACACTCGCCTCTAGTTTAAATAACTTCTCCGCAAGCCTCTTCCACGGCGCCACCACCGCCGGCAGATAATTCAACACCGGAATAGCATCCACAATCCACGTCCCCACCCTCGCCGCGTAGGTAAAATTACCCTGAATGGTCCGCATGTCGCGCAGCTCTTGCCCCTTCGGCGACAGAAGTCGGAACCCGTACGCCAACGCGAACATCAAACTCCCACTATATCTCTCGAAATGCGCGTCGAAGTCATTAGACCGCAGCAGGTCGAACATGAGCTGCTTGCTCTCAAGATCTTGAATCGGATGGTAGGTATTCGACGCGCGGGGACTAAGCAGCGGAGCATCGAGACGCTGGTGGAGTCGTAACCAATCGTCGTATTGACGGATGAGCATGTGCAGGCCCTTGGTGATGTTGTTGGCCATGACGAGGTCAGGGCGGTCGGCGTAGATGCTGCCGCGTTTGTCGAGGAGATCGCGCGCGATGGTGGGTGAGGTTATTAAAATCAGGGTCTGGCGCCCGAATTGGGCGGACATGATAGGGCCATAGGTTTTGCTCCATTGGTCGAAGACGCGCCAAGGGAGGGTCTGAGGGGCTTGGTGCAGGTTGCCGATGAGGGGGAGCCGGCGGGGGCCTGGAGGGAGGTTGCGGTCGCGTTTGTATTCGTAGAGGAGGCGGAGGGTCAGGAGGGCGAGGAGGGTGAGGAGGATGGTGGGCATTGTGTTGGTGTGTATGTATAGGTGCAATTTTGTGGAGGAGTGGAGGAGGGCTGAGCGGGGAGAGGGGGGTGTCCTTATATGTTGGTTCTACTCTTATATACTAGTAGTGTTAATTCCCCCCCCCTCTTTGGCTACACGAGCAGGGATATCCCCTAAAAGCTATTCGACTCGTGAGGAGAGAAACGTCTCCTCAGTTACGGTGGAACGCCTTGCATTAGTTTGGGCTTCGGGCGGGCTGAGGAAAGCCCATTATGACGGTGGGAAAGTCTAATATGGACAGTGGTAGAGGAATATCATCGCCCTAGTTGTTGGATGGCTACTTTGGTGTCACTTAAACGCCCATGCATAGCGTTGTGCCGTCTGATGACCCGCTGAGGTGCATTAGCGCATCCACGGGGCACCTGTCACTCGACGCACGGCCGTTGTGGGATGACGGTCTAGCTGGTGAAGAAATTTAATAGGAATCTGTCATTGGTGGATGTGCGATGTGAGGCCATTCTGCGCGACAGCATTGTCCAAGGCAGGAGTGCAGAACCGATGTATTAATACGTGACTTTAATGATACATTTTAGGAGTTTCGCAGCTCTGAGTAGCCGAGTCTGACACGCACATGCTGATACTCACGCACCATTAGGTACATGAAGCTAGCGCATTCCATGTTCCATCGCAAATATACACCCAAGGAGAATGCAGAGGATCATAATAAGGATAGGGAGGGCTTCTCTTCCACAACGGTTAGAACACGGACGAGACTGATTGTCGAGGCTGGCAACTGCTTTCGTGTATAACCAGTCTTCCTTCCCACCATACTGAGTCGTGTACCACATTCTAAATGAATTCCATGGGTAAGTAAACCAATTCTGGTCCGTTCGTGGGTCTATGTACCACTATGGAAAACTTATTAATAAAGTGGAGTAAGATGTCCGTCAGCAAAAGTGAAACTCACACTTCTGCACATATTTGTGAAGACGGTCTTCCTAAGTGCAGACTTCAACTTCGTGTTAAACCGTTCTTCACTCGCTTGTTTTATCACAACTGAAACTGCATTGTGTTCCATTATTGGTTTAATAATCCGAATTACCAGGTCAACGTGGCTGGAGTGTCAAGATTAGCAATGGTCTATGAGGTAACAGTTGGTGCACAGGCATCATTACCTTTCAATTGAATAGACAGTTGATGTATGGCCCCTGCCAGAGTTGGGTCCGAGAATGTAGAGAAAGTTAGGAAATTCCGCCATGGCCACCGTCTCAAATGCTTGTATGCAGCCGAAACGGTTCCAATGTTCTTGTCGCGTACGCCCATTACGACCTCGCCGGTCGACATCGTACTGCGAGAGAGAGAACCCAGTCGCAAACACCTTCCATAATCCAAGTCAACATCGGCCTCTCGTGAAATTGCATTTTGGGAAGCATACAATCAAATCTGCCGGAAACCTCTTCCCAGATTGCGTTGTTATAGACTGCTCCTCCACTGCCACAACTGGATCATTTGTGATGTCGACATTGGGTCGGTGTAGACATTTCAAGTAACCGTCATTATCAAACACGCGGCGCTAAGTCATGCTTAGCATCCAGTATGTCAAAAATGAATTTACACGCATGAATAACGGTTACCTTGCACCCGATAGAGTATTCTGGGGTAAGGAGAGACCAATACTGCTCTTCTGCAGTTTCAGAGAGTCAGCATATTCCTTAAGGGAAGATTAGGCAATATTCAATAACTTACCTGGCGCACACTTCCTCACATGCTGTCGGGATCTATAAGTCTCCCATCTCCTCATCAGTTTCCCCATCCATGTGAGTTCCCCGAGGAGAATAGAGGTCTCTAGATAAAGAAAGATGAATGCCCGAAATAGCCAGAAGCATACCGGTATGCTTTGAAAGATAGCACTCCAGAGTCCGTTGATCCGGAAGTTTTTGCCGGGCATATAGTGATGCGGGGTCTATAATGCTCCTGAGCATGGATACAAAGCAATGCTCCCCATAAGTTTGGCAGGCATACCCTAATAAACTGATTTATAGAGGCGGCATCATCGGCAATAGCTGGGATAAACTGGGTGGCTGACGCTAGGATCAACATCTAAATGTCAGCATCTAGCGCAGAGAAAGGCAAGGACTCGGGTCACTACCTCCATTTCCAATGACGATGACGTTTTTCCCTGCGACTGCAGTCTCCTGATCCCACAGTGCTGTATGCACTATATTCCCTTGGAATCTTTCTATTCCTTGCAGCATGACATGCTTGGGATTCGTCAGTCCCCCCACAGCCGAGATAAGAATTCGACAACGACGAGTGAACTTCCGACCACTCGGGATCTCCCTCAGTCTCACTTCCCAGCACTGTTCAGAATCCTGCCAGTCTGCCCCCTCCCACTCTGTATGACCAACCAGTTTCAGAGCCACGCTGAACTCGTCTGCAACGCCGTGGATATATTGCAATATCTCTTCTTGCTTCGGGAAGAAGCAGGTGAATTGGGGGTATAGAGCGAAGGAAAAGCTATAGAACGCCGCAGGGATGTCGACTCCGCAACCTAGATCTACTCCATTTATGAGCGAAAAGGTGACTATAAGTCTGCTCAGGTTGTCACAGGCTGAAACTCACACTTGTTAAAGTACCAAGTTCCTCCAAAGCTAGGAGCTCGGTCGTATATGACAAAGTCCTCGCAGCAAAGTTGCTTTTTGAGCTGACAGGCCATGGCCAGACCTGACATACCTGCTCCGATAATGATCACTTGGGTGAAGGTATCGGTCGTCGATGCAGATATCATGTTTGAAAAGGCAAATAAAACTGTGCATAGTTCGATCTGGGTGTGAGGAACCTAAGAACTTGAGCGGGGACATCATGCTTAGAGTAGGTGGTCTTAGGTCACGGGATGAGGCATACACATCTATACCCTACATAGTAAGGCTAGCACATGTTCCACTAGCGAGGTTCTACATCATATTGCGTTTTTCATTCATACCTTGGTTTCTTAAGCATATTGCAGGTAGCTGGATAACGTCTTTGCTGAATGCGTCCCTTACACATGTTTTCATGTGTATTTAAATTAATGGAGGGCGAGCACGTCTGTTCGTTGGCCATTTTTGGATTTCCGGTTAGTCGTCTGCACAAATAAAAGGAGGTCGGAAGAAGAATAGTCATTCCTTCCAGTGATAGACATAGCCGTTTACGATGTAATGCATCAGTTCATGTAGTTTCCTTCTACAGGAGGGCCCTATTGCTCCACAACATTGTGGTGGAGATCAGCAAGGCAAATAGGCTACACGTAAGGCCTGGAGAGTCCCAGTGGTCATGAGATCTAAGTCAAGGTACGCGAATGTTGATGAAAGCGTAAATGTCGTCTCTCCCCTGGTCTTAAGCTCGTGTATGGTGCCCATCATGAAGAAAAAATATTGAGTTTGCGAAGTTGTTTGCATACTATAGCTCCGCCAAGCAGATGCAGCTACAAGGCATGCATGAGTTTAAATATCGCGGTAACATGGTAAAAGACAGAGAAATTTTTTATTCTCGCCTGATTCTGGTGGAGAAGTTCTGATCAAATCCCTGATGACTAGTATAACGAGCATCTAGAGTCCATACCCCCCGTCAACGACTAATCCTGCTCCATAGATAAAGCTGCTCATCGGCGATGCGAGGAATAAGATCGAATCGGTAATTTCTTCCACATCGCCTATTCTTCCTACTGGTGCACTCTCAACTTCTTTCTTAAAGACTCCCGAGTCCACTGCTTTCGATACCATTGGAGTGTCCACAAATCTGTATACGCTTCAGAGATGTGCGAGATCCAGCAAAATCAAAGCTTAACATACCCTGGGCAAACTGCATTTATGCGAATCCCACTGGGAGCGTAGTACTTGGCATCCTATGCCATTAATCAGCTGAGGTGAATCGTATTAGAATTTGATAGTTGCTTCGAACCATTTTCGTGAGCCCCATCACGCCTGTAGATGCTTATAAGCCCTGAACAGAATATTCCTTGGGCCGCGTGAATAAACGTACCATGTTTCGAGGATGTATATGCTGGAAAAGGGATACCCGTAGCTGAGGCAGTAATGCCTAGCGAGGAGCAGACGTTAACAATAACACCCCGGCCATGTCGTGTACCACGGGATCTGTAGAGTATCAGAACACGAGTCTGCAGTCGTAGGCTATTTATCATGTATTACTTCTGAGTGAGCATTTGCTGAATCAGTGCCCTCTGCGACAGCCACACACCCGTCTGGTTAATGTGAACTGTCCGCTGCCAATCCTTCAGGGATAATCGATCTGTAGGCTCTCCCGGATCACCAACTCCAGCGGAGTTAACTCCAATATCCACACGACCGAACGTAGTGGCCGCCTTCTGGACCGCATTGTCAACATGTACTTCGTTAGTCACGTCAACAGCTGATGTTAGCAGTTCCACATTGGGGAACGTCTGTTTCAGCGACTCGGAAACTTTTTGAAGAATTGACAGATTGATGTCGACTAATGCTAGCTTGGATATTCCGTTCTGAATGAATGTTCGAGCCACGCCCGCTCCGATGCCTGTATTCCTTTGCCTCAGCTCCGCGATAAGATTCACGTGGTGCCGTCCTACCCGAGCCTGCCCCTGTGATGAAGGCTGTTCCTTGTAGAAGATGAGCCATGGGGGTACGTTTCCAATACTATTGGACAGATCAATAATTTAAACTTGAAATGGAACAGGAATATTTTGTAAAACACAGGCCTGTTCCTTTCCTCATTGGAATATTGATGCTCTCAGAAATCTCTCCGTAAGAATGTCATTTTAAGGCTTGTAGTGCCCAGGTACACCCCTTATGCAGTATCTCTTCTCTCATGTGTATGATAGAAGTCGGCGCCATTCTTCCTTGCGTCCCTTGCTGCTATTGACCCCCTCGCAACCCCGAAATTCTTAAGTGGGAAAGTGTAAATGCAGGAGACATTATTTAGATCTACATAGTCTTCCGCAAATGTGACGATACATCTAGGAGGACATGGGCGCATGACTCATCTCCATCTCCAGGATTGCACTACTACCTATTTCGTCTACTTGCACGGCGCATGACTCTACAACTAATTTAGTATTGATATGTCTGATCACTTGCACTTGGCTATGCCGAGTTAATGAAGTGAAAATCGAATTAACCCCATTCTCCCAAGAAGGAGATTTGGAGGTTTGCAGTTGCCGATTAGCGGCAATCTGTATAATGAAGTCAATATGGTGAAAACTCTGAGCTTGCTTGCCACAACTACCAATACATTGACGCTTAATATGGACCTCCTAAGCCCTTGGACTAGACGCTGATATACGAATATTGAGCCCATAAATGTGTATCTAAGACCAATATTTTAAACCAACACGAGGTCCCCCTTCTCCCACGGATGCTCTATCTCAATGGAACGAATAAACGACTCATGCTCTTTACTCCTCGGCGTAATAGAGATTGCAAAAGGCTTAGGATGACTGATTACTCCAGGCAGATACTCCACAATGGGCTCGATTTCTCTTCCATCTTCAGAAATTTTGGCAATCCGGAAAGCCTGCAACGACCGGACAACGGTAAGAAATATGGTAGAGTCAGCAAAGCCACGACCGGGACAAATTCTACGGCCGAAACCAAAAGCGAGATTATGTGGATCATGCTCTGCCTGGTAGCTCTCCGTTGTTAAGAACCTCTCAGGATTGAATGTCATCGGATCCGAATAGACTTTGGGGTCGTGCAGAAAGGCCCTGGATCCCCAGATGAGCTAAATAATGAGGCAAGGGTATAGAAAAACAAACGTGAACCAAGTGCATAATAAAGTCAAGAGGTAATGGTCAAAAAGATTTCCACTCGGTATGATATCAGAATTCATCAATCTCAACGCCAAGCAAAAGCACGAGACCTGAGGACCATATGACAAGATACGATTGCCTGATACAGAGATCGGTATTAATCGCCAGGCTAGGTGAGGGGTCAGATAGTTCTCCTGCCCCCTTTCAGGACGATGCAGATCTCACTGCCCTGTTGTAAGGCTCAAGAGAAAAATGTTCTGATGTTTTGGGAGGCATGAAATTCTTCGCTTGAGTGGTGTCTGCTGAGGCCCCGTATGTGTAACACCATATGCAAGTAGGTGTTTTGGTGCAGGGAGAGTCTGAAGGGGAATGGAGATATGCAAAAAATGAAATACACCGAGTGATGTATCGGACAATTTAGAATATCTACCGAAAAAGCAGGGGTGCAGTTCTGGCCAAGAAATCGCTTGAGTTGTATCAATACTGTAATAGAGACGTTCATGAACAATGATATGTTACATCATGTACGTTGGGGCAGAAAGAGAAATGATAGACACAAGGCAAATGTGCTGCATAGATCATGCAAAGAGAGTTTACAACCATTATCGAACCTACTTAAAAGGGACTCGGGCAGCGAGTGTATTTTTCATGTATCGGGGCCTCTGTACGTCCCTTACTCAGCCGCAATTACAAGTAAAATCCGCCATATTTTCAATTTTAACCCAACTATCCCGGACCTCCAGCTCGCCAGTGCTGCAGCCGGATTTTGCGCCTTCATGGTACCCGCGACCTTACTCGCCGCTATGACCTTCCGCGACTACGGCCCGGAGCTGACACAGTAAATAAATGACCTATTCTGGCTCAGTATGCTTCTCCCATGGCCCATATTTTGGGTGCAGTGGTGGACGACTGCCTGGGCTGTTTTCTCTGACAATAGTCCTGACCCCGTCTTTCCAAGGGCCATGGGATGGATTAACCTGATTGTACCCATAGTCTTTGCGTTGGGCTCGGGTATTCATATGCATGTAACTGGGCCCTTTGCTTGGAATGGTGGGCTTGCCTTTTGGCCGACAATTGTGCTTGTAGGGTTGGAGATCAATTGTTCTTGTTGGTATATCATGCAAAACCTTCGACGGAAACGCAACCTATAGCGGTGATTCCAAGAGATGTATCTCTTCTTAACTATTTTTTAGCAATCCTAGTCATTTCAGAGTTTTACGTCACATGGAGGGGTACGTAGGAGGCGATTTCCGCCGTCGCCCATCACCTGCACAAAAAGAAAATATCTTCCAGTGCCTTCGCACGGAATTGATAGTGCTCACGCGTGACTATATATATATATATATTGTTTGTGTATGTGTTTGTTTCAGCGACAGAGGGCTTTTCTTCTCAGAGACCCCCGGGACCTGCAGCTTGATTCTTGTGGCATTTTCAATAGTCTAGCCTGGTCATGATTGAGTAACAATATTCGTATTCGAAGACAAACTGGAGCGTGAAACTTTCAGCTTCTTAAATTACAAGGAAAATCAGAACCAGACCAACTACACCCATCCTGTTATATCTCTAGACCTCTCTCTATTCCTAAGCACTCAAATTGTCATGCTGTTTAGAATAGTATCCAGCATATAGCCCACTGCAACATCGCAGCCCTAATCACGCGGTATATCTGGTGAGGACTCAAGAAGTCCCATGTCAATTTTTCCAGCCATAGTTGGATCAGACATGAGACGTATTCCTCTTGTGTACGAGGCGGGAGAGCCTTGCAAACAAAGGAATCCATGAATGAGGAAGTCAGCCAACGGCGGAGACATAGTACCCATGACGATATTCTGGAACACGCTTTATCGTAGGTTCTGTTCTCTGATACCGTCACATCCAATAGCTGTAGGGATTGAGTTATATCGGATGCAATGACGGGAGAGGATAATGCATCAGCGGGTGACCTTCCAGGTTTTGTCTCCTTCGCCATAGCAGTGCCTGCATTCGGAGAATTGACGATTCTAGAATAAAAGGCAGGATCCATAACCTCAAGTCTCAGCCGCCTAGGATCTTGACCTTCTGCGGAGTACTGTGTAGACCTTAGGCAAATTGTGGTTTTGAATACTGATTTACAAGGTATGTAGGTGACTTCCAAGTCGCCTGGGTAAGAGGCAACTATGTGTTTTAGATATTCTCGAAAGAATCGTTCGAGCATCCTGCTTTGTAGGTTAGCATGTAGATCAAATAGGCTATGTAGCATCTTGAGTGGTGCATCTTTCCTTTCCCCTTTACTCGGACGTCTTGGCTCGCTTCCAGGCCGTACATCCGGGTGCTCCATCATCCTCATGAGATTCATGACGTGAAGCCGAATAGCTTGGAATAGAATTCTCGGTGTTGCCAAAGTAACATTCACAGTCCATATCAAGAGGATACTAAATATTTGGAAAGAGGATGCCTTGCCGGGGTCGATGGGTGGTACCTTGCACCAAAGCCTTGCTATCATTCTAGGGGCACCAGAAGGATCGAAGGTCGTCGTATTTGAGAGAGATCGATTTCCTGACCATGATGAGGGCACTACAGGGTCCAGAAACGTGCTAGAGACTGTTTCTCCAACTTTTTCAAATGGACTGGAGAAAATCTCTTTTTTCCAGGTCGCTTTGTAGGCATATTTCCCATGTTGTGGGATCAGCGAAAATACCCTTTTGTCCTCATCTAAATGTTCCTCTTTGCAGTCCAAGAGTTGCTCAAAACCTTTTTCTGGGCTTTCAGTATATATTCTGGTACGCCGCACCTTGAATAATACGTTTCTCTTCTCATCAAACGAGTTGTTGATCTCCATAATCACCGCGTCCAATTCCTTGCTTTCCGAATATAGATACCACCATGTCACCACGCTCCGTTCCCACCACAGGAACCGCGGTACGCTCAGCATATACGCGTACGGCCATTTGGCAGGGTTCTCGTTCTTAATGCCATGTCAGCCTAATTCACACTACCCTATGCTCAGATGGCCTACCTGTTCTCTGAGAAATTTATTTAGCTTATTCTCTAAGCTGAGGGTATCATCACCACGGTGGAGGTACCGAGCTGAGTCAAAGCTGAACCAGCTGGAAAAGTAGGTTTGTAACAACCTCAGAAGAGAAGATCTCTCAGTACACTCCTCTTCATCTGTATGCTTGGCATCAATAGATAACAGTCGCCCGAATCGACAACTGATTCCTACAGGTATTCCAACAAACAAAACATTGAAGGTGAAATTGTTTTTTATCGGCGACAGGCGAGTGTGGTCAAGCGTGATGGGGAAGAGAAGGGGCTTCCCTATAACGGACTTGTCCTTTGATAAAGATTTAATGTTACGCGGGGTAAACGACACCAGGAAAAGAAAGCCTATCAGGCCGATGGGTGCCAATACTGAACTGATGGCGAAAGTTCTTAGCATGAACTTCAACAGACCGGGCCACCCTCCCAGTTTCAAAATCAGATTAACTGTCAACAATGCCGCGTGGAGCAGTATCCCGTCGACTGATATCGAAGGTAGATTCTTTCGTACTAAGTCATGAAGCATGCTGTCTTGATTCATGGTATGTTGACGAGAATATCAATCGAGACACTTGAGCTACACAGTAAGTATCATGCCTTGTTGTTTTAACTTATATTTCCCTTTTTCAGTGGCCTTTCATTCTGTACACCCAGGCCAATGCTTTATCTGCGTTATGCAGTCCACACCATTTACTCCGCCAAGTTTGGTGCAGGTATTCTGTGCGACACACCTGGAGAACTCTTACATTCTTTTACATAATGCAGCTTACAGGATTAATGATTCAGGTTGCTGTTCTCTTCCTCCTTGCGCAGGAATCCACTGACGTAATAAGAACTTCTTCAGTATCTGCGGGCCCCTCACTTCCTTGGTACTATCTTATTCGTCACTATCAATGTCCCAAAACACTCACACACAGTTATCAAAATTCTGTCTCCAAATACAGTATAGATGTGCAATGATCTTCTCTCCTGAGGAATTCCAGTCATGGTATAGCGCAGCGTCCGGTAACATCAAAACAGGGACAGTCGCTTGTCTGATGATATGAGGAAGGTTAACGTGTGATAATGGTGTGATGACAGCAAAGTAAGCTTAAATTATCAGGTATATGCGTTCTAGAAATGGGGGGCCAGTGGTTCTAGCAGGATCGAGGCTTTACACTGTTGGGACTAACCTTGTCACTGCCGACATGGTGTAAACCCAAAAATTCCGTATGATCTTCTTCAGCCTTCTTTATCACCATACATTTTGCAGTCATGTTGTACTGTAATGTATGTACCTCCTCGTATGATTCCCGAAGAAGAAAATGCGCTCTCGCAACTCTTTTATCTAGATCTCAACGAGGACACTGGCATATGCACTCAACCAGAATAGGCCGGACGCCTTTACAGAATCTCGCATTCTCATGGGTCTCAAAATATTAGCTCGTACCGTAGTTCTCCAGAAGCAGACCTACCTGTATCAACAGCTATGGAGCAAGTAAGGGCTAAGCTGCCACTGCTACCGATCTGTTGGCTTCGGGTCGCCTTTGAAGCCCCGGGCATTCTCTCTGCGTGTCAACTTTCTATTTTAACGCCTATACACGCAACAGCAGTAAGCCTTTCATTTTTGACACAACGAAAACCCCAAGACCACAATGGAATATACATTCAAAGTATTTTGCGGGTCGTCAGATGGAAAGGTTGTGGAGAAATTGACTACTCGGCGACTCGGAGATAATGATGTCTTCATCGAGACCACCCATTCTGGCCTGTGCGGAACAGACGAGCACTTTCTTCATTGCGACCAAGCTCTTGGACACGAAGGGGTAGGTGTTGTAAAGCACGTTGGTCCCAGCGTAAGTTCCGTAAAAGTTGGGGACAGGGTTGGATTTGGCTTTATCCGTCGTGTTTGTGGGAGATGCGACAACTGTATAAGTGGTATGTCGGTTCCCTTCCACTCCGCCATCAGTACTCTGTTCTATTCAACCTAATGCATACGAATCTTGCAAGGCTGCGACCATCACTGCAGAGAAAAACGAGCATACGGCCAACATGACTTCGATGTTGGATCATTCAGCCACGGCACCGTCTGGGATGCCGATGCCGTCTATCCCATTCCAGAAGGATACGATTCGGCCCATGCAGCACCACTGCTATGCGCCGGCGCTTCTGTCTGGGCTTGCTTGACCAACAATGGAATCCGACCTTCCGACCGTGTTGGTGTCATGGGAATAGGGGGGCTTGGTCATCTCGCGATCAAGCTTGCTAGGGCACTGAGATATAACGTGGTGGCGTTGTCAAGTTCGGAAAAGAAACGCGAGGAAGCGCTAGAATTTGGAGCGTCTGAGTTCTATCGCTTTCCCAATACTCAGACGCCAAATCACATCAAACCCGTCAAACATCTTTTATTGTGCGGGAGCTCTGATGTTGACTATGCCTCGTGGGTATCCCATCTACCCTCTAAACAAAATGCAATAGATCATGCTAATATTTATCGCAGTCTACTGGATTTGGTTGATACAAACGGGACTATATATCATATTTCTGTGACCTTGAAGCCTACTCCTATACCTTTAGTTCCGTTTGGTCAGAAGGGGATACGGATTCAGGGATGCTTCATCACTTCGCGGCGTAATCTGCAAGAGTTGTTGGAGTTTGCTGCCCGGTTTGATATCAAACCGACTATTATGACTTTCCCTCTTACCAGGAACGGCCTTGAAGAGACGATTGAGAAACTGAGAGCGGGTAGGATTAGATACAGGGCAGTTCTGGAATATCAGGCGCCATAGACCCGCACTTTGGCTTGCACTCCATCTAGGAAAAGAAGTATATCCTGCTAAGAGCCTGGGGTCAGAATTTGCCCCATCCATGATACTTCTGGTCAATCATGTTGTTATAGTCTTTGATTATTCCTTGATCACTTGCAAAGTGTTCTTCTCTATTTAAAGCGCACGACAAGCCACCGATATCATGCCTTCATGGAAGTAAGAAGTCTGTCTTACCACAGGTGATCCACATAGACATTTGAGTATGAATATAACCTCGGGAAACCTGTCGCGTCGCTTGCCACAATATTGTTCATCAGTGAAGTCCTTTCTCAAGCTATCCATAGTGTGATTTCTACCAAGAGGTCCGTTGTGAAGCAGGGCAATATTCTACGTAATAATATTAAGAGAATTCTCTGATGTTTTCGCACAAAGACAATAACTGACAATCACATATTAGAGACCATAAGAAGGGACATAGGTAGAATCTGCAAGGCAGAATTACGACACTAGACATTCTTATAACATTGAACCACGACAAAACCCGAACATTTTCATGCTCGATGCTTCAGACAAGGACAAATAATAATGGACGATAGGACGTGTCGGTTTAGTTTCTCCTTCACTTGCCAATAGAAGGTATTGGGGGTTCTTATATCTGGCATATAGAGTGAATATGTCAACCCTCCACTGTGAAGGAAAGCGAATACTTGGGTAGATACTCATAACAATGGATGAAACATCGGCAGGTTGTCACTTAGTATATCACAACTCCGTACCCAGATATGCGGACACCCATCGCCGAAATTCCTGACACATAGGGAATGGAAGATCTGGCGATCCTTCACGAATTACATTCGGGGACAGTCATTTGAAATCATGAACACTTTTCCTCTCTGGGTTAGGCGTCTTGCTACAGCTACTATCAGAAAAGGTTTGAGTTTCTCTTCAATTACCTGTGTAATACGCCGATGGGCACTAGTTATATACATATCATAAGGAATGGTATACAGCAGTGGTATTTTGAGTTTCTACCAATTTGTATGGTTAGCGCTCGTCATATGGTCAGTGTAAGTGCGAGACTAGTAATCAAATACACGCTAGTACACGCGGTCTTGGAGCGCGTCTGGCACTGTCCTTTTACTTCACAGCCTCACACTTAGAGCCCGCCAGCTGGCATTATTAGTACCAAAGATGTAGATTATCGATATATGCAAATAAACATCTTATGTTCTGACTGAATAAATAAGAGTAGAATGTGCTGACAGTTCCTAGACATGTCGAGTAGCCTGGGAAGGTTTGCGAAATCCTAACTTTATTTTATCCAGAGAAAGGGTTATATTAGGTCTAAATCCGATGGAATAGTGAACAGATTAACTTAAATTAACTCGATCGAACAGGCGAGATGGTGAGAGGCAGGCCTAGACCATCGCGGTTCACTCGCACGTCCCCCTCCTGTGCGAGTGGGACCACCCGAATGTGCCGCAACCGAAGACCCCTCCAAGCGCGACGAGTAATGCAAGTGTATTCCAACCTCACCTGTTCCTATCCAATCCCCACAATCATGCCGGCCCTCTCGGTTCTCCCCGCTGACATTCTCTTGCACGTCATCTCCTTTCTCGATCACAGCGGAGATGTCTACTCCTTTTCTCTCCTCAGTCCATCGCTGTTCACGCTCATCCACAGCAATGACCTCGTAAATAAAACCAGATATCGCTGTGTCCGCATCAACTGCACCCCGGACCTGAAAAACGCCTATACCATCCTCCTTGACATCCTGCATGACTGTAACCTCGCCAGTTATGTGCGTCACATCGAGATGGACCTTCCCGTCCGCTCTCCGCTGAACTACAAGCCGCGGGAATATGATCGCCCTGTTGACGCAGGCGACATGCAGCGTCTCCGTGCGGCCGCCACCAGGGCCGGCTTTATCGGTCCGGAACAGGAGAGACTACTCAACATGGCCATGCAGGAGACAGACTACACTAAGGATTGGCAGTATCTCACATACTACAAGTGCGTTCTCTATTACCGTTATTGAAATCACCACCGTATCTAACCCAGCCAGTACCCAAGAGGATGCTTACCACGGCAAATCCACCTTCATCGGCCAAGCCTTGACGGTCCTCCTCATAGCATCCTCTCCCAATTTGACGTCTCTTGCTATCTCCCCTCCCTTTTGGGAGTACACATCTTCCCGATTTAATGACCCTTCCGATAACCACCATTTCGCAGCCAAGATCGAGAAGTACCCACTAGCCAAGTTCCTCAAACATGCCAACTCAAGTCATCTCATCGAAAAGGGCGAAAGAAAGATCCCCTACTTGGCTAATGTTAAGCACTTCCAGATTCTAACAACAGAAGCCTCCAGCTTTCATATTGCGCGGTCCCGTGCTTGCACTCCCCAGGACCTCTGTCTGTGTATTGAGCTGGTGCGTACCCTTCCCAGTATCGAATCGCTGCGGATGCAGGCTATTCAGGGGTTTGGGAACGCCTCTAGTGCTGCGTTGGACGGTTTGCTTCCGCCTTCGTCGACAAATATTTCGCGATTGGATCTGAGGGGGTGCGATTTCAAGTCGGATCTGTTGTGCAAGGTTATCTGTTCGATGAAATGCTTGAAAGAGTTGAGGTACTCAGTTGTACAGGGGGGCTGCTATGCGGGCTTTGCAGAGTTCTTTGATCGGTACAGTTTGATAGAGGCTATCCTGAGACATAGGGCCACGTTGGAAGTGCTCGATTTGGAATTTGACGATCAGCTGTCTCAATTTGTTGCTGTGGAGCGTGAAAGCGGGGTGCAGGATGATGCTGAGGACAAAAGTGTGTTGAAGGAGTTTATATCGCTGAGGAGCTTGAGTCTGGGAGTAAGTTGTCTGTGGTTTCTTGCTACTGGAATGGGTGAGTTGGGAAATATCGTCCTGATGGATCATTTGCCGTTGCAATTGGAGTACCTCCGTATCAGAGGATACGAAAAGGGACATACGAAAACACTGGACAACATGTTAGCTGGGATGGAGAGCGCGAGGGAGGGACACCCTGCTCTGTGCACAGTCCAAGGTGTCAACGAGTATATCCCTGTAGGAAAGTGATTCTGTGACCAGCATAGTTACCAAATAGAATGACAATATGAACATGTACATAATGAAACCCTCATAACCCAGAAGATCCCAACCATTACTCGTAAACCATCCATCCCGTGGATCCAATAACTATCATCGAAAGCATCACCGTCATCATCCCTGCCCCCGCCCGATCCGCCTTCGTGATCTCCAACCTCAGCCCCTCCGGCACCGGCGCCGGCGGGGGTCCTGGCTCTCCACCCGCCGGATTGCCCTGACTCGTGCCGCCTGTGTCCTGCGTGACAGGAGGATCAACCCTACTGATCAACGTCGACTGCATCACCTCCAGCGCCGCCATCTGGATCCCCACATCATCCATTCCATCCCACTTCCGATCCGTCCACTTCAACCCGCACGTCGCCTGGAGTTCACCCCCTGTGCATGTCTCCGCCGCCGCCTTGGCCGACGCCCTCAGCTTCGGCATCACCAGGTCATACGTGAACGGCGCCATTTGCGTTGTCGCGGCCATCCAGCGCGCCAAGTATCCCTTGAAGGAGCGCTGATCGACCTGGCATGTGCTCACAGGTTCACATGCCCGCTCATACATGACATCATCTTGGAAGAAGACGAAGCTGGCGTTGAGAATGCCTTCTGTTCGGGCTTTCCAGACGGGCGATTCAGTCTGTCACCATTAGCCACCTCCCACCAATAATCACAATCAGGGGAGAGAAAAACCCACCAAATTATACATAACCGCCGCCCCCAGCAGATAAACCCCCGTATTATACGTCCACTCAATATAATTCCAATCCCCACACCCACTGCTCACATCCGCCCCATCCCAAAACCGATACGTATCCGTCATGAACCCTACCTCACCCGTCCAGTCCCACACTGTATCCGCCCAGTCCGCATACGTGCTATTCCCTGTATACTTGGCCAGCCTAGCAGCAAGGTTGAAAAAACATCCGTTCGAGATGGTATTCTTATACGTCCAGCCATTGTTGAACGTGAATATCTGCCATCGTAGCCCGCCGTTACAGGTACTCTTGTCCCACCGCGCAGCTTGAGTGTTGAATACGGCTTGCGCCATGGCGAGCCACCCTGGGCTTCCGGAGGATGGAGGCGGGTCTGGGAAGTTTCGCTCTGCGGCGGACATGGCTGCGAAAGCCCAGAAGGATTGGTCGTCGTTGCCCTCGGTGCGGGTTTGATTCGCTGGCATGAAGGAGCCGCTGGGCCCGGCTTGCCAGGTTATGCCTTGTGTCGTTATGTTGTTCCATGTGTCGTCGGAGGTGAGGTACCAGTAGTCGACTAGCGCTGTGAACATGGCGCCGGCTTCCCACCAGTAGTAGGGGTCGGGAAGGTTGCCCGGGTTGTCGCCGGGTTGGTTGCCCGTGTAGTGGGTTAGCATTTGGCGGGCGACGGAGTGGCAGGCTGCTTTGATGGAGTCTATTCAGGTTAATTAGCTAGTTCGTTCGGGTATGTATGTAGGCACTGGGATTGTGCATTGAAAGGTAGGGACAGTACCTGGATCGTCAACATCGTAGTCAATGGCCTGCACGACTACGATGAAGGTATACAAGATGTGCCATATTCGCAGCAACATGGTGATGGTGGTGTTGAATCAGATCTGCTCTGCTCCCTGAGCGGCAGTGAGAGTTGGAAGGGAGAGAAAGAAGATTGAGTTGTGTTGATCGATTATTGTCATCTACGCTACATTCCCATTCCCGCATCGGAATGTGGCATCTCATGCTTCCATAGAAACCGACCCCACTTATCAAATCATCCAGGAACACACCAATGAGATTTAATCTACCAATAAGCTCGAGATTTTTGATGCAGTGTCAGGTCACACTGGATCTGGGGTTGGGTGTCGGGCCAATAGGCATTATGTGGGTGTGGATGAGGGTGGGTGTTGAGGCCGGATCCGGCAACGTCACATTCCTGTGGTGCAACTTGGGCTACTTTGTTATTGTGCTTATTGGCTCCGGGGTTACTGGAGAGAGTATTGTCACATTTGATTCCAATTATCTTGTTACTTTATTGTCTGATTAGTGGTACTTTGGGGTTAGGGGTCTGTGGTAGTGGGGATGAGTTCTCTGGTAGATGATACGAACGGACGACACCTTGCACTTGGCTTGTCGTATTGATAGCTAGTAGCAATGGTAAACCTGGTTTGATCAAGAATCCCACAATACTGTTGGGACCTGCACCGGCAATTCTCTTCAATTGCCGTCTCGCAAACGCATGTCGCCCCTCTCGGCTACTGTATTTCTTTACGTATAGCCATATCGTTCTTCCTCAACAGACCATAACTACTATTCAGTTCACCAAGCGTATTCCAGTTGGTTCTGGTTCGACAATAAGCTACACCTTCTTAAGCAGTCGCGTATCTGTCTTCAAACGTATAAAAGCAGCCAGAATTGACGCTCCCAAAGCCATGAATCCCGCATACAGAATGGCCGGTCTGTACGCTTTGATCCCGGCATCCTCGCCACCCGAGGCATCGAGGATGTAACCTGCAATAGGGGATCCCTAAACACCATTTATTAGTATGCAAACGCTAAGGCATATTCACGGCACTGCACTCACCAAAAGATACCCCCCTGCCCAACTAGTAACAATCATACCCATAGCAACAGACACCCTGGCAGACCCAAACACATTCCCCACAACCGTAGGAATAGTAGAGAAGAACCCACCGTTCGCCATCCCGTTAATGATCACGAACACGACTAGCGGGCCAATAGACGTTGAAACAGGCCAGATTATTAACATGCTCAATGCGCTGAGTAACAGCGAGACGAACAGCGTGTTGAGTCCGCCAATCGTATCGCTGGCAAATCCGCAGGTCAATCTTCCTAGCGCGGAGGAAAAGTTGAATGCTGCCACAACACCAGCGCCTGCAGCTGAGCCTAAGCCCAGGGAGTCGGTGTACAGGGGCAGGAAGAATGGGGGGACGAGTAGTGGGAAGGTCGCGATGGCTCCGGCTGCAAAGAGCAGCAGGAATCGGATGTCACGGAATAAACGCCTGGGGTAGATTTAGCGGATTTTGATCGAATTATATGGTGGGTATTGCTGTGCCTACCACTCTACGAAAGCAGATGGAGGTATAGGTATCCGCTGCTTCACTAGGAAAGCTGCAGGGAGACCGGTGCCCATCGTGATGAACCCCAGGATGCGGAACGTCCAAGCTGTGCCGACGCGAGACAGCAGGGCATCCAGGATGAAACTGATGGCAGCACCGCCGAGACCACCCGCTGCGTAGACAATACCATTGGCAATGCCGCGCTTTGCCTTGAAGTATTGGGCTGGTGTGATGGAGACCACCATGAAAGAAATACTACTTTATTAGCAAACTACAATAAGTCACGAGTGCTGTGACATACCTCGTTCCGAGCCCCATCACCACACCAGAAGTAACAAAGAGACCGCCAACCTCGTGGACAGCGAATCCACTAAGGATCTCTCCCAACCCAAGTAAGAATATCCCCAGGAGTGCCGACGTTCTGGTGCCTAGTTTGCGGATCACGCGAGCATTGAGAATTCCCAGAAACGAAATGCACGCTGGTGCTAATGAGCCCACAAATGACAGGGTAGATGCAGATGATACTCCGTCCTTGACCAGCGCTGCCTGTAGCACACCCCAGCAGTAGGATGTCCCAATGAACCACCAGGTAATCACTGCACAACCTGCGATAACTATCCACCCTGCTCCTCCTTCAGGGACTTCGGCGTCGGCCAGACGGGAGGCCTCCATGACCTCATCGGTCGGATCTGACACCGGTGCGACGGCATTTTTGGGAGCCCTGGACTCAAGCTCAATCGGGGGACCCTGCTGCCATTCAACGGCAGTGGTGGTAGACGTGGAGGCCATATTGGAGCAACGATGGAGGGATGCAATTCCTACGATTCCTGATAGTTTGTAGAGGTTAAAATAAGCACCAGTAGGGTGAAAACCCTAACTGCGAAGATGAACTGTACAGTGGCTACAATTGAGTGACTCAAAGCTATTCGAATCTTAGATTGAAAACTTAATGATTAGGTTACCTCACTCTTATCCTCCGATCTCGGCTACAATCGGAGTCAGCAGCGAATAAGAGGATCCATGGAAGGCGGCCGACAGCCGGCAAGTGGAGCGGATGTCAATGGCAGGGCGCAGAGGATTTTGTCCGCTTGCAACCTCAACTTTCACATCGATCTAGGTCCTTACTCTGGTGAGCATGTCCGCATACTATCCAGATGGAGCACGCTCACCAGGCGTTCCCTAAATTATGTGATGATATATTATCCCTGCCACCGCTGCATGATGAAGACGCTGTTTCATATCCCGCCACCGTAGACCCCATCTTCTCGCTACCGTCGGAGCTTCCCGATAGCTTCTCTCCTCTTCCATCCCAGCCAGATGCGACATCAGTATCTCCAGATAGCGGCGGGCCTGCCCCCCCTACACGCCCTCCTCAGCGTCTATCCGTGGAGGCCGTGAGAACCCTCAAGTCATGGCTCAACAACCACCCGGAGAACCCATATCCCACGACCCAGGAGAAGGATGAGCTGGCGCAACGCACCAGTCTGACTCGGGCGCAAGTCTCCAACTGGTTTATCAACGCTCGACGGCGTAAGCGCTCCAGCGGGTATATGTCTGCCCGTCAGAGCCCGTCATTCCTATCCCCCATGGAACGCTGGAGGAGCTCGCCACCGGAAAGCGAGGCCGCAGCCACAGATGACATCCTGCGAGCTCTCGCCGATAGCGATATTTCCGCTTTTTCGGACAGCTTGCCATACACCGTACCCCAGTACGCCTGGTCCAGCAACGACTCCAGCGGCTCCTTCGTTCTCGGGGATGCTTCCATCAGCAGCTGTGGACGCAGCCAGTCATCCAGCTCGGAGAAATCGGTCGCCTTATCATCGCATAGGCCGCCACAACGTCCACCAACCCCACTTCATCGTCCGTCATCTCGTCGCCACCGTCGGAAACACATCCGTCATGCAAACCGTCTGCAGTGGACTCGTAGGCCCTACCAGTGTACGTTCTGCGCGGACACGTTCGCAACGAAATACGACTGGCAGCGCCACGAGAAGGCTCTTCACCTTCCCGTCGACCAATGGCGCTGTTCTCCAGAAGGCGGACTCATCATCGACAACAACGGCACACCTGTGTGCGTCTTCTGTCAACAAGCCAACGCAGACGAAGACCATCTCGAAACAGCACACAACTACAGTACCTGTCTCGAGAAACCATCCGAGCAACGCATCTTCACTCGGAAGGACAACCTCCGGCAGCACCTGAAACTAACCCACCGCGTCGACACTTTCCATGCAGCCATGCTCACCTGGCGCGAAAGCCGAGGCCACCGTATCCTCTCCCGCTGCGGGTTCTGCAGCGCAACGTTCCAATCCTGGCAGGAGAGAGTCGACCATGTCGCAGAGCATTTCAAGCACGGTGCCGACATGAAGCAGTGGATGGGCGATTGGGGTTTCGAGCCGGAAGCTCAGCGGCTCGTTGAGAATGCGATACCGCCATATTTGATTGGGCGTGAGGCGCAGACGCCTGATCCGTGGCGGACATCGGATGTGTTTCCGATGCCGCGGGAGGAGGATAAAGAGGACGATGAAATTCCGTTTCGGTGGGATGTGCCGACTGCTTTGGATCGGTATTTTGATGTGCACCGCGATCTGTTGGCGTTTATTCGCGAACAGATGTCAAATGGATGCAGGCCGTCGGATCAGATGATTCAGGATCGTGCGAGGCTGTTCGCGTATGAGAGTGATGATCCGTGGAATCAGACATATGCGGATGATTTGTGTTGGCTGGAGGCGGTTAAGCAGGAAGCTGGGTTGGTTTAGAGATAGGAGGTTCTGTTTCTAATGACGTCTTGCCACGAAATGCGTTATGCATCTCTGAGTTGTCTGGCCATTGGCTAGTTATGCGTTTGATCTTTGAACTTTGGAGATCTCGGCTGTTTGCTGCATATGGTAGGCCTTGGGTCAATGTTACAGCCTTTGTACACCTTTGACATGATGGATTTTTGGTTGACTCAAACGGGTTACTCACTATTCAGGTGTCCCACACAATTAGGTTTTCAGCCTCCCCTCCATCCACATTTTGGTGGTAGGACCCTCAGATGTCGCGAAAATATTCCTGGCCCGCTTGACAATCCCCAGAGTTATGGGGATAGATTAGGTGATTTTCGTTATCGCCGGGTCCAAGGAGCACTCCTTGGGGGGTTCGGTCTCCGTCGGTCCAGATATAATGGTGCAATGTACTAGCAGGGATGTCCAATGATAAGACCTCGAATCCAGACCACTTGTTATTCTGTGTATATTTTCAGCCTACCTGTGACTATAACAGGCCAATCACTGGCTTATCTATCTGATACGGAAGTCATATATAATCCCGCTTCTTTCTGCGTCAATCGTGTCTATTAATCTCTTGATCTATCTCTTGGAATTACTACCGAATTCAGATGACTATGATAGCAACCTGCGAACAGATCGATGAATCCTGGGGCCCGTGGGCACAGAGCTGCCGCGGTGGCTTTGATTTCACCCTTACCTTTGAGGATACCATCCTGATCATTCTGCCCAGTATCATCTTCATTGTCGCTTCCCTCATTGGCGTGCTTTGCGGAAGGGAGCGGAGGCAGCTCTTACATGCAACACCTTATCTGAGCACCTGCAAACCGGTAGGGGTGCCGAATGTATCCATAATACTGCGGATGACGACAGGCTAACTCACCTTAGCTGGCAGTCAGTCTTTACACTGTGTTACGATTGGCCTCGCTGATATTGTGGTCGAGAACTCCAATTCGAGTCCGCACCAGTATCGCAGCGGAGGTTATATACTTCGTAACAGCGTTTCCCTTAGCGTGGTGGTCGTATCGATTGCACCGCACCGCGGTCGCACCCAGTCTGTTCCTCAGTCTCTTCCTTTCAGTAACAATCATCTTTCAAGCGGTGCGTATCCGTTCTCTCTGGCTTATGCAAAGGGATACTGGCCTAGCTATCGTTGAGACGATCAGTCTCGCCGTCACTGTTGTCTTGGCCAGGGCTGAGGCCCGGACGAAGCCCCATCACTTGCCTACCGCGGCACTGGCAACGCTTTCGAGGGAGCAGCTAAGCGGGCTCTATGGTCGGGGCCTATTCCTCTGGCTAGCGCGTACACTGTGGGATGGTAGGTCTCTCCGTATGCTTATAGTCCATTTAGACTGTGAAGCTGATCTTTCACCTCCGCGTTCTCCCTGAAAGGAAACAAGCGCTCTTTGAAATACAGCGATCTCTTTGGCATGTATGATGCCGCCACGGCGGGCCATTACAATACTCGATTTGGTCAATATTCTCGCTTGAGTCAGGTGCAAGGATCCAAAGCAACTTCTCTGCTACGAGCCCTTTTTCTAACACTACGCATTGAACTGCTGATACCTGCCCTGCCGCGTGGAGTAATGATTGCCGTGACCCTTGTCCAACCTCTGCTACTTCAGCGCATACTAGACTTTGTCCAGGGCGAAGGGTACAGCGAGCGGATGAGTGTGGGTTACGGATTGATTGGGGCATGCGCGTTGCTTTACGGTCTCACATCCATGTTCAACGCATGGTATGCACACGCGTCAAATCGCCTGGCGTTGCAGATCCGCAACGTTCTGGTTGATGCCATCTATAGCAAGTTGCTCCGCTTGCCAATTGCGAAAGCTGACCCAGGCCTTATCACCACCCTGATCAACGTAGATATGGAACATATCATTGAGGGTGCGCGTGTGATTCATGATCTCTGGGCTGCTGTGATCTCCGTCGGTGTAAGCCTGTATATGATTTACTGGAAGTTAGGGCTAGCGTAAGTTCATCATTTAGAAGCATACGGGGTCTTTTTATGCTAAAACTAGTTCAGATTTCTAGGGCCGCTATTAAGTACCGTTGTACTGACCCTATTGAGCACACTCTATGGCGACCCAATTGGCGAGCGGCAGATCAAATGGCTCGCGGCCACGGATAGGCGAGTCCGGTCAACCATGACCCTGTTGTCTCACTACAAGGAAGTAAAGATGTTGGGACTTGCCGCCCAATATATGAAGGAATTGAAGAGACTAAGGATCGTCGAAGTTCACCTGGCACGGTAAGGAGACTGGACTAGACTCATGGATCGTCAGCTAATATTCAGGGCAGTAAATTCCGTCGTGTTTTATCCTTAATTATAACAACGTGTAAGCTCCCCGATGCTGCAGAGCAGGCTTAATGATCCAAGCTAATCTGGTCTATCTTATCGACTGTCCCAGCATCAGCATCTTCTCAGATAGCTCTCGTAGCAGCATACGGCGGGTTTGCTATTGTGTCAAGGACGCGCGACGAAGTGATGACAACTGATACCATGTTCACCTCTTTGGCTCTGCTCCAGATTTCAACAGATCCTCTATTTATGCTGATACAAGAAACCCCATTACTGGTTTCAGCATACAAGTGCATTCAGCGCATCCAGTCCTTTTTAGAAGAACACTCATCTATGCAAGCCAAGGGCACTCTGTCCCTACAAGAAACGGTTGATGCCCATGGAAAGGATATATTTGAGCTCAACTGCAAACCCTTACCAGATGCTTCTGTGTCACTAGATGGAGAAGAGTGTGGCACACTCATTAAATTTCACAATGCGTGTTACTCTGGGGGGAACACCGAGGGAGAGGTTTTGCTATCCGACCTTACGCTCGTCATCCGTCAGGGTAGTGCGGTCATCGTAGCAGGAAGGTCTGTTCCAGTGCACATATTTTCAGTTTATAGACTTTTTGGCTTATGAGATTTAGCATTGGTTCCGGGAAATCCTCTCTGTTGAAAGCAATCCTCGGCGAGCTCTGCTTCGTGTCCGGATACAGCTACGTCCGTCCACATCTACGTATGGCTTATTGTGCTCAAGAGCCCTGGCTTCTTAACGACACTATTCGCAATAACATCCTTGGTGGCCGTGCGATGGATTCTGGATGGTACCAGCAGGTGCTGGAGGCTGTTCACCTGCTTCCCGATCTCGACAGTCTATCAGAGAGGGACAGCACGATCATCGGCCACGGGGGCTCGAGATTGAGCGGCGGCCAGCGTCAAAGAATTGTGAGTGGGATTGTGTCGTATGCTTCCGTCTCATGCTGACTCTGCTTAGTCGCTTGCCCGCGCTCTGTACTCCCGGCCCCAACTGCTTCTGGCTGACGACATACTGAGCGGCCTGGATAAGAAGACGGAACAAGGAATTATCGGAGCTGTCTTCTCCCCATTTGGTCTCCTGAAGCGCCTCGAGTGCACTGTTGTCCTTGCCACTCACTCCGGTATATCCTTCCTCCCCTCTCCTCGCTCCCGACTACCCGATATTCCTGAAGCTAATACCGGGCTCAGATCTGTGCATATCCAAATTTGATGATGTCATTACTATGGACCAAGGCCGTATCCTCTTTCGTGGTTCATCTAAGAAAACTTCCAATATTGAAGAAATGATTGGAAACAGAAACCTGGGGGGTAATGATAACTTTGAGAATTTGAAAACAGCCTCCACTCCTACAGAAAGTATCACCGTGGCTAGCGTGGATTCAGTGGCTCGCAGCCTACCTGATGAGGATGAAAGCGCGGCCACAGCCCCATCAGACTGGTCGATTTATCTTTTCTTCGCCCGCTCAATGAGTGTCACCGGCTTTCTGGTCTTTGTGGCTCTGGCAATGGCAATTGGGGCAGAGCGCTCCTTCGAAAGTAAGATATATACTTCAGTTCTCGAGTCATCCATGGGTACTACAGACCGAGCGCTAACATTCCTCGAGGTGTCTGGTTGCAGGATTGGGCAGAGTCAAAACATCCAGACCACGTGGCTTATTATGTTGGTATCTTCACAGGCTTAGTAGTAGGAGGATTGATCCTCCTCTATATAACTTGCTGGTCCGTCCTCATTACTCTCCGGTCTATATTGGTTACCCGCTTACAACCAGGGTTTCCCAACAGTGTTTTCTTCGAGTTTCTGATGACTTCATCTTCTATTGGCATCTATGGGGATCAGTTGGAAAGTCTGATAAGGTGCTGCTTCCATATCTTGGTGTCTGCGTCAACATCAACTAACTGCGTCTCGCAGGGGCCCAGTCTCCTACGTAATCTCCAAGGGGTCTGATTCCATCGCAAACAGGTATTTGATATCCACAATACCTGAGCTTTCCTAATATGGCTCGAAACAGATTTATTCAAGACATCATGTTGTTGGACAACGACCTCCCCATGGCTTGGTTGAACACCTTCACAGGTATACTTTCTCTTTCCATTAACAGGAGCCATTCCACTCACGAGTACTTTTAGCACTTTGCGCCGCTCTCGGTGAGACAATCATTGTTCTCTTATCCTCTAAGTACCTGGTGATCTCCGTCCCATTCCTGGTAGGAGGTCTGTGAGTGTTGCAGAGGTTTTACTTGCGCACCTCGAAGCAGCTCCGGCTCATGGACATTGAGTCCAAGGCTCCGCTCTCGGGTTTTGTTAATGACACCATTTCTGGTCTCTTAACCGTTCGGGCTTTTGGTCGAATAGATGAGTTTCAATGCCAGGCCAGGCAACTCTTGCAGACTTCTCAGGCGGCCAACTATATGCTCCTTTCCATACAGGTCTGGCTGAAAATGATCCTAGACTTTATCGTCATGATCCTTGCAGTAGCGGTCACCGGCCTCGCAGTAGGCTTGCGATCACAACGATCAGTTGGCTTTCTGGGTCTAGCGTTGGTTAACCTTGTATGCCTTGCCTCTTCCCTTCGAACCATTTAAGACGCAGGAAGCTAATCGGGGACATCTTCAACCCTCGAATTAGATTTCACTCAGTTCTACTATACGTTATGTTATGACTTTTTGGGTCGATTTGGAGACTTCTATCGGGGCTGCGGCCCGAATTCGTCAATTTAACATCAGTATGACACCGGAAGATGACCCTTCCAACCGGCCTGAACATAAAGCAGGGTTTGCAAACGGCAACGTTGCATTCCAGGACGTCTCTGCCGTCAACGGGTATGACTCGGTTTGTTTGTGAGGATTGTGAGATATGAAACTGACAGTTCATTCTTCTTCATAGAACTAGTGGGGACATGATCCTGAAGGATGTCACCTTTTCAGTTCGGGAAGGACAGAAAGTGGCCATATGTGGCCGAACTGGCAGGTAAGCCAATGCTGCCGCTTCAACCTTCAACTGAGTAATACGACAATAGTAACTGACAGGTACTGTTCATCTTTAGTGGTAAATCTGCTCTTCTGGGAACGCTGCTACGGTTGCTGGACATTCAGCGTGGCGTGGTGACTGTCGGCGATGAACCCATTACAGGCTTCAGTCGGGATTCTATTCGAGGCAGTTTCCTCAGCCTGCCACAGAAGCCTTTACTCTTCGCCAATTCGGTTCGCTATAATATGGACCCCTGGGGCCGGCATGCTGATTCACAGGACTTTGACACCTATGCTAGAGAGTCCTTGCAGCAAGTGGGCATCTGGGAGGTGTTCGAGCAGCTTTACCACCAAAGCCTCTCGGACGCAGGGGCCCACTTTCCCATACCGAAATCGGCTCTCGATCTTGACATTGATACCGACGGGTCACTCACACCAGGGCAGCAGCAACTATTCTGCTTGGCGAGGCTGCTTTGTCGTCTCCGTCAGGAAAGTTCCAAGTTTCCGGTCATTCTCCTCGACGAAGTCACCAGTTCTGTTGACCAGGAGACAGAACGTACCATGCGATGCCTCCTGCGCAACAGCCTGCAAAAACATACCGTGCTCGAGGTTATCCATCGCTTAAAGAAAGACGCTGTTCGTGAGGATTATGACCTCGTACTGGTCCTCGACCAGGGACAGATAGTCGAGTTCGGCCCTCCGGCTGCGCTTCTTAATACGCCAGGTAGTACCTTTCGCAACCTCATACATTCAGGCACCCATTGAGATTCGCATGAACTTATATGAGGTTATCCCGCGTGAGGACTTCATACATCTTCGCAGACTGTTAAGCACTAAGTATCTATGAAGTCTAGCACGCTGAAGGTGTAAGTTCTTCCGGTTCCTCCTTGTATATCGTCGATAATCTTATTGACGTTCGCTGTAGCATTGCTCTTTTGCTTCCCGATTGGCGTGTAAGGAGCATTATATTAAGACGTACTTTCGGACTGGAGAATTGCCGCAAGAGGGGACGCGTTGCGAGACGGAAGTGCGTCCTTTCTCCGCAGGAAAAGAGAGGTCTTGCTCAATGGATGGAGAAGACAGAATTGTGATTTGTCCAAATCCCTACACTTCCTTACCATCAACCAATTGTGTGGCTTCTAGTATCTAGTAGGGAAGTCATGAACAGCTACTGATAGGGTGCCTCAGTAAGCGAAATCGAGTTCGTTCTCGGATCTCTGGTCTTGCCTTTTGTAGCCAACTTCATGGTTATCATCCTGTCGAGGAGTGATAGCGACGCAATTCGATTGTTGTTGGTGAGAATATGCGTATTATCGTGCACACCTAAAACCACCCCATAATACTTGACCCCGTGACATATGTACGAATGGACGTATATATCGACCTGTCCCGTCTGAAAATCTTCGGTTGTATTTCGGGCCTTGGTCTGAACTGAACCACTGTGACAGTGATTGTGAAAGTAGTTTCCAAGCTCCTGGGCGGTTGTCATCTACCTAGAAACTTTTCAAATAAACTATTAAGATTCACATTTTATACAGTATCTCATATATATGAAGTGTAACTTAAAAGCGAACTGTAGCCGCTGACCCCTACACTGAGTACCTTTTCCTCGCCTAATGTGGGCACGAGAGGCGAATTCCAGCGTCTGCCTGCACAAAGTCAAGCCATCCGGGCTTCTCGACTTTAAAGCCCAAATGTTCGTTCATTGAAATGTTTTGTCACAAAACTGTGAGATTTTGAAGTTCTTGTCGAAGATGGAAAAAAAAAAAAACGCATCAGCGCGGAAAGTCTTAAGGCCATATGGAGCAAAAACAGCTCAAGCTAAAGATTGGCATTATATGAGCATCGTTGCTATTCCCTGATATGTATAGTCCTGTAGACGAATCGCTGCCAGCGCTGCAGCTAATTCGGTGGCCAGTTAGTAAGCCGTACAGAGTATGCCTGCCCAAAGTCCACATGTCTTTCACAATGCCAACTGGTATATCCAAATTTTCTCAATACCTCTGGCTTCACGCATAGTTAAGATAGCTGGCTGATCCTTTGTAACATATATCTCTGTCCCAGCAGCCGTGGGAACTACCAGCACATCGAGACCTTGCGCAAAATGAACTTGATAGTCAAGGCTTCCCGTTCACTCTAAATACCTCGGGAAATTTGTATGTCATTGATGGCAATGTCGAGGATTTCCATCTTGTGAGGCCAAACTCTTGAATACATCGACAGGTATACCGGGAAGAGGAGCTTCCAACTCAGCCTTTGTGCTGCGGACCACAACCCGAATGTATATATATGCCTCGAAAACGTCCTTCCACCAGCGGCTGACAGTGGTACAGGGAGCTAATGGCACTCCTTTCTGGCGTAATCTGTCTCCAATTATATGGAGTAGCTCGAGTGGCAGTGTGGCTGCCATGGTAAAAAAATAATTCCCAAGTTCCGGGGCTAGTTTGAACGAATTCAATATATCGAGGTTAAGGAAGTGGTTTCAGAACCAAAATGACTCTGGCTAGTCAGAATAGGCAGTCTCGGTACGAATAACAGGAGAAAAGCCCACGTAGGTAGCGGAAATGACGGATGATCTGGTGGGTGCCTTGTTACAATGACTGTAGTGTCTCGAAAGATCAAGCAAATTCAGTCAAATTCTCGACTGAACAGTAGCTCTTTGGAAGACCTGTTTTGCAGACACCGCAAAGCAGAACCATGAATGTCTCGATCAATGAATAAACTTGTCTGGGAAGCGCTGACAGACTAAGGGGATCATCAGCATACATGGTTGCTGTTCGGGCAAACGTGTAAAGTGAGGATGATAGCATCTAAAGGATTGGTTTATATATATAAATGAAAGACTCGATTATGTTGATGATGAAGTGCTTGTGAACCAAACGACGAAAGACGGGGCCCTTTTATACTAGGCGTTTAATATACTGTAATGAATCATTACCTAATATTGGTGAATTGCTGTCGATCCTGCGTAGGGTAGCAATCATAGGCATCTCCCTATAACTCGGCATCTTCCACAAAAGTTGACACAACGGTCAAGACTTCTCATTCACTCTGAAGACCTCGGGAGAATCATTATTCACTGATGGTAGTGATGTGGATGTGACTGCCTCTCTCCTTCCCCGCAGTGCCCGCGATATTTGCAACATCTGCTGCATTCCCCCATCGAGAAGGGGATAGAATATCGCCACGAGCATGGTAATCCACAACCAGATAATCCCCACAATAACCCAAGCAGTGAAGAACTGACAAATCTGTTAGCAATCCACCGACATTCACACAAGAAGCAACAGTGACAAATACTCACTCCCTTTCCAAAAACATATTTTGATCCGTACATCGGCAATGGCCACAACACCCAATGGCCCAGGAAAGTCGCAATGGACCAAAACGCAGCAATGCGCCCCCATCTCTTCAGCTCCTGGGGATCAAACGAGGTCCGATTTTGCTGCTCTTCACTACCTTGACCATTCACCGTGATATCGCTATCACTATCCAGTCGCTCGAGTCCCAGCTTCTCCTTGCGGAACTCCGCCCAGTCATACCTCTGCGGTTTGACTAGGGTAATCAGGACGGAGTACACTATCGGCGAGAAAGCAGACGCTACAGTTCCATATACGCAAGGTAGTATTTGCCCCGTTGAGCTGACAGACACGGCACCGTAGAAGTGCTGTGCTGTACCCAACCATACGCCGATGCCGGTCGCCATTCCCAGAATTGGGGACAGGATGGCGGCTGCTCTGCTCTGTCGACGCCAGAGGATTGTGAAGGCCATGGGAAAGATTCCAGGACAGGTTACCACACCTATTTCCATAAGTATTTGGACCGACCTTGGTTGAAGTGGAGGCTTACCGAGCATATATAGTGTCCAGCCCAGGTCAATACCAACGTAATGGAGCATAGTGCTGAACCCAGCAGAAAACGCAGCAAAGAAAATGACACCGAAGTGACTGGCACGGATGATGTCCCTGTCTGATGCCGCCCTATTAATGTATTCTCGGTACACGTCGAAGCTTAGGATAGAGCTGACGGCGATGACTTGCGCGGAGAGGGTCGAAGTTACTGCCATGAAGGTAATAAGGAGAACTGCAGCTGCCCCGCCTTTTCCTGCAATGGTCATGGCCGCGTATGGAAGGACAAGGCCGTTGCTCACTTCTGTGGAGGTCATGCGCTGCATTGATTAGCATCTCCTGGGATCAAAGGTGAAGAGTACCTACGCGGGGATATGTCGGGAAGGACGCTGTGTTTTCAAGACCTAAGGCAAGGGAGCTCATAATGGTTCCTAGAGCCCAGGGAATGGCAAAGTAGGCAATCCCACCGATGGTGTATCCAGGTACTACTGAGGAGGGAGCAGCGGAAAAAGCTTTGATGAAGTAGCTGGTGTCCATCTGGCAGAAATGTTAATGATACCTCAGGTCGGTGTGTTTATACTTACGATCACTAGGCCGAAGTTGGAGCAAATATGAAGTATCCCGAACAGGATAGCCTGCGTTTGTTAGCGGAGACAACAGCATGGAGCATAGTACATACACCCTTCGAAGTCATGGTCAGGTACGTCCCATCTTGATTTCCTGACACAGGGTGGCGCTGTGCAGCAGCTTGGACGAGCTCATATAATTTACCAATTGAGCCAACCTCTTCGAAAGTGAATGCTTTGACCGAGAGATAGCATGCGATGATAAGAATGATCGCCGTGTGGAAGTAGTCCGTAAGGAATCTTCTCCGGTAAGCATAGTGTACATCTTCCTCAGCAGGGCACTTACGTGGCTTTAATGCCGCCTACGAAGGTGTACACAGTAACACCAACTGGCAGTAAAAATGTCGCAGCAATGATATGCATCCCAGTTCTATATGGTCAGCAATGTTCGTCAATCTGGTGGCCCACTTACATGGCGGAGATAACAGCAGCAGCGCCCAAAAGCATGTTAGCGCAGGCAAATATGTTGTTTATCAAGCACAGGGTCATAAAGACCGCGTGTGCAATGCGACCTGAACACGTCAATATCAAGTCGATAAGTATAGCTTTCATGCAGCCTACCATATCGGATCCGAACCACTTCGAGCGATGTGTGTGCATCTGGAATCTTTCTCTTGTAGGATATCCCGATCAAGGCGAAAAAGACGATCATGGGACTGCAGCCTGCGGCGAACCAGAAGGGACCAGCCACGCCATAATCATACCCTACAAACGATGCTCCTAGCATTGCTGTTGTCCACAACCAGGACTGTTTACTTAGTAGGGGTTATATCGCTACCGAGGGCAGACTCGTACCGAAATTACTGCAGATGCTGTCAAGCCGGTCCGAACGGTGCGATTGGCAGTCATGAACCTGAGCAATTAGCATGTGAAATGCATGAGTGCGGTTGGACATACATCTCAGTCTTCTTGTTATCCTCGCCCGTTGTTTTCTTAAGGATCTTGGTGATGACCATCATCACTGCTTTGTCAGCTGCATCACTCGTCTATTTTTGGTGGACATACCACCGGCGATAATGAGCCCTAGCACCACGACTATAACATATCCAACAGCCTGGGACAGTGGCGGTTGCACTGATGCTCCTGCTGCGCGAGCTTGAATCTCTGACATCTTGTTAAGAAACCCCGGTGGCCAGGCAATGCAGCACTCAACTAACAAGAAAGACAAGGCTGACTATGTGGAGGCACCCCGGCAAATGTACCTTTAAGATCTACATCACAGCACACATTATCATAACTATCACGCTATCCGCCGATCATTGTATTCTACTGCGAACATGGTGTTCCCTGATGATACGATAGCCTATGCATATGAGGTGCTTGGACCGTGTTCCAAGATCCTGGGGATAATATATCTAAATTTAAAGTTATTCGGCCGATATACGTGCATGATTGTCCGTATAGCGTAAGGTCAATAAAGTTAAGTTATTGCGTGACAGCAACGATAGTTGGCGGAACAGGACCAAAGATAGGGCAGGGGTGAATGCCCCGGGAGCCCGAAGGTGGCTTGTGCCAAGTATTCGTCCAACTACTGAGGTCTTGTAAATCTCTACCACAAATCGATGAGTCCAGTTTTCAGATAAAGAGATTCAGAATGATCCCTGCTTTTATTTGGGGTTGTATTGAATATGGGATCCCCGTGAATGGGTGACCCCTCATTTCCCCATCACGTCATCCCGGCCCACTGTGATGCTACAGAATATCCCCTCCAGCGAGGTCTGAATTGCACACTTATGGTCCATACTTATTCACAGTCGATCTCTGAGCCAGAAACTCTATAATTAACTGGCCTTCCTTTTTTATTTTTCATATTGAAGACTCAGCCTTTGCCGGTTCGGATAAGCCCAAGCCAGCACCCTTGTCACTAACCTAACCTCCTACCTATCCTCCACAATGGCTATCGACAACGCTACATCTCGACCCCGCAAACAACTCATCCTCAATGCATTTGTGGAAATGTGTACGCATCATCCTACTCACTTCTCTTCTCTTCATCGGCTAACATACCCCAGGTAGTGGCCACCAGTCCCCAGGGCTGTGGCGACACCCAGAGGACGAATCGCACCGATTCAACGACATCGGCCACTGGATTGAGCTCGCAAAGCTTCTAGAATCCGCCAAGTTTCACGGAATCTTCATCGCAGATGTCTTAGGTAACTCTGAACCTCAGTGCACCTTTGAAACATACATACTAACCTTCCCAGGCGGCTACGACGTGTACAAAGGCCCCCGCAACCTCGAACCAGCCATTATCTCTGGCGCGCAATGGCCCGTCAACGAGCCTTTAGCAGTCGTACCTGCCATGGCGGCCGCAACACAAAATATCGGCTTCGGAGTGACTGTCACAACGACTTACGAGCAGCCATATCATCTTGCGCGTCGTCTCTCCACTATTGATCATCTCACTAAGGGACGGTAAGTCATCTTCCTACACGACCATCCTCACCACCACCAATACTAACATAAACCAGGATAGGATGGAACGTAAGCACCCACCCACCCCACCCAGCTAATAGTAATCACAAAACTAAGCAAGCCAGATCGTAACCGGCTATCTCGACTCCGCAGCCCGTAACCTGGGCCACACCCAGCAACCCCAGGTAACCCAGAGCTCCACCCATAAATCATTCTACAACCTCGTACTAACCAACTTCCAGCACGACGACCGCTACGCCCAAGCCGAAGAATACATCAAAGTCACCTACAAACTATGGGAATCCTCATGGCGATCCGACGCCGTGGTCCTGGACCGCACCCGCGGAATCTACACGGACCCAACACGCGTGCGCGAAATCAACCACTCCGGCAAATACTTCACCGTGCCCGGCCCGCACATCTGCCAACCCAGCCCGCAACGCACGCCCGTGATCCTCCAAGCGGGGACATCTAAAGCCGGGAAGGCGTTCGCGGCACAGCATGCCGAGGCGATTTTCGTGGCGGGACATAGTCCGTCCGTGGTGGCGAAGAATATCGCGGAGATACGGGAGACGGCGAAGACGCAGTTCGGGCGTGACCCTGCGGGAATAAAGTTTCTGGCGCTGTTGTGTCCGGTGCTGGGAAGGACGGAGGAGGAGGCACAGGAGAAGTTTAGGTATTTTAGGAGCTTGGGGTCGATTGATGGTGCGTTGGCGCTGTTTGGGGGGTGGACGGGCATTGATCTGGATCGGTATGGGGATGATGAGGAGTTGAGGCATGTGGAGAGTAATGCTATTCGGTATGTTATCATCCTAAGTGGATGGTGGAGGGAGAGATGCTAACGGGTGCGTGATAGGTCTGCGGTTGAGGGCTGGTCGAAGGCTACCCCGGAAGTCGAGAAGTGGACTAAGGCTACCGTGGGCCAGCATATAACGGTGGGTGGATTGGGCGCGACACCGGTGGGGACACCGGAGCAGGTGGCTGATGAGATGGAACGGTGGGTGAATGAGGCAGATGTGGATGGATTCAATTTGGTGAGTTGCTCGACAGAATGGAGGATGTGCTTGGCTAACAGGTCCCAGGCGTATGCTATCAAACCCGGTTCTTTCAAGGATATCATCGACCTGCTAATCCCTGAACTTCGTAAGAGAGGCCTCTTCTGGGATGACTACGCTGTCAAGAAGGGAACGTACCGTGAAAATCTTTACAGCAAAGAAGGCCAGAGCGGCCCGCCGGCTGATCATCCGGCTGCAAAGTATCGCTGGCATGCAGGTGTTGAAGCGGCGGACCATCCAGTTCCAAATTACTAATGTATACAACGATGCAACTTCACTATATAGTGCTGCTGCTGCTTCCAAGAATCACATATCCTTCATGTTTGACTATATATTAAAACGAGAATATCATACTAGCTTCTCCCATTCAAAGGTCTTGTACTCTCTATCTCTCTCTCTCTCTCTCTCTTTCTCTATGATACATGATTTTGTTCGCCGCATCTCAAACCGGAACACCATCAGTAACAGTCCCATACTCAGTCACAGTCCAATTCCCAAAACAAGCATACTCAAACTGAGACCTTTCCAAACCCTTCTTCTGAACAGCCATAAACGTCGAAAGCTCGCACCATCCATCATCGCGATACTCGCATTCCTCAAAGCTAGAATGCAGGGGAAGCGTACGCTGATTCTGCAAAAAGTGAACATAAAACGTCTCTCCAGTACCATCAACATAAGCATCGCTCTGATCACCCGCAGGACGAATAGCAGCCACCTGATTCGGCGCCTTAATGATCTCAATATTCGTCCGACCAGCAAAAGGCACGATTTTACTGCTCTTGAACTGCTGGTACAGAGGGGGCCCAGTGGCAGGCAGGGATTCGGCGAACTGCCGGAACCCAAACGCCGTAAGAACAGCAACTATACCGGCATCATGCGAGAAGTCCAGGTAAAGATTCTGGTCCGTTGGGAACGTCACAGGGTTGGTGTCCAAGGTCATGTTAGCATTAGTGCCTGTAGTCTGGAGTAAGTGGCCCTCCACACGGGCGAGGAATTCCTCCACCCAGGCAATTCCCTGCGCGCGGCCCGCGGGACAGGCAAACCCGACCATGTTGGCGAACTCGATGTCGAAGGCGTAGCCGAAGTTTTCGAATTCTTCGAAGGTGAAAAGCTCGCAGAATTGGCTGTAGCCATAGCTGATGGTCTCGTAGGCGCACATATCCTGCGCGTTGAAGCTGTCGGTGGTGGTCCAGTTGTAGGATCCGGTCAGGGTGCGGAGCGCTTCGGTGCGCGCTTTGAGGTATATGTTTTTCCATGTTGATAGGGGTGTGGTGGCGTTGTATGCCATGTACTCTAGTGCACGGGTGCAGGAGTAAGTCCCGATTAGGGAGTTGTTGTAGCCAACTCCTTCTATTATTGGGAGGAGGTTGGCTTTTTCGGTCCATTCAAGGCCAAAGAAGCCGGCGAGAAAGTTCTCCGCGGATTTGAGCATGCGGTCTTGGGTGGTGGTGCGCGCTACCAGCTTATGGGGGGAGCTCGCATTGTAAAGGTGTCCGTAGTTGTAGAAGTTTAGGACGCCGCTGTCGTAGAGCTCCTGGCGGCCTTTGGGGACGAGGATTTCTAGACCTAGTCCGTAGTCCCAATCGTTTAGGAAAGAAAGTGCGCCCGTGAAGTTGTTGCCACTGGCGGTAGAATTGATGATTTTCTGGGCCCATGAGGCCAGACCTTCTGAGGATGAAGGATAACGGGAGCCGTGGCGATGGATCATATGCATCTGAGTGATGTTGGATCCTTTTGGGAGAGGATATTCATCCACTCCGAAGCCATCGGGCACATGGTAAGGGCTGTATGTGTTTAGTAATGGGCTTAACATTGAGGGCCATGGGGAACCCATCACTAGGAAATGTACCTTAAGTTGCCCATGTAATGGAATATATTGCGACCAGCAGCCCCCTCGATCGGTTCACTTGTTTCCAACGGGTCATTTGGAGACAGGGTCTTTTGTCCAAACGGAGCAGGGTTTGTCTCGGCTAAGAAGGGAGCAACGCCGGTTGCAGTCGTGCCTTCTGAAGTCAGCTTGATATAGAGTCCAAAAGAGGAGCGACTGCATACCCTGGTAGCTTTCAGGCGTGGTCTGAAACCAATCAATCCCGGTTGTGGTAGCCGAGGGACTGGGAGTCAGTGGAGTGGCGTTCTGCGAGCGAGCTTCAATGGCAACAGCCTCAGCTAGTGAGGCTACTGCCAGTATAGAAAGGGTAGCAATAGTCGGGTGCATATTGATACTCCCACTTTAATTGCAAGAAACAGTTCAGTCAGCATTAACGCCAGGCAGGAGGGGGCGAGGTGCCAATTTGTAGGCATTGCATGCTCTGGGGGGAAGCAATGAAATGCAAAGCCGTATACATGCCCATCACTGCCTTGTGCATTATTGTGTATATGTCATGCTCAGATACCGTTTGAGTGTACCAGCTGCTGAAGAGTATCGATGCACGTGGGCATCTTCTTGATTGAAATCAGCCACGGCACCACGAAATAGGGTGTCTGTCATGTCTCGGCTACAGCCATCATCTCGCTTACATGGGGTGTGGAGACGCAAGTCGTACCCCAGGCTGGATAGGATCCTTTCCCGGGTTCCTTGCATTTGGCTGCGTCAGCCACGCGACCTTGTATGATGAATGCCCTGTAGTCCAAGTGCTCATCTGCAAGCAGGATAAGCACGTGGGCTAACTGCAGCCAATGATGGGTCGATGTGGTGACTATTCACTCACTAACGGCTAGTGAACTTTAGGGTCTCGGCATCGGCTGTCGAGGTGTATACCTCTGAGCTACTTGGAGGCAGCCATGCTGAAGACTCACTCACCTTCGCTCTGTGGTCAATATTTGCATAAAAGCATAGGCGTGGACCAGGACCGCTGATTCCTACACTGACGAGGCTCCCTATAGGGTGTCCTGGTTGACGACCACATTTGAATGAATGCACTTTGGAAGAGGATGGTTGCAGCACTTTTGCAATAGTTCTCATGAGACTAAGCCACCTCGTCATCTTGATCGTTGAAACACAGATCACAAGTTCTGTGTGGGTACTAGATAGTTAGATACTAGAATAGGATCAACCCACCACATAGCAATTAAACTTGACTGATTACAGCTTCCCCATCTCTGAGCAGAATTACTGAGCTGTCTTCTTCACCCCCATAAACCAATGCACATTTGTAGTCGGATACATAACAGGCGACTTGCCAGACCGAAACTCCCAGTTCTCCAAGCCAGCCGCATCCGACCGTCTGACTAGATCATGCAGCTCATCAGGAGTCCGGCAGCGCATGATGGACACAAAGCCATCAAAGACCATTAGTAGAGGTGCCAGAGGCAACACAAATGTGAAGAGCAAATGTAAGGGTGACCGCCAGAATCGAAGCAGAGTGTACTGGAATGCGATCAGTACTAAGCCAGGTAATATAAGCATCGAGCTGAAATCACGCGCGGTGAGTTCGAAAATACTTAATTCTCGTCATCAGTGTTTATCCATACTAGCGAAGCAAAAGGTCAAGGTATGTGTATGTATGGGGCTTGATGACATACATGAATGCATCGGCCGATTCAATCGCGCTCCGCAACATGGGCATAGCAAGAGGGTCATCGAAATGGTGAAACGCCACGTTGAACATTCGACATTCCTTCCGGATCTGTGGGACCAGTCGATCACATTTGGTCGCATCCACTGATTCAGAGATGTAGGAGATGTTTTCTTGTTGCTTGGTGAGGGCAGCCCATTCGCGCGGATGGGGGTTGAGGTCGGTCAGCAGGAACTGGGCCGGGGGGAGATGCTGGGCGCGCAGGCGGGCGTTGAGAAGTCGCTCCAGGGTGGAGGATGGGCCTCCTGCGCCCGAGCCCAAATCGACAAAGGTGAAAGACGAGATGTCGGGAAAATTCTCAGCAAGGACGTCGCAGGCAACGTCGGCTGAAGAAGCCTTGGCGATCGGTGGCAGGCGCAGGTTCCAGCAGTGGGTGAGGCATAGCTGAACATATTCGATGGCCTTGTCGGGACACCATGGCTGATCGGCGATTTCGAAGAGATGAAGGCGGGGGAGGATAGGCATAGCGATCGTCTGGGGGTTCTCGTTTGGTAGGAGGGGCAGATTGGTCTGGGACGAGGTTGGAGGTGGATTCTCATTTATCCTCAGCGTTGCTTCTTTTCGCTCTCCCCTCGGTTCCGCGTAGATATACTTCTTCTCACCTGCAGTAGTTTTTCCATAGTGTGATTTTGGCAACGGAAGAGGACACTCTGTGATTGCTTCCGACCGTCACCGGGCACTCTTCAATCCGGTTCACATCGAATGCTCTGATTGGCGAAACGAATACTGGCGGGGAGTCCCGGTACTTCAGAGTAGAGGAAGTGATAGTCCGGAAAAGACATGATGATGGACTTGACGAGGCTGACAGGCACAAACCTTAATCGCTCCACCAACATTTTCACTACGTCACCATCCCAGTATCATTCACAGGTCAGAAGGATAGTCAATTCTGCAACACAAAAACTGAAACAAACAGGTTGCAGCCACCCTTTCCACAGGAAAGCCGTTCGACTCTTGGCAGGTTACCGATTATCCGGTCGCGGGTGGCTATCATCGGTGTGGGGACACCGAGTAGGATAGGTCACAACGGCATGATATGATAAAATTAGTAGTAGTCGCAAGGAGGTTGACAGGAAATCACAATGTATGATTGGTTGTCGATTACTGGCTTCGTGCCGATCGGACCAGCCACGCGGCAGTGAAACAACTATTCGATCAGATCTTGCATTCCGATTTTCATTTCATTTCCATATCTGAAACCTGAAGCGATGGGATATCAAGCTAAAAACAGAAAACATTTCGAGATGTAAGGGGCAATTAGAAGCAAATCTATGGTATGTATCATCAACATGCAACGTGAAATCTCTATATTTACAGAACCAAGAAAACACCGACCAAGACTCCCGCCACCAGCGAGACAATCTGGCTGCGCGGCACTGTAGCCGAACTCTCCTTGTCCGACTTGTCGCTCGAGGCCGTGGATGTGGCTGCCGCGCCGGTCGCCGTCGCCCCCGTCGCCTTGGGCACGGCATCCGATCCGGTGCCGATCTCCAGGACGTGGTCCTCGCCGGGGTTGAAGTTGGCCTTGGCCAGGGAGATCTCGTTGTTTCCGAGATCGTAGACGACGTATGCGCTGCGCAGGAAGGTATCGCCCAGCAGGGCCTCATTTTCGATCACTGCGAGGCCAAACGTACAAACGTTCATGTCGGTCATGTCGGAACTGGCCTCGAGGATCATCTCGCTGATGTCAACGCTCATGTTGAAGGATCCAAAGTCGAACAGGAAGGTGAAGTCTTCGTCCTTGACGTCGCACTCGATCACTCCGTACCCGTACTCGCTCAGGTATTGGGCACCGACGGCCTCGTAGATGCTGGCTGCGGCGGAGGTCGGGATGTAGGTCAGGGCCGTGCCGCTGTCCAGCACGGCGGGGATGGGGAATTGCGTGGCGCTGTTGTTGACCGAGACGGAGTTGCCGTTCTTCTCAAGGTGCACGGCCGTCAGGTTGACCGCGAACTCGACGTACATGTCTTCGATGGAGACGATAGGCAGGGTCTGCAGGCTGCCGTAGTACTTGGCGGTGTTGACTCCGCCGAACAGAATGGTGCCTTTTCCTTCGTCGAGGTCATCGAGCCATAGACTGTAGGCCGGCCAGTTGATCGCGCCTTGATCGACGAGGGCTTCGGGGAAGTTGGTGTATTCACCACCACCGACGGTGGCCTGGCTGGCTTCATTGCTGGCGTATCCGATACCGAGGACCCCCTCTGCATGGTAAAACCGTTAGCAAAGTGTAAAATGAAAGTGAGGGAATAGCGAAGACTTACCCTCGGAGTCGCCGTCATATGCGACGGCAAATTGAAAGTTCGTCAAAGTCACATTGGAGAACTTTAGAGTATCGTTGACATAGTCGCCTGTGGCTTCACTGCCGTCGACATACTGGATATAAAACTCATCGTTCACGAAGGTGTAGGTGGAAGAAGCGCTTGAGTTGTAAGAGCCGTAATCGGTACAGGGGCAGACGGACGAGTTGGCCCCATTGACCCAGAGATCGCTGCTGCCGGTGTCCAACGTCACACTGACTTCCTGGCCGGGAGTGCCGAGTGTGAGGTTCATCGTGTAGCCAAGATTCGTAGCCTAGAAACCTGCATTAGCGACCGTCATAATTCCCCTGATTTGAGACTCGGGATGGGAACATACCAGGTTAACGAGGTCGGCCGAGGCCGTCGATCGCTTCCGACGGGACCGGTCGGCGATCTGACGACGTTCAAAGTTGAACTGAAGAGTAGCGGGTTCATCGCGCTCGTGGATAGAGAGGGAATAGGCGGACTGGGCAGCCCAGGCCAAGGAAAGAAGAGTGGTGCTCTTCATGGTGTTGCTGTGATGGTTCCCTGTCTCACGTAATTTGGGGGCAGGAACTTGCCAGGGGAGTTTGGGGGTGCGGAGCTTCTTATATGGTCGGTGCAGAAACGATGGATCTGGGATCAAAAGTCGCCCATGGGAGGCGCAGGAGGGGCACGGGGAAATCGGAGAACTGCTCAGCCTTGCGCGGTCGCTTCGTCTTGGCCTGTTCCTGAGTTTTTTTAACAGCAAGCCATCCTGCGTCAGACCCGCTCCAATGTCAGCCTTCAGACCCTTGGGCTGTTGCTTTTGCGGAACACGCGCTGGGCTGTGAAGAGGCTCTGTCTGGTAAAACCAACGAATCCCATCAAGGGGGAAACCTAGTCAAGTGGGTCGTTGGCAGGCAACCATCAAATGAAGAAGTGATCCATCCGCCACCCCGAGGAAGAAAGAAGAAGAGACCTGCGAGACTATTCCCTCCCTCGAACTAGTGAATGACCGGGGTTTTACCTCCGTCGGTTTTACCGGAAATGATGACTCTTGGCAAGACATGGTCGCTGACATGGCACTCTGATTATGACATGAATATCATCTCCTGTCCATTTGCGATTGAGATCACAACTAAATGCTGTTCAACACTGCACACCCAGCCAGAGTGACGACAAACCCAAAGTGGGATGGCGTGGCCTCGCATCCTCGGATGCAGGCGGAGGCACCCGATTCTTCGTCCAGCGCTAAAACTTCTTTGTTAGTCACCGCGGACTTGTTCCCCCTTATCCAATGACAAGCTGTCATCCGCGCGGTCGACTAGAGTTAGTTAATAAGCCGTCGCGGTTAGCTAACCATCCTTCGACTGGAACAAGAACAGAACAGCTACTATTCCAGGTTAGCATTTGGGGCATTTGAGTTTGTCGGTTTCACAGCCTAGTTCAACGGGCCTTTGCACAGTACAATGCAATTTAATCCCTGACAATAGCGCCTCCTTCGTGGTTATCGGCCCGTTCGCCTAGAGATCAAAGAGCGCTTGGCAAGACCCTGATTCGCATCCTGGCCGTGAACTGCGATATCCACTTCGTATAGGGTGGATCGAGGGGCTAGTGCTACCGTTATATTAAGCAAAACTTTTGCTATCATGCTCGCCTTGAAAGGGGTATTGGACTTGCACTGGACTTGTTATCTTGACCATATGACGGATTTTGATGCAGGACATGGGATACTAGCCATCATCTATACGCATGGAGAGTAACCCCTCAAACTCGGAAGAAAGCAGCGGTTGGAGAACTCTAAAATGCCATGCTCACCTCACGAGAGAAGTCAAATCAGGGTCCACCATATCACACGCTACTAGCCTCGACAAAATCTCAGACCAATCCAGTCCACCAGAAATCTATCTATCTACCCTGCGCTCAGTCCACTCTCCGCTGATTTTCCCTAATAATGAGAACCCAAGCTAGCGACAAGTCGTCCCATACTCTCATTTCTCTAAAGCCATGATAGTGCCATTTCACTACTACACCTGCCCAGTTCGGTTATCTTTAAGATAAAGCTATCTAATACTTTGGTTCGGTTCACTGTGCCGACGGACTCCGTATCGGCCGTGAGCGCTTCAGTCTTTAGCCCTGGCTCCAGGTACCTGGTGGCTCGAGCTCAAAATCAGGCTGAGGTCCAGTCGGATATGAGTCACTGCTATGACGCCTAACAGCATGACTAGACGACTAGAAGACGAGCAGATGACCCTAGTGTCGGCTAACCTTTCTTGGCTTGTTGGCATCGAGGCTTGTTGGGGTGATGCGAGAGATGTCGCGGGGGGTAATGGTCTACGAGGGGGCGATGAGCTTGGCAAAGCGTCAACTGTGCATTCAAGACATATTTTTACAGTGGCAGTTCGGTGAAGGTCAGACTCTGTGGGAATCTTATCTTGAAAGCTTCCTTGATCGGTGTATGACAATACTGCCACACTCCTGGCAAACGGCCACCAATATGTCATGTTCATGGACGATTCGGGACCATGCTAAGTATGCAACTGACCGGTCTAGTTCACTTCACTAACAATCACTAAACTCGAATATAATATGCACAGCCCCGTCGGAAAGCCGAGGATAGATATAGAAAGCTCTGGTGGGGACATGATAGAGCGCTCTCTCTAACGGTCTGACCATGTTCTGTAAGCCACAGTGGGGATTTAAACAAGCCCATCCTAACTGGTCCTGCCTTCATGATAGCATCTGAACTATTGTTGTGGCCCTGGGACCCGTAGGAATCAGCGCCCGATGTGATGTTGTTTCTATACCACCGTCGTTTGGGAGCTGTATGCTTGAAACATGTCAGGTGAGGAGAAGAACAATACAACTCAAATACCAGTGTTTGATACTCTCTTGTATTTGACCATGATGCAGTGAAGGTTTATTTTAGAGGAGATAGTTTCGTAATTCATGAAGACAATTACCCAGAAATCAAGTGCATGTGCGTGCATCAACCGTCCAGGTGATTCTATCTCGTGGAGTCGAGTACAAATGTATGGAGATAATTATATTATATTCTTCCCTGTGTTACATGAAACCTCATCAATATTGAGGCTAAGCAACATCTTATCTATCAAAAACACAATGATATATAATCTATGTATCTGTATCTACTCTCAAAGAAATAACAATCCCATGCACAAAAAAACCACGCAAAAAGATATGACAAGAGTGGGATTCGAACCCACGCCCCTTTCGAGACTAGGAATGCTCCGAAGAACATGCGAGATCAGATAACCTGACCCTAGCGCCTTAGACCGCTCGGCCATCTTGCCCGTTGATGTAATTCTGCCTCTAACCCCCTCATATTCCACAATCCTCTTTATTTATTCATGGTCTAGTATCACAACAACACTCCCTCACCATCCCCGCCACTCCCCTCGCGACATCCCCTCCCATCCCATCCAAACCCTTCAGCACCCCTTCCCGATCCCCTTCTCCGCGTTCCTGGCTCATTTTAAATTTCCCGTCCATTCGCGTCACAGTCACTTCGATCCCGATGATATTCTTCTTCAGGATGTTGATGTATGCGTCTGGCGCTTCGTCGACGGTCCATGCTCGGGGACATGATTTCTCCTCCGGGTTGTTATGAGTATAAGTATCACTAGTACCGGTGGTAGTATACCCCATGATCTCCCCCTCACAGTGCGCTGTTAGATCGCGGAGTTGTGTATCCAAGAACATCGAGGCCTGCTCGCCGAGCTCTCCCTCTGAACGGGGGTTGTAGATCCGTGCGCGGCCGTAGACTTGCACGGCGGCGTAGTTCCATGTTGGGGCGACTTTGCCGGTGAGGGGCTTGGTGGTGGTGTAGAAGTGCGGGGTGATGTAGCTGTGGTAGGGGGAGGTGAAGAGGATGAGGACTTCGGTGGGGAGGATGGATTCGGGTTGAGTGGTTAGGGAGTCGAGGATGGCAGAGCATTGGGGGTTGGCGCGGGCGATGTGGCCGCGGAGTTTGACTGTGTTACTGTTATCGGCAGTGCTGGGAGGAGGAATGTCGAGTACCCAGGGAATGTGGGTGGATTGGAGTAACGGGTGTGTAGAGGAGGGGATGGCGGTAGTGAGGACGCCCAGGGGGTTTTGTTGGATGAAGGTGTGGAGGGTGGAGGGGGTGGAGTCCGTGTATATCTCTTTCATGTACATGTTGTATTGTATGTATGATATTTGTATAACGGACAGGGGAAACCAAAAAGAGATGGATAAGATGGTGGTGGAAAGCAAAGCAAGGGGGACAAGATGCAGATAACCTTAGATCTTGTCTCCGTGCGGGGTTGGGACAACTCAATTATGGGGTACATTCCTATTGGCTTGTCGGCTATGTTCCGAGTTTACTGTGTGAACTGTATTGTGGTAGTAATTGTCTTTTTGATTTTATGTTCGTTTAGACTTGCATCATGACTGATAGGAAATATGTACAGTGACGTGTAGATGGCAGATGTTGCTGTCCTCCGCCAGAATCATTAACCCCGGAAAATTACCAGGATAGGCGCCATTTCATTCATTGCGTGGCCAGCGCAGGTCAAAGCGTTGCAGTCAAAGCGTTGCAAAGTCTGTCTGGTCTGGGTGACTGGATCGGGATCTGGATTGAAATCGCCCCCATTTTGACTGGCATTTTGTTGCCTGTGGGCTGGATGTCCCTTTCACGGCGCATGTGGGTTGGCCGCGCCAGTCAGTGGCTGGGCTGGGTCGTCGCTAACCCAGTGAGGGTTTCGGTCCTCTGAAGTACGGTGGAGGGACCTTCAGATACGATGCGCGCGTCGGTCGCATATCGATCAGCGACGATAGCTTGTGGGCGCGTGATGCTCGCATAGTGGTGGCGAGACGGGGTTTGTCGCAGATGCAAAGAAAAAGGGAACACAGTTCTTGACTGGTTCTGTAGTAGGATGGCAAATGCGACTTGATTAAAATTGTATAAACCCGGCGCTCGATGTTCGGCCGGTAATCTCATATAGAAGTTGCAAAATCGTCATGACAGCTTAGGAAGTTTAATGGTAGATGCTGCTTCGCTCGCGTTGGCCACTCAGATTGCTCGATGCCGAGTCATACGCCGCCTCATGGGTGACCTCGATTGTCGTGTGCTGCAGCACCACTCCCATCGGGGCCAGCTCCAACCCGTCCTTGCCGATCATCTCCTCGGTGGAATCGCTGCGACCGCGAGCAATCGTCGTGTTGGTCGGTCCCTTGCCATCGATACTGTTTCCATAGTGGTGTGCGACCGACGATTTGTTCGGTCGGCTGGAATATTTGTTGCTGCTGCCGTGGATCCTGGCCTCGGGCTCCAGCACCACGCTGCGGCGACTCAACGTGTACATGAGGGAATCACAGAAGCCACACAGCGTCATGAAGGATCCGGCAAAGCAGAAGTAGAGCACACTGGGGGAATGACCACTGGCGGAAGCCATTCGACCTGCGGCAAGGGGCAAGGTAAGGCAGATATACACCACAGGGTACAAGGCCATGTGGAAAATAACGCGCTTGAGTCGGGTCAGACTCTCAGAGTTGTGCTCGCCCAGAATGGCTGACTCGGCGATTTTCTTGCGCAGCTGAATGAACATGATCGCATATAGGACGACGGTGAAGAATTCAGAGGCGAAAATCCAGAAGTAGTGAGTCCACAGACGCATCGACTCATACTTGGGGGTCATCCAGCACTAGGGTAGATGAATGTTAGTGGCTTATGAAAGAGAAAAAAGTAATGTGAGAGAAAGAATCAACTTACCCAGGCTACAGCTGGATACCACACGTACCGACCGTGTGCTGCGATCGGGATGACAGTCGTGATAACCCCAAAGAGCCACAGGCCACAAATGATGGAGACGAAGAGACGGTGTGAGATCTGGTAGCCCAAGGTGACGTGCATAAAAGTATGTGCGGCGATGGCGAGCACAAACAGACCACTCATAGGATCACCAATCTGCAGCCAGATTCCCTGCAGGAAGCATGCAGGATCTGAGGCGGTCACCGAGTTGGTCTGGATCCATCGCAGACTGATGATAAAGCCCAGACTTTGGATAAAGTCAGCCAGAATGAGATTGAACATGAGCACGACATATTGATTGTAACCGATGTAACGTTTGTAGTGGCGTTTCCAGAAGATAAAACGATAGGTAAAGAAAGTCAACAAGGAAAGAGTACAAATGAGGGAGACGGTGGCCAGCGCCGAGATTACGATCAAGCCCTTGGTCTGCAAACTCGGCAGTGGGCTCATGACAGCCTCGCCCTCAGTGCTTGCCGACGAGGACGAGCGACGCTGCAGGGCCGGACTGGCCGCATGGGCGTCTGCCTCGAACAGCAAGGACTGGATCGCCAGGGACAGCATGATGGGGAAAATGTGACCGGGGGTGGAATTGTTTCAGGCTTCCTTTCCACCGACGGCATTTTGGCCTATATAACCGCTGTGCCCTCGAACCCCCTGGGGTTGGTCCTGGCAGGCAGCGTGGCCAGGAGCCCTCGCCCGCTCTAAGTCCAATTAGGAACGTCGCGTCAAGTGTCGATCGAGGGTACCGTGGATTCGACGGATTCGACGGAAACGACTCAATGCAATTACCGGGGCGGGTTCGGGCATGTGCCGAAAGGAGTTATCATCTTCCGTGACGACTGGGGGGGTTCCATCTCCACCTGGGAAGTTTTGGGAGCGAGCTTGGCTCATTTAGCTGCCTATCTCAACCTGCGCGGCGAACGGCGCCTCTCCTAGTCTCAACCAAGCTTTATAAGAGGGCAATAGTCCGCCTGGAGACGGCTCAAAGTGCGACCTACATGCGACGGTCCCAATGGTTCTAGTCGCTAGAGGGATACCCTAGAAGCGCCACCGAAGCTTGTTATTGGCATGAAAATCCCTATCGGCCGGTTGATAATGACTACGGCTGCTGGCTGGGGTCCCCGGCTGGGGCGACCAGACCATCGTGAGTTATGTTTGAGGGCATCAGACAACTACAAGCAGTGATGGTTTCGATTTCTCGGCATCAGAACCACTCGAAGCCTTAGGATGAGAAGCTATCTCAGTAGCTGTCTTGGCAAAGGATCAGGGTTCACGTCGCTCCGTACTTTTTGCCTTTGTGGCTTATTATTTTTTTTGTTTTCTTTGTTCTTTGTCCTGTCTTGTGTGGGCTTGTGCAAAACCAAGGCCGAATAATATCGAATAATAGTAAACCTCCTGCCAGGCCCACGTGGGGCGGCCAACGCCAGTCGGAAGCCGGCAAGCGAGTCAGAAAGTGGCTCCGGGTTTCATCCTCGGCCATGGAAGCAAAACGCGAGAAGCCGAGCTGGTACTTTTACTTGTGCTACTTTGCTTTGCTTCATAGGTCGGGTATCCCCGGGCCTGTCCCTGGTTCCAAACTTTTTTTTTGCTTCGTGTCTTTACTTGGTTCCTGGCGTTGATCCTCGTATCTGGCCACGAGTGAGGAAGAATAGCATTGACAACAAACTTTGTAAGCATTATGTCGGAAAGCTACGTTTCCGTGTTATTCTTGGCTGGTGGTGGCGATAAAACTGGGCGCCTGTAAAAATTCTCCGCCTCCGGACACGTTTCTGGGTGGCACTCATGGTGGCACTTGTTGTGCGCTATCGCAGGCACCAACGATGATGGTTTCTAAATAGCTCCTCAGCTCCTGGATCTACAGTTGCGGTCCTGTTCTTTATCGCAACCACTATCAGGTGCGGAGTCCCGCTAAGAGAAAAGGGGATGATTAGGGTGATCACCTCATACCGCGCCACGGTTACAAGGCGGGAGGATAAAGAAGCTTCGAACCTTTCGAAGCACGGTCTGCTTTGGGGTTGCCTCTTTCAGAAGGAGGATCAATCTAAGCCGGTGGAGAGGGGATCTCCAGGGGGGTGGATGACAGAGTCAGACACGGCCCTGGATCCATGGTTACGGATTACGCGGGCCGGACTACATACGGAGGACTTTCCGTATGCCGTAGAATCGTGGAAAGCACGATGATCCTTTCTGTGCGCTGGTTTGCGCTCTTTTTTAGTCCTCTTAAAGTCGTCGCTAGTTCTGAGTCTGTTCACAGTGACAGTGTTCTTCAGCCCTATCACTCGTGGAGCGCAAGATGGAAAAGAAAACCGCGCAGTGACATCCACCTAGATCCCATTGTGGTGGTCCAACACATTCTCAACAAACGAAATCGTTGGCCTTGGCTGCAACCTGGCTGGACGCCTACTCGGCTAATGGCATGTCTTGTGTATCGAGTTCATTATATTCTGATTGGGTGTTCCGTGTCAGTGTCCTTTAGAATTGGCGCGGCACAGCGAAGAGATTTAGACTCTCGTCTGAGATTCCCGAACCGACGCGAGGCGGGGGTGGTCATGAGAGCTGGAAAAAAAAGCACAAAAAGTGTACCAGAGCTCGATAGCCTTTTTCTAATGCCTTTGTTCAAATGACTGGCAAGCGGTGGAGTGAAATCCCTGCGTGGCTAGTACTGTATCTGGCCTGGTGGCGTTTTTTAGACTGGCCAGTCGAGAGACAACATCGGGGGTTACCTCCCTTTCGGACTGTCGCCCCGCCGTGCCTATTCCAAAGATCGCCTCAATCACTTACCAAGCCCTTGGGAGGTCTGGGGGATCCTATCACATGTGCTCGATTGTCGTCGACCACCCCTTATAGTCCCTGGGGCACTAGTGTCCCTCCCAGGCAGAAATTTGAGAGACGGCCTCCCGAGTAATTGGTTGGGACTCATCCCACCATGGCGACAAGAGCCTAGTAAGATTGCAAAGAAAGCATAAGCGCCACTCATTGACATCTATGAATAGCTCCATCCTATGCCTCGTGCTCAGAGCTCAGGGAGCTCAGGGGTTCAGTTAGTCAGCGGGTGTGTATTTCCCCTCATGCCTCCTCATTTCCCCTCACCTCCCCTCATACGCCAAGAGCAAATTATCCGGTTGGAACGGGAGGATTCAATATATTTGATCCTTTCATACTCTTATTTCGACCGTTGAGTGCATCGCGTGGTGCACGAGCCCTTCGTGGGCAAACTAGGCAGGCCTCCTGGCAATTCGGGCTGTTGCTTTCAGACCATCAATGCATCAAATAAATTAGCGAGCGTTAGACTAAATAACATGCCATGAGGGGGTTTGGCCCTCTTGGCTCGTGCTCGTTTCCGAACTAATCGTGCTGGAGTGTGTGATGCGGTTGAAATGGCACTGCTAATCACATCTCGCACTGTCAGAACTGGGATGACGCGTCTGAGTCAATCCAAGCAAAAGGCGCAGATTGGCGGTCCTTGGCCACTCTTTTCTCCCCGGGCGCCCCCTTAGCGCTGACAGCAATAGCTGGGATTTCTCAATAGTTCGAACGTCGTTGAGATCAGCAATCATACCTGCTTCTCAATAATACTCAACATTCACCCCGATACCCCTCTGACTAGTACAAGATTTGGTGCACCATCGTCACAGTTCTTCCTGTACAGTTGCTACTAGCTACTATCAGAGGAGGGTTTCATTTGTGTCTGCGCTTTCTGGCTGGCTAGTGCATATATGCGCGTTATCTGTTCTCTGAATTTGGCTAAGAAGTTCTGGCTATGCTCGTAGTTGCTGTCCACGTTGATCACCGATCCTCGCCTCGATGTGTGCACTCAAAATTTGTCCAATTTATAAGAACAATTCGGTGATGACCCGACCGGTGGGTTCCATGAACTATCTACCTTCTCATAACTGTTCTGGTACCTGCATTGAGGAGTGGAGAAGCAAGCAGAGAGAAGCTCTCCTGTTCCTGGCCCCTTTACCCCTTTAGTCTGTTCTCTGCGGTCGATCATAGATATTATGTTCTATTTCTGCTGATAGCGAATTATGATATGATGTGCAGCATACCCCGTAATCCTTTTGTCATCATCAACCAGCCGGCACAGCCAATCTCTTCTGTGGGGCACTGAATTGCTGGCGATCGCGTTCAGCCTCCTTATGAGTTTCCTAAACGGGTATATAATCACTGTTTCACGGCGCATCCTGAGCCTATCTCCGTTCGGTATTAATGCTGTCCGGCCCGAGATTGCGTGTTAAGTCATCTCTGACTGCATTTGTTGAGAATATTTCAGGTCCCGTAGGAAATCGCGCTCGGTCGCAAGCAGCCAATACTGTTACTCTATATTCGATAGTTTCTCGTAGCGTTGCAATTTGATCTTTGCGACTAAATGATCGTCTGGACTCGTGCATATCTACTGTTAACGCTGCCGTGGAGCATGTGACGGACACAGTTGAATTGCATGGTCTCTCGACGAGCGCATCCACCTGGTTGAACTGTGGATTTTGCTGCGAGCACCTGAGGGAACCCCATTCCGCACTGTGTAGATATATATATATCAGTTCAGATCAATGGCCCGGTCAGACTACTACTAGTTGTATGATCGAATGATCACTATACTAGACGGTTAATAACAGTAATTGAGACCAAAACTATGTTTCAAACAATAGGTACATCTTACCTAGTGATAAAAATGCACCTCGTAGCATCAGACATGGTTTTGAAGCATGCCATTGCGACTACTTTTGCTACACGTCAAGAAGAACGTAAGAGCTCTCATAACAAAAGGAGCCAGCATTTTTCAGGCAACAGGCAAGATGGCCGAGCGGTCTAAGGCGCTAGGGTCAGGTGTATCTGATCTCGCATGTTCTTCGGAGCATTCCTAGTCTCGAAAGGGGCGTGGGTTCGAATCCCACTCTTGTCATATCTTTTTGCATCATTTCTTTTTTTTTTTCCCCGTAGCCGATATACAACCATCCTCTTTCTCGCTGACAATAAGAGGAAGAACTCATATAATTCTCATTCACTGGTCCCTACACCATTCACAATTCCAGTTCAACCCGAACACAATACCACCGGTCGATTCAAATCACCGTCGCTCATAGCAGCTTGAGCATTGATCCTGTGACAATTTGGAGTATAACTTAGTCTGAACAAATACCATATCCTGCAAACAACTCAATCTATTTTCATCACAATAGCAACAATAGATGAAGTAAACTACACCCGAGCTCAGCCGCCGGGAGCATCTTCCCCATCCACAACCCACCCAAACCTTACACTGCTGCCCACCAAAGCTAAACGCAAGTCTGGCCAAACCTACACCCATCGCAGTCATGGTTGTGTCATCGTGGCGACTATTCGGATTCAAATATAAGAGGACCTGAACAACAAGTATCATCTCCTAACAATAATAACCAATTTTGAGTTAAATGATACACACATCATCATCATCATCCTACCCACTATGCCGAACCCAAGTCTGAGTTACGGAAATGGCATGTCATCCGGACCTAAGTAAGCACCACTCCTTCCCCCTCGATACCGAAGTAAATCATATACGGACATCATTCTAACCAATATACATATATGGATAGGTCCCGGAATGTCGCCTTCCTAACCATGTTCGCGGTTATCTCCGGCGCCTTGCTCACATTCCGGATGCAGTCGCCAAGCAAGGAGAAAAGATTCTCTCCCGAGGGAGACCAGCAGGCTGTTGATGGGGAGAATAAGCTTGGGCGCTCGATGTTTGTTTCTGATGGGGATCGGGAGGCTGTTAAGGGTGGAAAGCCCGGAGAACCCAAGGTCGGTCGTGCGCCGCATGAGGGGTTGGGTGGGCGGTGATATTCTAGTTGATTTGTGTTGGCTGAGAGGAGATGTTGTACATGGGTATTTTGCATAACGATGTTGTTTTCTTCGTTGGGGTTGCAAAGGGGGTAGGGTCTGTGAAATAGGTCTGGTACCTTGTACTTATACGCAGTGTTCTGGTGATGCATAGAATTATTAGGTTTGTGATTAATTGAAGGAATTATCTATGCTGCCTCCCCGCAACACTGTGATGATTCTCTGGCTAAGACTATTGCTCCGTGGTATCCTCCTTCAGCACGCGGGCTGATACGAGGGGGCTCTCGTCTAGGATACGTGTGAAGTCATGAGCGTCGACACAGGCCTGGCGCGAGTTAAGTACACTAGGCTCTGCGCGCCTGAAGACGTCGTTCTCGTAGGCGTCCAATGCATCTCGCAGCGCTTGTGTCGACATGGTTCTGTTTGGACCGATTAGTTAGTTGTCTCCAACCACAGTAGTACATCCGCTGATAGACTCACCCTAGCGAACGCATATCCACACGTTGGGTCAGATCCAGTACATCGACGATGGCATTATTGGCCCCTTCTCCACGGTCTAAATTATCCCTGTCAGCATGTATATTCCCATATAGCACAGCATTATATGGACATACACATAGTCATTGTATGCGCCGAATCACCCATCAGCACAACCCTGGGGTGCGAGCGATTTTGCAGCGGTCGGAACATCCAGTCCGCGATGCGGATTGACCGTGCCTCCGTGTCCTCAGATAACCGATGGACCAGGGTCCTGAATGGCTCCGCCCAGTCCGAGGCCAAGGATTTCATGAGGGCGATTCGCTCCCCGTTGTCGCTGGGGACTGCGATATCCTTGGAATCTGCCCATGATAGTATGATCTGGCATTCATATTTGTCTTTGCTGCTTTCGACGAAGTTGTTCGGGGTATCGAGTACTAAGATAGAGGATAGTAAGTTAGCCATCGTGTGTATGTGGGACTTGTGATAGAATGGGGATATATACATACTGCTGAAGAAGAGAAAGACGTTAGATTCAGGGTGCGAGCCCTGAAATATGAATGGATCAATCTCTGCAGCCCCTGCCATCTCCTCTGCTGTATACAGAGTAGCTGCGCCGAGGATCTGCACCGGTAGTGGATTCATCTCATGGCTGTCCGGGTACAAGATCTCGCGGGTGGGGGATCGCGATCCATCGCAGCCGATCAAGAGGCATCCTGTGTAGGAGGTTCCGTCTGCGAAATGCGCGGTGACGGTATCGGCGGTGGACTCGATATTTTGGAGAGTTTTGTTCCACTACAATTCTGGTCAGAGTGGTCTGAAAGGTTTGAACTCATTCCATTCCATCTCACCAAGGTAGTGGATAAAGACTTACCTGAACATCGAGCCCCGTGGCTACCAGCTGCCTCAATCGAACACGACTGACCCGAATCCGCTCCGCAGCTGGAACGCTGTACAACGCAGATCCGGTTTTCAGGTCAAAGAACGAAAAGCGACCGGTGTCACCGCGAGCAGCCGCCGCCTTGTTGACATATGCCTCTGGGAGGCGTTGCACGAGGTGGTCCGGTAGGAGTTCCCGCAGTGCAGGGAGCGCCCAATGAAGCGTCAACCCCCAACCCCCGCTCCGTGCGTCGATGGCGGCATCGCGCTCGAAGATCTTGTAAGGGACACCGAGCTTCTGGAGATGCTGGGCCAGAAGAAGGCCACTGATGCCTGCGCCGACGATGAGAACGGGAAGATCATCCATGATGTGGGCAGCGAGGAGGCACGGATGTTCGGTTCCACGGGAACACGGGTTCATCCCCTGACCCTTTTACCTGAAGACGCATCGCTGTAATACTGCTGAAATCAAGGGCCGGACGGGGTGCCGGCTGGAATCGGACGGTCACACGTGTGGCAGGTGCGCAGGAATTGGATTGGTGGAACCATGATCATTGGGAATGTGCCAATGGGATGAGAATGTAAGGCATTGTTGGGGATGGGGTCAGGCCGACGAAACTATACTACTCCGTAGTTGGTTGGTCTTAGAGAGCTTGATGGTGCTAAGGCTCGTGTTTGTCTCTGAATAATTTATGCTTATCTTTTCCAGTTAGATCAGGGGGGAATGCTCGGTGAGAGTCAAGATTGATGCCGCATTGTCTGATAACTGAGGGTCACTGTTAGAAATGCCATCACCATGTCGTTGGATATGCAAGGAGCCAGAGACTCGTATCCGTGCTGCTAAGAACAACGAACAGGGTTGGTAAGGTTGACGACCAGCAGCTGGGATACAGGACTCTATCAGGCAATGAAAACCTCTGCCAACCTTAATTTAATCATAATTAAACCGTAATCACGACGCAATAAAGTTACATTGGATGTTTCGTGCCCCTCTAATGCGTGAGGTGAAACAAGGCCGGCCCTAAAAGAGCCTTAACAGCACTAAGAATGTTAGGCTGGAATCGCGTGGGGGACGGCGTCGTGCTTGAGGCCTTAGTCCCGGTCTCTAGCCCTACCACCACAGTTACTTCTCCGGTGTCAACCTGTCACTGTCCGTCCGTAGTGGATCTGAACCGTACTGATAGTGGTGCCATCTCTCTAGCAGATACTTAGCACACCGGCCAGACCCTAATATCCAGTTACTGGTTTGACTAGGCGGCCAGATTATCCATCTCTCACCAACAGGCCAGCTGGCGTGGGCGGGACACAGCTCGGTCGCCGCCCGGGGCTGGCCGTCCGGGTGGACCACCATTAAGGTTTCACGGGACGCACAGGATTCTTCCTGGATGGAGCTAGGCTTGATGGCCGGGAAGATCCCGTCGGGGACGGTTGGCCTGGCCTGTTCTGCTCGACTCCATTGGCTTGTGTCTGTTACATCGACCCAGTATGATCCTGGTCTGATTTGATCCTGAGAAGCGTAAGCACTATTAATCCCGTCGTGCTAAGCACCTAATAAGATTCCTGCATTGCACTATTTCAGAAATCGCCGGAAAGTGGCTCACAATAGGACGAGAAGAAAAAGGAAGACCCAGTGAGTGATTAATATACATAACGAAAGTCTAAGAGATTAGTTCTAAGGAATGGCGCCATCAGTCGTTGGCAAGAGTACTGGCATCACTCTCTGACCTCTGTCGTTGGCCTCTTCTCTAGCGACACGCGCAGCTCCACCGTCATATGAATGCCTCCCTCGTCGACGCCCCCACTCTCGAGGATAAGCTCTTCGCTGGGCGTGCGTTTGGGTTGCGGCGCCGCCGAAGTTGTCGACCGTAACTGCGAGCGCGGGTCTTTGGACCAGGTCTGCAAAGCATAGCTCCGGCTATCGTACCCTTTCCGGCCACTGTACGATCGGAAATCGCGCACTGCACCTTTCAGCAAAGGAGCGAGGAAGGGGACACAAGTTACAATGTTCTAATACAATTAGTCAGTGACTCGGTGCATAATCCTATTTCGCGTGCTCGTGGAAACCTACCCCGACATTGAACTCAATTGTGCCCCACAGCACCAACATGGTCGAATTTCCATCGCCATATGCCACCCGATGGATTTGCGTGAGGCGAAGGATAGAGCAGATCGTGGTGAACAGCCCCAGCAGGAACAGACAAACTACTCCCGCTTTCTGTGCGGTCTTGATATTCAGTTGAAGCAACAGCGGAATGGGAAGGATGATGATGGTGATGTCGCAGATAATGGTGAAGATGGCTAATCCATAGAATGTTGGCCCTGCTGGAAGACACGACCCTGAGATGTTGGGGTTCCAGGCGCGCTCAACCTTTCGATCGTCATATCAGCCAGCTTGCCCTGCGACTGGAAAATATTTCACTCTCTCACCGGCTGGCAGTCGAATATCAGAACTAATGTTCCCGCAAGATGGCCAAGTGTCGAGACAGCTATCACGGCCCATATAAGGATTCGGTAGAAATTCTTGGATGTTCCGGAAATCAATCGCAAATAATTGAGGCATAGGGAAGCTTTGAATCCTGCGATTCCAAGTTGGTAGAATGGGCGACCGGCATAATTGAGCTGTTGGTGTTTTTATAAATACTTCGTCTTGACTGAAATTCAGGCACAGCGCATACCTTTGTGTAATCCGGAAGGTCTGCCTTGGGGCGCAGCGACAAGGGTAATCCGAGGCCGTACCTGCTCTCTGTTGAAAGTGAGCGCTTAGACTGGACTCAAGGCTTGGTCGACTCACGAGCGACGCACAATGCGCTGTATATGATGCTGAAGATCTGGCACCGATTAGCGGTCGGATCGTCTATCCACCGAAGGTAACCCACCATAGTCACCAGCATCACAAAATCGGACGCTTCCAATCGGCGGGCGTTGAATCGAATTGCTAAACGCAGGCAGACTGTGATAATCATCAACAGGGTCAAGCCCAGGCACACCCCTAGAATGAGGCGATATTGCGACTCCGCTTCCACTTCAGGCGAGGCATGGTGCACCCAGCCCATACTGGCAGTAAATGTAGAAGGTCAAGGAGAAAGAGGGGAGAGACATGAGGGAGAAGGGATATTTGCGTAGTGATTATGCAAGTCGTGCTGTGCGCTGGTTGAAGGGATTTTTCGATCCTGGGCTTCGCAGGATCATGCTGAAGCCCTACAACAAGGGGCAAATTTGGTCCTCAGAGCTGGAACATGATTCGGATTCAGAATCCTTCAGCAATTAACTTCGGTCAGGCCAAGAATACCGTAGTGAACGGGATGATTCCTGGTGGGTTCGCAATCAAAATCCTTCGGCGACCAGAACAATCCGGGCTGGATCGCGCGCACTAAATTTCGAACCCTAGTCTAGCGTAGACATTGGAACATCTGCAGGCCTCTGCAAGATGAAGTGGCCAGGCAGTTATCTTGACAAATATATTATAACTACTGGAACCCAATGGCACCCCTGCGGCCAATCCGGTTGAACTTCCCGTGGTTTTTTGCCTGCAGGATCCTGCATGTAACCTCCCATCCCGGCATTCCTTTCCCTGACTGTGTCTTGTTCTTTCATTATTTTCCCGCAATTTTCCCCCTTGTCTCTTTTCTTTTCTTTTGCTTCTGGTCCCTTGTCGACAGATCTATAGATTCAACATGGAGGAGAAGCTGCCGGGCGCCTTTTCTCAGGCTCTGCCTGTGGATCGCACCGACGATGCTGTGGAATACCTCCAGGGCCATGCGGCCGCCGACAGCCCTCAGATCGACCTACGGGCATTGCGTCGGAAGATCGACTGGCATCTGATACCCTTTATGTTCTCGTGCTATGTCCTGCAATTCTTGGACAAGGTCATGCTCAACGTAAGTCGTCGCAAGCCTCCTGCCAACACACCCCTCATTGACGCAAGGGGGGACATAGTATGCTGCCGTCATGGGGATGAAAACGGAACTTCACCTCGCGGGGAACGAGTACACCAACACCGCAACGTGGTTCTTCCTGGCCTATTTGATCGCTGAAGCTCCCAATAGTATGTTCGTTTGCCTCAACAAACATGAATAGTGCGCTGACGCCTTTCTCTCATCAGTCTACTGTCTGCAGAAAGTCCCCGCCGCCAAGTGGCTCGGTGTAAATGTCGCTCTTTGGGGAGTTGCCGCTGCAGCCTCCGCAGGAGCCAAAAACTATGCGACCCTCCTGACGGCCCGTGTCTTCCTGGGTATCTTCGAAGCCACGATTGGCCCGTCGCTGATGCTGATCAGCAGTCAGTACTATACAAAAAGCGAGCAGGCACCTCGCTTCACCCTCTGGTATAATGGTTTGGGAGTGGCCCAGATCATTGGTGGCCTGGTATCCTTTGGGTTCCAGCATGTTCACCATGGAGCCACCCTGGCCGGGTGGCGCATCATGTTCCTAGTCATTGGCTTGGTCACGGTACTGATTGGTGTACTCACTCTGCTCTTCATTCCTGACACCCCGATGAAGGCCAAGTGGCTGTCCGAGGAAGAAAAGGTGGCTCTCCTGCAGCACGTCAGTGTCAACCAGACGGGAGTGTGGAGCAGCGCCATCAACCTTAAGCAGATCTGGGAAGGCGTGCTTGACATCCAACTCTGGCTATTGGTCTTGATCACCATCCTCGTAAGATGAGTCCCTGTCCATCACACACCTCACTTCCAAGCTAACCCCGTGCCAGATCTCTGTTTCTAGCGGTGTTGTAACCACCTACTCCGCCACTCTCATCGCCGGGTTTGGATACTCCGGCCCCATCTCCGCCCTTCTCAACATGCCCTCCGGAATTGTCAGTATCTTCTTCACCCTCCTCGTCGGCTTTGGTATCCGCAGAACCTCGCACCGCTGGGCCTGGAACGCCTTCTGCACTATTCCCGGCATTATCGGCGGTGGCCTTCTCTCCTTCCTCCCTAAGAGCAACAAAGCCGGTGTCCTCATCGGTATTTACCTGGTCAATGCCATTGTTGCCACCCTCCCCATCCTGTATCAGTGGACCATGGCCAACTGTGCCGGTCACACCAAGCGCGCTTTCAGCAGTGCACTGATCGCCGGCTCCTTCTCGGTCGGGAACATCATCGGGCCCCAGACCTTCCAGGCCCGTGATGCCCCTGAATATCGTCCCGCGAAGATTGCGGTGCTGGCCACGCAGGCAGCGGCAGCCGTCATGTCTGTCGTGCTGTTCGCATATTATGTGTGGGAGAACCGGAGACGGGATCGCCGGTATGGCAAGGTGGAGGATTCAATGGTGGATGAAGCCAAGTGGGCTGGGCTGACAGACAAAGAAAACACGAGGTTTCGGTATGTGTATTAATGAAGAGGAAAATGTGATCTTTTTCAATTATTGTATAGCAGCCAGCAAAGGGCTCTTATCAGGCCTCAGTTGTCTGGTTTGTGCATGTCCTGACTTTGTGAATGGACGAATATAGCATTATATTCCATCTTTCTTTGATTTTCCTGTAGGATCACACTCACATATTCTCTCCACGTAACGTATTCACTCTAGTGAGCACCAGGCTCTCAAAAGGGTCAGCCCAAGACATCGATATACATTATGCATATGCAAGTAATACTGCTTATGTCATTTATGCAGCACCCATCCCCTTTCTGGATGGCCGATGGGGTCTCGCGCTCCACCGACCCGTCAATAACATCATCTATCTAGATAAGATAGTTAGCTTGAACAGCAGCTATCGCCATGGCAGGACGCATCACCCAATGCGCCCGTCGTCTCGGATTGCTTCACGCCAAGCTACACCTCTCCTGTCGCCATAGTATGCCTACCCCTACACCACATCTCCGGAACATCACACGCGCGTCATATCAAACAATCCGTTACTCTTCGCAGTGGAAATCCTCCTTGACCGTATTTCCCACCACAGATGCCCTTATTGATCCCAGTATAGAGATTGAGGAAGAGACTCTCCCCACTTACCATCCAGAAAAGTACTACCCGGTGCAACAGGGAGAGGTACTCGATAACAGGTATCAGGTGCTTGCCAAACTCGGTTACGGAGTGACATCAACTGTCTGGTTAGGTCGCGACCTTCGGTACGTCTGAAAGGCCTCCTTCATGGCCACGCTGCCCCTAACAAAAGTGAGATCTCAGTGACTCCAAATATGTTGTGCTTAAGATATATGTCACTGGCCAAGAAAAGAATCATGAGCTGGAGATCTACAATCGTATGAATGCTGTAGAAGTTGAGCACCCAGGGAGAGATCTCGTTCGCAGGCTCTTCGATCATTTCACTGTCACCGGGCCCCACGGCCCTCATGTTTGTCTCGTTCATGAGCCTATGGGCATGAGTGCAGATACGCTCCTGCAGAAATACATCCCTGGAAATACTATGACTCTGGACGAGATGAAGACTTGTATCAGGCAGCTATTGATCGCTCTGGACTTTCTGCACTCTGCTGCTCGTATAGTACATACTGGTAACTCCCCCACCTGTACAATCTGGACTGCTGAGCTAATCCAGGAAAAGATCTTCAATTGAAGAATTTGCTCCTCCCAGTCCCTAATACTAAGACTCTCGAGACTCTCGAAGAACGAGAAGTCAACGATCCGTCACCTAGAAAGATTCTCAAGGACAGGACCATCTATCTCTCTACCGTCTATAACCCCGGGGGAAGTGGCCTACCCCTAATAAGTGATTTCGGCGAGGCCCGCTTTGGCGATGTCGAGAAAAGAGACGACATTATGCCGAATATGTATAGGGCTCCTGAAGTTGTCTTAAAGGAGAACTGGAACTACAAAGTGGACATATGGAATGTTGCGATGGTGGTAAGATACCCTCTCGAGACATATACTCCGCCCTACCTCCATGCTAAACCTTTCATTATAGGCATGGGACATCGTAATTCCTCGACACATGTTCGACGGCAGAAATGCAGATGGGATCTTCGATGACCGAGTGCATATTGCGGAGATGATAGCGCTCATGGGACCTCCTCCGGCTAGTTTCCGGGAGCGGTGCAGATTAGCTTATGTCTTCTGGGATGAACAGGGTAAGACCAAGATTCTCTATGACCCAAGTTCTATCTAATTGTTATCTCTAGGTAATTGGAAGGACTTAGCGCCAATTCCGGATATATCTTTGGAAAGCTTAGGTGCGGATATCCCAGGGGAGAATAGAGAAGGGTTCTTCCGATGGCTTCGGAAGGCCTTGCAATGGAATGCAGAGGATCGGCCGACTGCGACCGAATTTCTGTTTGACGAGTGGTTGATGGAGGGGCTCAGACGGCCGAATAATGAAGATGCGAAGACCTGAATGCGTCTGCATCTGCTTGTCGGTGTGATTGGTATACAACTATCCCACCTTACGCCTGAAAAATGTAAAGGATAATGTATATATCTCATAGTAAGATATCCGCTTACTCTAAGCGGGCCATAAATATGATATAATCTCTTCTCGGTCTATATACAACTTCCCTAGCCACCACTATTCCGGCTTCCCCAACCACGAAACCATCTTCACCACCACCCTCCTACCCTAATACTAGATATTCTTCAGATCCTCCGCATTACTCTTCTCCCAAGGATACTTTTGCTCCAACGACCGAAGTAATTCCAAATGCTTCGCGCTCCTCGGCCGAATAGACACATCAAACGGCGCAGGATGGCTGATGACACCGGGCAGAAATTCCGGCTGAACATCCTTAACTTTCCCGTTTTTCACTGGCTTCGAGATCTCAAACACAGCAAGTGCCTGAGCGACAGTGAGATACACGTTCACATCAGCCAGAGTCCGCCCCGGACAGACTCGTCGACCGAACCCGAACACAAGGAAGTGAGGATCTCGCTCTGGCTTTGGGCTGAGGAATCGTTCGGGTTTGAAGGTCATGGGGTCGTGGTAGGCTGCTGGGTCGTGGGTGAATGCCCTATATGATTTCACTAGTGTTAATTGGTGGTAAAATGTATGGGTCATAGGGTGAAAGGGGGACTGACCATATATTGGCAAGAACTGATGACCCCTTAGGGATAAAGTAACCCTCGCATACATCATCGGCGGTTGAGGTGTGGGTGAGGCTCATGGGTACCACTGGATGCCATCGGAACGTCTCTTTGACTAACGCATTGATATAAGGTAATTGTTCCCGGTCCGCGTACTGCGGCAGTCGATCTGTTCCAATCACCGTGTCGAGTTCCTGCTGCGCCTTGCGCTGCACTTCGGGGAAGAGAGCCATTGCGAGGAAGAAGCTGGCTATGGAGGATACGGTCTGTTGATGAATTGTTAGTACGGCATTGTATGCATGTCGGATCGAATCAGCACAAGGCAAGCGCTCCTTACCGTATCTGCACCCCCAGCGTAAAGCGATCCAGCCGACCACTTGACCGTGTTCTCTTCTTCGGATCCAGGCTCTAGGTCACTGCTCTCGAGGAGGTTGGAGAGAAAAGAGGGAACAAAGCGGCCAGTGCGCATTTGTTCCTTCACGAATGCGTATGGGATATCGCTAAATGCCGTGACATTCTTTCGATAGCGTTGTGCGATCTTCATAAATTCTGTGCCTGGAAACCAAGATGGAAGATACTTCACTGATAATCCAATTAGTCTGGCTTGTCTCTGTATGACTGCGGGCTATGGCTTACGGGGTAGGAAAAAGTCCACTGCCCATGTGGCTGGAAGCATAGCCATCGAAAAATCCATCATTGCTTTGTCGGCCAGATCAACCAATGGGTCTTGATCATGCGGTTCGATGGTATATCCATACCCTACCTTTAGGATGATTGCGCCCGCCTCTCTGGTGGTTAATCTTTAGTCTCCGCGATCGATGAAGGGGTATGGGAGGAAGGTGGTTTCGACCCACTTGCGTATATGCTTCATCAACTTATCCGGCGCATCCAGCACCCTCAGTAGAAACCGACCCACCTCCGCTGTCTGGATTTCATTGAATCGAGCGACCGAAACGTTGGAGCCAATCTCCCTATGCAGGTTCTTGCGCGTTGCTCGGAAGCGCTGGGACTGCTTCACCGCTCCGAGGACGTTGTTCCAACCCGCCCTGTACAATTGATTAGTTGATGTGCGGTCCTACTTATGTAGGTCTTGTTGTCTCACATCTCTGCAAAGTGTTGTTGCGGACGCGAGGAATGGATCGACGATCGTGACTCAAGTAATTCTACCGCTAGTCGGGCGTCGTTCAGGACGATGATGGTTTGGCCCATGATGCTGAGTGAACTGATTGGGCCTTTTCGCAGTCAGACAGGATGCCACACATTTCCAAGTCAGTTCAACACCCAGTCATACCATAGCGATCCTTGTGCTTCAGCCAGTGCTGCCAATCCTGCTGGCTTGGATCGGGCAGGTCCCAGAGATTACCCACGATGGGTTTCCGTCGAGGACCGGGAGGTAGAGGCGGACGCTTGCTCTTGCGGGTAAGAACGGCGAAGAAAATATATACACTGGTAAAGGCAATAAAAGCCCCCCGTCCACATTGTGACTAGCATGGTGGCGATGGGGGAGCTGAGCATAACGGCATCAAGGAGCGAAGTGGGCTAGGGGCTAGCAGAGCGAGCTCTGTCTGCTTTATACTGTAGGGCAGCTAGAGGAGGGGTTGTGCCGATGTTGCATAATTAATTTATTTTTTATTGGTCTCTGCGTTATCGCTTCCACAATCGATCAGAGATGCTGCATGGATGGTGCATTAGTTCAACTGCTCAGCTCTCGGGTATGCGTTGTGGTTGGTGTGGCATGGACAAGCGGCCTCCGATCAAGGTTGCAGAACGCCATCGTGATCTTGCTACGGTCGCTTCTGCAAGCCAGGTGTGGAACCTTGTGATTATCGGGCGTTTCTTGGTGGCTGAGCTGAGTCTTGTCGCAGGATTGTCTGTCGCTGATGCTTACCCTGCTTCCCCGCAGTGGTGAGGATCTCTGGCTGGGCAGGTCGGTGTTCTCGCTGGTTCGTGATGTAATTGAGAACTGCTCGAGTGCACTGCACTTGGATAGCAGTGAGTATTGGTCAATGTATCTTCGTATCATATCTGTTGGTACTGAATCACAGGTTGGTTATGTCGCCGGCTCTCTTCACTCTCCCCGATGGTCGAGGGGCAGGCATCATTATCATGACTAAATCGGTCGCTGGTGCTTGTACAACTGACTTCGGTACTCTGAGAGGGCATTGGACTGTAGATCTGTGGTGGATAGTGTGCTTCTAGTGGGAATGTTGTTTTTTCCACCTTGGTCCTCGCGAGGAAGCCAGCACGGGTACGAGGAATATATTTCCGCTGGATGAGTTGCCTACCTGAACAACTATGCCATTCGACATCGTCCACATCCAAACATCCCAGTCAACAACTGTCTAAGAAACCATATAATCAGGCATATTATACTAAGGAATCTATGACCACCAACTGTCCCCCATGTGGATTTCTAACACCATGACGACCTATCACTTCAGACCACTGCTTTGCTAGTATAGCTAAGTTATAGAGCAAAAGTAGACCCCTGTCTTTCATCAAATGGGGCTGTGGTTTAGTGGTATAATATTCCCTTAGCATGGGAGAGGTCCGGGGTTCGATTCCCCGCAGCTCCATTTTTTGTGTTTTTTTTTTTTCTTTGTTGTTGTCTTTTGCCATTGCTGTATCCACTCCTCCCGAGATTGTCTCTACGATCGAGGCTTCATCCTATCACTACCCAGAGATGCTACTCCTTCATACTCCCCCAGTTACTGAGAATTCTTGCTTGAGTGCCGCAGCTCTGTGGTCAAAGTAATCCGTATCAGTATGTGTCCCAGCACACTATTGTAAACCCATTCAATGTTAACCAAATTGAAGCCCGAAATTAGCCAGTTCGTTAAACGCCTCATAGCATCAAATACCGAAGCATCTTCTATCCCGTTAGATCCCAACTCAATCAGTCTTAAGCTAGTACTGAAGTCCCACTTCTAAGCCCCCACAAATACCACTACAATCGTAGTATATATCTATACTATATAACTCCCTAAGCCTCACCCCTCCCGAGGCCTACACGAAAAACTCCCCGCATCATTCACATCCCCATGCCCATCGTACACCAGCGTCGCCGGATACCGACACAACTCCCTCGTCACCTCCTTCCCATCCGCCTTGACAGCCGCCGCACTCAACCTATCAGGCGCAATCCCTTCCTCCACCCAGCGCACCAATGCGCCCAACAGATCAACGGGTTTCGGTCCATGCCCAGCCGAGCAGTGACCCAGGCCAGGGGCAAGGAAAACCCGATAGAACTCATCCACATCCGCACCGTCCGTCTTATCAATCCCCTCCCAGAATGCGTTCGTCCATGACGCTGGAATTAACTCATCCGCCAACCCGTGCCAGGTCAATAGCTTCCCCCCTGCACGACGAAACTCAGAGAGATTCAGATCATCCGATCCGAGAATGCCATTGTAACCGTCCAGCGTGAGGCGGTAGGCGGTGTTGAAGTCGTCGAAGGTCATGTCGAATACGTTGTAGTCCGGGTCCCGATAAACGAAGTTCTTAATCCAGCCGATGATGGGGAAGAAGGGGACGGGCCTGACGATGGATCCGTTGATTACTTGAGTGTTTGCCGTTCCGCGGAATGAGGCGCCCGGTGGAAGGCCTGTCCAGAGGTCGGGGTGATCTTGTAGATCAGGGCCCTGCAGGATTTGCTTGACGAGGGTGGCGTGCTGGGCTGTGATGGTCACTGGGGAATCTGAGCCCATCTCCGGACAGGTTACCGTGTGCCCAACAAGTGTTTCGGGCTTGAATGGGCAGCTCTGTGGATTGTAATCCGATATCAACCCGTCCGTGGCTCCATCAAGTGGATCGCATTCGTCTATGATTGCCTTCCAAAAGGTGTCAAAGACGCACTGTGGCGGCGCTGCGGAATGGAACATATGCACCGGCGGCCAGAACATATACCCGATCAAACGTGGGAAATTGAGGGCCGGTGCACCGGCTAGAACTCCATCGAAGAGATTCGGATACTTTGCTGCAGCAAAGTATCCCTGCCTGCCGCCGGTAGAGCAGCCGCTCCAGTAGGAGTATCTTGGCGGGGATCCGTAAAAACGCTCGGTGAGAGTCTTCCCGATGATAGTCATGTCATAGATCGAGCGATGGGCGAAGTTCAGTAGCAGAGCAGTGTTGATGGAACCGTCGGGGCGCAGAATCCAGGCCCCCGTCTGGGGATTACTGGTTCCATTCAAGGTTAGTCCGCCATCGGTAGCAGCTGTTGCGTAGCCCTGGCTGACTGGGTGAGCTGGGGCCAAGCCAATGATACCGGCTGCGAGGCCGCCGCCACCAGTAGCCTGGAAACGGCCGTTCCAGTTGTTTAGGGGGAGCCAGACGGAGACGGAGACGGTGTCATCTTCACCAGGGTGAGTCAGAGTGACGGATACGTTGCAGAAGTCAAGATTGTGTACGTCTGCGAGATTGTATGGCGGGGAGGTTGCTACGCTGTAGTTATGGACCTCTTGGCGCGTCATGGATATGATGTCAACCCCGGGGATATGTGGCAGGGTTAAACTACCGCAGGGTTGCTTCTTCGGCTGCCAAAAGTAGGCGAGCCATGCTATGAAGAAGTTGGTAAGGTAGACCAGCATAATGAGAGAGGATGAGATTCGCTTTGCGGGGTTGCGGTAAGGGATGTGGGTGAGGGGATGGAGAGTAGTAGTTCTTAAATGCTCGGTGACCCCGGCTCATTTATAAGCGCCCGAATCCTTCTCATGCAGGCTGGAATCGGCTTTGGGGCAGATGCATGTAAAACCAGGCCATCCAATAAGACTGATTCTTCAATATATTCCTTTGCAATTCTATGTGTTATCCCCATTCACCCCTCACTGAACCGCATGCGTGCTTTTCTTCTTGTTAAATTCTCTAATCTAGCTGTCATTTGCTTGTGCTTTCCAGGATGTTTTCCTCTCACGAATGCCTATCTCGGCCGGTTAAGCAGCCTTCTAAGTCTTCATAGGGGGGAGAGGATCATCGGTGGAGACAGTACTATGGATGAGGAGGATCGTCGGTGGGCCCTAGTCAACAAACTCGATCGTGTGTTGGCTGGACTGCATACCTAACTTGTAACGGGGATTATAATTTGTGGAGATATTTACTGTAGCCAGACACCCTCCAGATCCTTTGCTGCTGCTGCCTACGTGCCCTATCTTTCTCCTCTTCCTCCTGAAGGATCTTCGATATTGAGATGGATCCTAGACACACTTGACCCTGCCTCTGTTGCTCCGATGTCGTGAGATGATTCATACTTGTCAGCTAAGAAGAATCAAATTCATATTATTATACCCGATCGAGCTTGCCATGTGATATGCTAGCTATGCATGTGCGTCAGCTAAAACATAGCCCCTAATTCCGGGCCTGTAAATCATAAATTAAATCCAGAGAATTCGCTGAACGCCATAACCCGCCCCAAATGCCGCCGCTAAGCTGATATATGCGCCATACCGTGAGTCCAAAATCCAGAACAAAGAGCAGTCTACCGCATGTCGACATGGAACAGATACTTCTGCTGGATCTGAGCCACATCGTACACAATGTACTCATTGTACATCAGCCCCCTCGAGTTAGAATTAGTGGTCGGCATCCGCACATCGGGCATCAACACCCCCTTCAGATCTTCATTGACACAGCCAGCGTCCTTCCATCCACCAGGGATCGAGCGACCACGACCAAGAGTGGCAATTTTGGCCTCCGCTTTAGCTTCTTGGCCCGCGTTGAAGCTTGCAGTGTCCCGCTCATACATGGGATTGCCGACCTCAACGTCACAAAGAAGGAGCAGACCCCTGTTTCCACTCCCCCAAGAGAAACAGTAACCCGCTGACTTGGTCGACATATCCGCAAAGTAGACACCTTTGCCAAACATGTACCCGCTGACGGGGGCCTCGGGCGGTGCAATACGTAGACCCTGGCTTAAGATACCACCAAAATTGGTGCTGCGAGAACCGTGCCACAGGAGACGGCGACAGGAGTTTTGGATATTGGAGTACATGGATGATTGGAACCGGTCTTTCTCGCCTTGGCGCTCGATGCGGAAGATGTTTATGACCTGTTACGGTTAACTTGGTTCATTAAAAATGGTGCATCAGATACGAACCTTGTATTGAACGCCGTGGGTGTGACCGCGAGACTGGTTGAGGTAGTTGGCCAGCTCGATGAATTCGGTAGATGTGTGTTCCACTGCTTAGAGTTAGTACTAGTCAACGGGGCAAGGCTACAGGGACCAGACGTACATGGCGTCATCTCTTGCATATTCAAGCCCTGGAACTGACGGTCCAGAGGGTGGACTGTATCGGTGTTTCTGGCATCTTTCATGATACTGTTCGCAACTTCCATGTCGGTCAATGCCTCCAGCAGTTCGATCTCTCTCTTGAGTAGATTGTCGTTGTTCAACACCGGGGGTCTGTTGCGTCCGAATGCATGCGGAATCACGGTAAAGTATAGGTTGCTGAGATGCTCCACTGCAGCAGTAAAGCTAGTATCGTACTTTGTACTTGCCAGGGCAGGATTAGCAATAAGCTCTGACAGATCCTTCAGTGCCTGAAAACCGTTCTGGAGAGTACGCTTGCTCAGCTTCCCCAAGGGTAATTTCTGAGCGTCGTAGGACATGGAAGCCATGGTGGACTGAAAAAAATCCTTGTTGAAGATGAATGACACGAGGTCCTGGACGGGTGCTGATAAGGTGCATTTCACTTCCTCTGCCTTGGGCTTGGTGGGTTTCTTCGCGACGACTTTGTCTTCGTCCTCGTCTTCGTCTTCCGTGTCCTCTTCATAGTTCTTTTCAATGAAGGTGTATTTACCCTTCTTTGGTGGATCCAAGCGATTTTCCCAGGTCAAGCCGGACTTGTCCTTGAACTTTTTCTTGAACTCATACTCTGCCTCATCTAAGCCGCCACCACCCAGCAAAGCGTGTTGTCCATGTTCGCCTACCCGACCCCAGTGGGTCCAAGTCCTGAATTCGTTGTTTCTGTGGAGAAGCTGAATGCGGTAGAATTTGTTGTTATTGTTGGTCGCACTCGTCTGATTGAGTGTCGCATCCCAGATGAGGCCTGTGGGATCAATGTACACGGTGAAGGTCACTATTCACGTTAGCTTTCCCTTTAGGCTATCCAAATTCGGTGTCTCTTACATCGAAGAGGACATGTATCATCGACAGGAACATTGATTTGTTTGGTGCCGACCGTCTGTGCGTCCTTGAGCTTCTTCGTAGTGCCATCCTCGTTAATTCCCAGAGCCTGTTCTAGGGTGCGCTTCTTTGGACTTTCCGGCTCATCGTCTTTCTTGATGTCGGAGCCCATCAGGAATTTCTTCTCATCCAACTTCTTTCCTGCACTGTCTGACTCAACAAGCCAGTCTAAGGAGACGATGTTGCAGGTGTAGACCTTGCGAGCCTGCGTGTCTAAGAATTGTCAGCAGAAGGTGTAGACAGGGCTCTGCTTGGTACTCACATTTGACGCTCTTGTTGTCCACTTCCCTTTGGGTGGTCACTAGATGAGTGCAATCTTCCGTCACTGCTGAGCTGAAAGTTCCCCCATGACGCTGGATGATGGTCTTCAGATTTGCTATTTGAAGTGAGTAAAATCAGTATGTGGCTTCTGGCAGTAACGTCAGACATGCTCACCTTGTTTGTAGCCACCGGAAAAGGACCCAGCAACGGCTATGACCAAGCCCTTGAAAGCTTGGCCGGTCATGGTGAGTGAAATGTGGGGTGTGAGTGTGCTGAAGTATTAGACTATGGGAGTGAGTGGAGGGAAGTTCCCGTAGAATTGAGATGATAGGTAGTGTGAGTAGCGGAGTAGCGGACAAGAGCAATTATGTCGTCAGATTTCAGTCAGGATAATTAGAGGCGTGGGAGAGTAGTCACGAATGATGGAAGGCTCTTGTTATATGATGCTTATAGAAGAAGGACCAGAAATATGGGACAAACATCATTATATAGAGGTGAGCGTGAGGCGGAGATCTACTGGGAGGTGCAATCCACCAGCCTGAGGCTCCCGTGGCTGCTGCTGCCTGAGCTCTGGGGGAATTGCCGAACCAGTTGTGATTTGATTGGCGGAGCTTGAGTGGGCCTCCAGGCACCAGCCGTGCACGTGAATATGCCTGTGCGGAGGAGGCCCTGGAAGTTTATTTAGCTTTGTGTGTGTGTATTCAGGGTCTGGTTTATTATTAGGCAGCAAGGACTCTCGCAATAGCAAGACAAAGCTGCGACTATAAGTATGCGAAGTGAAAATAATCTCGCTTGTCGTCGTCCTTGTATTAAGCAAATGGCTAGATGAAGACCAGCTGGCATATATTGTACGATTGAGCAAGAACACCCAGTGTAACACGTACAATGGGAACAATGAGTATAAAAGCAAAGGAAAGGGGGAATAGAGCACGAAAGTGTCGCTAATCTAAACAAAAAAATGTAAAAAGAAGTAATCAAGCCAGTCGCCAGTTTTGGCGCTGCTGGGAATCGAACCCAGGTCGAAACGGCGCTGCGGAAAACCACAACGTTTCATGATGACCACTACACTACAGCACCTTGATTACATAAATCCGCTGATTTTATTACCTACAGAAGTGAGACTTGCAGGCATGGCGGTAAAGGAATAAGCAAGCAACTGGGTCCTGTAGCATCTGCGGCCAACAACATCTCAACACCGAACAACACAGGACTGGACTACTAGGAAACATGGAACGCGCGTCTGATCATTACTTGTCTTCTGATTATCCACATTAACATTAATAATGTACAGGGTATGGAAAAAATGCAACCGCCCAGATAGCTATATGCAAAACTTTTGTTTATTAAGGAAGCGTTTAGTGCTCCGCGACTCCGTTCTCCACTGGATCCTCCGCATGAGACTCAGCAACCTTGTCATAAAACGGCGCAAACTTGCTCCGCTTCCTCAGGTTTTTACCATAGAAATAGAAAGCAACCGGGATGGGCACCAGGATAGACGCCACACAGCCCAGCAGCGTGGCAGCCCACTGGATGCCCATGTTGTTAAACATTTGACGTGAGAAGAGGGGGAAGCTGGCTGCCACTAGGGAACGACAGAAGGTGTTCGCTGCGATAGCCGATGCGGCACTGGAATGATGATTAGAACAGGGTCCACTAACAACGAGTAAGGCAAGGCAACTTACAACATAAGGTAGGTGTCGATCAGATAGTTAAACAACTGGATGAAGATGATCAACAGACCAAGTCCAGTGAACAATCCACTCAGTGTGGGTACAATCCAATGGATACTCTTCGTGAATCCGGTCCAACCGAACCAGAATAGTCCTCCAGCGAAGAGCGCACCACCGATAATCACAGGCGGCAGACGCCATTCAGGGACGGGAATGCCCCCATTCGCTTCCAACTTCTTGTTGTACCCGCGACTGGCGAAAATGATATAAGAGGCCGCAATGAACAAACCGACCACCATGCCAAACAACGTCAATCCGCCAACTCCAGCAGACATACCGTACACGCCCTGGAAGACGAGTGTGTAGGCTGTCAAGAAGCAGTACAACAGGCCATAGATGAAACTGAGGTAAATCGTCACCGCCAGAATCAATGGCTCGCCAAAGAGCAACCGAAGGGGACGGGAAAAGTTATTCACCAGCAACTCCCGCAAGTCAACCTCGATTTCCTCCTGTTTGGCGTGGATGCCCCAGTTCTTGGTGCGACGGCGCAGTTCTGAAGCCTTCGAGACCAGGATGATCGGCGGATAGGATTCCTTCAGGAAGAACATGTTCAACACGAAGGCGGCATAGCCCATGAACGCGGGGATGTAGGCGGTCCAGCGCCAACCCAGGTACGACGTATTAATGAAACCACCGATAAACGGAGCCAGAAGCGGACCCAAGAACACTGTGCTGGAAAACATGGCAATGGCAACACCACGAGTGCGGTTGTTATAGATATCGGAGAAAACGGCAGCCACAACCGCCAGCGGACAACTGCCAAAGACACCACAGAAGAAGCGACAGATCATGATCGTCTGCAGGTCCTTGGCGACGGCGACAGCGGTGTTGAAGATACCGAATCCCAACATAGCCACCACAATGGGTGGCTTCCGTCCCTTCAGCTCGGAAAGGGGAGCCCACACCAGGGGACCGGACGCATAACCGCAGATATACAACGAACTCGACAGGGTGGCGACTTCAATACCTACACCGAATACCCGCGCAACGTTGGTGGTAGAGGAACTAAAGATAGCGGAATCGAAGGTACTGCAGATACTGGTGAAGGCGAGGATGGCGCTAATGTAAATCCTAGGCGAGAACATAAGTCAGTATTCGGTCGACCAACATGTCTTTCATGCGCGACAGGGTTGGAAAGGCATACTTCGTCCCCAATTCCCAGTTCTGAGGGTATAAAGGATCTTCTGGACCGTCAAACTCGACGACGTAGTCCTCGCGATCGGGAAGAGGTGGTGGGTAATCCTTGTTGGCGCCCATACGAGGCAAAGGCGTGCGGGAGGCGCGAGACTTGACACTTTCACCCACGGTCAACTGATGCTGAAGCCGCTGGGTTTCGATCCTGCTTAGGGCATGGGAAGTGGCCGTGCGATGACGCTCTAGATCGAGTTCGGTGTTCCGCGAATGAAGGGTGTGCAGCTGGGGATTGTATTCAAGCGAGCTACTGTAACCGGTCGAGCCAGTGGTACCTGAGGATGATGGCCTCTCGAGGCCTTCCTCCTTGCTCGCGCCATTAGTATGGGGCCGAGCATCGACCTCCGCCATCTCTAGTTGCTCGTCGATGGGAGACATATTGGCAGCCAGCAGGGAGCAGGATCTGGTCTGATCTGGACGACGGGCCCTGAAGCCAGGGATAACAGGATGTGCTTGCACGCAAAGGGACCAACAGGGACAGACAAAGGCTGAGCGATGGGGGTCTAGCCTGAATAATAAACGAAAACAGCTTGCTTGCCTCCACTGGTGTGGCACCCTAGGCCAGCATCCGATTTATCCGTCCTGCACTCGGGAGACCCACCGCGAACGGCTGCCATTCCTCATTGCGATTGCCGATTGAATGATCATCGGGGGCTTGCCAGGAGGAGATCCCAGGCGGAAGTCTGCTTGAACGGGGTGTAGATGACTTTCCTGGTAGCAATTGAATGAGCAGATGGCATATCTCGTGGATATTCCTGATGTTTGCCAGAGTTCTGAGGGGTAGAGTGAACTCTGCCTGAGGCACACCACGCAGAGCCCCTCGAACGCCAAGCCCCAGACTCCGCCTCCCTGACGTCATGCGCACGAGTCATTAGTCAGGCCTGCAAATCTTTTTGCAGGATTTGCATAGAATTTTCGCCTGGTTCGATCCGCCCGCGAGACCAGTCTGGTACTATCGATCCGCTTCTAGTAGTGGACGCCATGCCCAATGGCCCCCAGGTGCCTGACGCTGAAGGACACACTGCTCAATTTGGACAAACGATCCATCAATGACCCCTGACTATCATTTATCCAAGACATATCTGGATCTGTGGCATACTAGTATGCTCATGAGAAGCAGAGTAGTAGCTATCTAGCGATTGCTGGTTTATTGCTGGTCTAACCCTGATACCGCGGACTGAAAACGGACTGTGGGCCATTCAGCCTGCTGGGCTTATGCTTGTTTGATTTGGACCCAGTGCCCCCTTCCCACACCAAATTCTCGCCGGCTTAGCGCCCTTGGCTACTCTTAGCCAGAATGAGCTGGGTCAGGCACCGATTCGTAGGACAGTCCAGCCCCAACTGCTGGCCCCGTCGCACTATCCATCCATTGATATATGCAATCTCTGTCGCTCGACCTGCTCGTACATCCTCGCGCATACTGCTGGAATTACTGGCTGTCTTCTCAATGTTCCCGATCAACTGCTCCTCGAGTCTGGCCACCGAGAATTGTTCCTCCACATCGGGCAGACCCTGAAACTCCGGAAGACGACGGAACACCAGCGAGATCTCCTGGAGAAGTTGACGTCGCATCTCCTGCAGCTCGGAGTTAGCTAACAGCGAGCCGTTCCGCACGTCCAGCAATGCCGTCAGTGGATTGACCACGCAGTTGGTCGCGAGTTTCAGCAGCTGGGCCTGGTGGAGCTCCATCCATGGCAGTTCGGAGCTTCGGACGATCGGTGCTTCGACCAGCCGGTTAATGAGAAATCGAGATTGGGCGGATGCTGTCGAAGAAGCAGATAATGAGGATGCCTGTTGGTCATTGTTGACGATCCCCAGAGCGCATGATCCGGTCAGCCCCGCCAGCACGGCTTCAAACGGCGCTTTTATGTAGACCCCATGGCGCATAATGCCAAACATGTAGGTCGGTCGTGTAAGCGGGTCCGTGAATAGGCGCTCATTGAGCTCTTCGATTTGCCCTAGGCCATTTTGGAAGAGACAGATCACGGAATGCCGTCCGAGCCGGTGCTGGATCGATCTGAGAGCGGGGATGGTTGCGCTCGCCTTGACCGCTACAATTAGGTGCTGGATGGGTGATTCCCCCTGTAGGAGTTCGGCGTCGTACCCGGTGGTCTCTTGCGTTGGCCCGTCTTCTCCAATTTGGAGACGCAGCTTGCTCCCCCCAGAGAGAAAGTCTTGGTATGCTGATTCGCGATGGAGTAAAATCGTTATGGGCGGGGGTGCGGGGAGGGAGCGAAGCGAGTGAGCGATCAGAGTCCCGATGCTTCCTAGTCCGATGAGGTGAATTCGCTGGGATGTCATTGTGCAGTATGCTGATCAGGTGATGTGATCTGATGGAATCTTGGAATGTTGATGAATCTGATCACTGGGATGTGATGACTGCGCGGCTATTTTGGTGGTCTTCGCTTGCGGAGGCATGCGGGGCAGTGCCCCTGATTTTCTATCGACTATCTATCTAGTTCCTGCACCCCATGTCGAGCCTGGATGGTATCTTAAACAAAACAAGGCATTATATTCATAACTTCTCCATCCCATAGACATCATCATTATATACAACTCCCGCAAAATGGACAATAAATCACCAAACTTTCCCGTCATCCATAAATACAACCTTCATCCCCAACAATCCTCCCTTCTACTCCCCCACACACTAAAAGATCGGCATCCTAACCGTATTATCATAATCCACATTTCCCTCCCGACTCTCAATTCGCTCATGGCACGTTCCAAAGATCTTATCCCACAGCCTAGTCTGCTTCCCATAATTATGACTCTTCTTCCACCCCTTCCGATGATGCAAGTCATGATCCTCAATCACCAACTCCGCCCCAATCAACCTCAACAACCAATCCAGCGTTGACGGCGGCGACGCATGCATCCTCAATCCACTATGGCCCGCCAACTCCGTGAACACCACATACTGATGACAGATCCACCACTCATAGAACCCCATCGGCATCCCCATCAGCCGCATACTGAAGTACGTCATCAGCGGGATGCCTGCGATATCGAAGAACTCCTGCTCCGTGTCCGCATACAGGGTGAGAAGCGGGTTGGGGTGTTTGGTAAGATGATGCGTCCGGTGATATTTCCAGAGACTGCCCACGTCGTGCATCAGTCGATGGTACCAGTAGAACCAGAAGTCGAGGATGATTCCGTATAGCCCGATCTCGAGCGGTAGCCATCCCCAGCTCATCTGTGCCGGTGCTTGACTGACTCGGTAACTGAGGAAGACGGTCATGATGGGTCGGAAGGTTGATGTCGATATCAGGGACCGGACGACCTTGGCTACCCCGACGTCCGGGACGCCGTCACGGCCGTGCTGGTCGCCGTCTAGGAAGCCGAGAACGTGGCCCATGCGGCGCATGACTTGGAGTTGGTGGATGGCGATGAGCTTGAAGGCGATGGAGTAGAAGAAGAAGGCGCCCACGGGGGTAAAATTCTGGCCTGTGTACGAGACGTAGACGTGGTGGACGGCGAGGGGGATGAAGGCGTGGTAGAGGATCCAAACATGCTGGGACCATGTTCTCATGTAGGGGATCTTCTCGGTCTTTTGGTGCACGGGGACCTCCTTGTCAAGGTGTTCGGGGTGCACACCGAGGATCTCGTAGAACCAGTGATAGATGGTCCACTCGGCGCGATCCAGCCGGCGCCAGGTGGACTTCATCGAATCCTTGGGATTAGGGTGTGTACCGCTCATGATGGGAGAGGTAGGGTGGTGCTCAACTCATTTGCGAGGATATCCCTGTGGGGTGAGGAGGGGGTGGATGGCTATATAGGGCTGGAGGGCCGGGATTTTCACACTGCAGCGGGAGGCCATCTCCGAACGCAAAGGCAAGTTCCTCATGTTGATCGCATGTGATTGAGAATCCGGGGAGTGGTTCATGTGGGCATCAGATGTTCTGAACGGGTTAAGTTTGGGGGTTCGTTAAGCCGCTTAACGAGGGGAAATCGCCGCGGCTTTGCAGATCCCTCGAAAAGAAGGCCCGTCGTTGGTTGGCGTAACGGCTCAGCGCTTGACTCAACTGGAGATCCTTGACACATGAAGGTCGCTTCTTGTTGGGAATAAAGTGTGCCTCGGATTTGTCTCTGGAATGTTGGGATGAAGTAGCATGCGGCTGTGAAGCCTGATTGCGGCCATTGATCGATATGTGATGCCCTCTCTCTCCACTTGGTCAGTTGCCACGGGGCTGATGAGATGGTGCCTCCTAATTGTATGTCATCTTATCTCATCGTTACACATGGCTCCTCTTGGGGCTTGACGTTATTTCGTCAGTCTGTCAGCCTGCCGGGGTCTTCTATAATCTGTCGTAGTCATCAGGGAATCATTCTGGATAATGGTGTCTCTGCTTGCTCGTGAGAACATCAGTGCGTTTGATGAGATCCTTGCAGGAAACTACATCCCGGCTGCGCATCGGAAGATATGGCCACTAGGTTTGAAGATAGGCCAGTCAATGAGGGTGTTGGGGAGATGTGACAGGTCTTCAAATTGCAGCAGAGTGGCTCGCGACCATTACCGCATTGGGAAGGCTGGGCAGCCGCCTCGGGATTGGCAACTGGCAAGGCACCTGAGCATGCCCCTGGTAAAAAGTAGTCCGCAAGGGCAAATCTCGAAATTTAGGGAAATGTATGGAATCGTGTCGATACTTGGTAAATTCTCGTCCATCTAGAAGCATTATGGTGTACTAATGGCTGAACTGTGGGCCTATAACACGCTGATTTATGCATAAACAAAGCGCAGGCGCCACCAACGCATCGATAGCATGACTGATCCCACTGTTTTTACACCTTAATTTGCAAGGCTTATACTATATCTATTACCATTTAACATAATCCTAAAGGTCATTGTATGTGGCTCTGGGTTGTCATCACAATAGCAATATGGGAATTCGCTCTAGACAGGGGTGATGATTGGCCTACACGCCTGATATTTTAGTGAAGGAAATGGTGCCCTCGACCACTTATTCGAACAAGAACAGAAGTAGAGAATACCATCTCAATCATGGTCTTGCGGACGATCCTCATCTCAAGATAATCATTCGGAACAGACGATAATGCAATGCAAGAAAGCTGTTATAACGGACTACCGTTGAACCCTAACACATCATCCGACCGGAAGGAAAACAAAACAACGCAGTAGACCCAATATAACCAGACCAGAACTCAGGAGCAACAAACATTAGGTTTTGACCAAGCGACCAGCTATACTATTTATTGCTGGAGCAGCCATGTGGGCGACCCAAATTTGCGCCCGTCGCCCGATTAATGAGGCGGCCATTCCTGATTGAACTGCATCTCCGACCGGGAGATCTCCACCCGCCCGGATGGCCGTTTCATCCTGACCCCATTTTGGCACCAGGAACCATATGTCCGTGTGCTTAATCGTGATTGTAAACATACACTCGGACAGGGGTCAGGCAGGTGAAACCTAGTTCGAATGATGGGTAGCACCTCAGCTCGGTCGGACTGAAGGGGAATCATGCAGCATACTTAACCCCTGATGTCGACGGAATGTACACATTCCCCGCCAAGCGCGTCGTTCTTTACGTGTCTATCCCAGTCGCTCCTTTGTGTAACTCATTGTAAGTCCCTTGACAGCGCTCTAATTTTGGATACTAATCTTCTAAGATGATCCGTCACGTTCTCTTGTCACTCGCTTTACAGTGCATGGTCACCGGGACCATTGCCAATCCTGACACTCTTTCGCACAACTACGACGAGCGTGGCCTGTTTGGTGATTCGGAATATGATTATGTGGTCGTAGGTGGCGGTACGGCTGGAAACACTATCGCAACTCGACTGGCGCAGAAGAATTACAAAGTCGCAGTGATTGAGGCTGGAGGTTCATATGAACTCGAGTCGGTGGCCGAGGTGCCTGCTGCGGACGTGCTTCCAGTTGGGTCGGATCCAGAAACAGCTGCTGCCCACGACTGGGGATTTGTTGCAGAGAATGTCCCCGGTGCGAATGGCCGGTCCATTCACTATGCTCGGGGGAAATGCTGGGGTGGATCGTAAGTGGTGCATATCGTTCAGAAGGGACAAAGCTAACGCAGTTGAACAGCTCTGCAATGAACTTCATGATTTATCAACGGTTTGTCGCTCCTTTCATTATAAACAACCCAGTATACAGTCCTCTAACGGACTGCCAGGCCAACCATCGAGTCCATGGAGCAATGGGCCACGGCTGTCAACGATAGCAGCTACACCTTCGACCAGACACTGCCCTTCTATAAGAACAGCGTGAAATTCACTCCCCCCAACACTCAAATCAGGGCCAAGAATGCCACTGCTGGCTATGATCCCAGTGCATATGAATCCACTGGTGGTCCGCTGAAAGTGTCGTACGCGAACTACGCGATGCCCTTCTCGACGTGGATGGACCTCGGCATGAAAGCCATTGGCATTAACGAGACGCAGGACTTCAACCTGGGCTCACTGATGGGCGGCCAGTACTGCGCATCAACCATCGACCCCAACGGCGAGGTCCGGAGTAGTTCTGAGGAGTCATTCCTGGCGAACAAACCATCGACACTGACCACGTACGCAAACACCCTCGCCAAGAAGATTATCTTCAACAACCAGAAACAGGCGACCGGCGTGCAAGTCAAGGGCTCCGCGGGCAACATCTACACCATTAAAGCTAACCGCGAAGTTATCGTTTCCGCGGGTGCCTTCCAGTCTCCCCAGCTGCTCATGGTGTCTGGAGTTGGTCCCCAAGACCAGCTCGAGGAACACGGTATTCAGGTCGTGGCGAACCGTCCGGGCGTGGGTCAGAACATGTGGGATCATCCGTTCTTTGCGCCTTCGTATCGCGTCAACGTGCAGACCTTCACCGCGATCGCCAACGACTTTCTAGGTATCGTCGGCCAGTTCATCAACATGGTCGGCTTCGGCAACGGCCCTCTAACCAACCCGATTTCGGATTACCTGGCCTGGGAGAAGATCCCGGCGGCTCTGCGTAGTGCATTCAGCAGCCAGACCACCAAGCAACTGGCTACCTTTCCCAGTGACTGGCCTGAAGCGGAGGTATGTGTATACCTTGTATGTGCGCTTCATACTACAGGAACGCTAATATTGTACAGTACATCTCCGGTGCCGGATACATGGGCAACGTGTCCAACCTGCTCATCAACCAGCCCGAAGACGGCTACCAGTACGCCTCTATGCTGGCGGTGCTCATCACCCCGACCTCTCGCGGCAACATCACACTCCGTTCAGCTGACACCGACGACCTCCCCGTCATCAACCCCAACTGGCTCGCCACTCAATCCGACCAGGAGGTCGCCATCGCCATGTTTAAGCGTGTTCGCGCGGCATTCCAGAGCAAGGCCATGGCGCCAGTCATCATTGGCAATGAGTACAACCCTGGTCTGGAGGTACAGTCGGACGAGCAGATCCTCCAGTGGATCAAGGATAATGTCATGACGCTGTGGCATGCTGCTTGCACGTGCAAGATGGGCACGTCCGATGATGAGATGGCGGTGGTGGATAGTCAGGCTCGGGTGTATGGAGTCCAAGGTGTGAGAGTCGTGGATGCATCTGCCTTCCCGTTCTTGCCGCCGGGACATCCTCAGTCTACTGTTTGTAAGTTTACCCTCTACCTGATGGTTAAATGTGGATCAGAGACTGACGCGGAATAGATATGCTTGCGGAGAAGATTGCCAACGAGATTATCAACGGGGCGTGATTCTACCCTTCCATACTAATCACCTTGAGGTCTTATTATTTCTTCGTTTATTGTACAATATATGAACATAGTATCATAATTTAAGTACGAGTATAATAACCTCAGAAATTCAAAAACATGTAAACATGATCATAAGCCATCATCCTCTCTTCCTATCTTGACAATCCATCATCAAAGCAAACTCAATCCCATCCCCTCCGCTGCGCCTTCTCGTTCTCCTGCTTCTCCGACTCCAAAACATCGCTATCGTATCGCGGATCCAGCTTGTTCAACAACTTGTTCGAATGCGGCTTCGAGGTAGACGGAGCGGTCGTGCTCGAACCGGGGCCCGGGAAACGAGGCTGGCTAGCAGAGTCTTCGGGATCGGTCTGGTCATTGTGGTCGACGGGGTCGACGTTCTTTGCATCGATAAAGTCGCGGCCCATGGGGGGTTGGTCGGCCATGATGGAAAAGCGGTTGAGTGGTTGTAACAGGTGGAGGGTATTAAGAGTTGTGTGGGTTATGAGCTCTAGAATCAATGAAGATTATGTTTCTTATGTGAATATTATCTTGATGAGAGAATATTTGCTTGGCAGAGGTGGTGTTTATATACAGAACGGAGTGTCTGTCCATGGCCACTATTACATCATTGGTATATCATCTCGGCTGATCAGTTAACGTGGATATGACGATTCCTGGCACTTCCAGAAACCGGATAGAATGATGGACTCCGAGGAGATAGTTATCATAATATAGTGCTGTGATAAGATTATATTAGAATTGACGTCAAGGCCAGCATGATGCTGTGTGGGTAAATCGGCGGTGCTGGGTCTGTTTACGAATAGTTATCGCGGGCTGATGGCAGGCTACCCGGGTGAACCTGTCGTGACGGCTAAAGCACATTCCCTAGTCTCCGAGGACATATACTTTTGAGACAATGTGATTCTAGTATATAATTTCATATCCATACATTTAGCCTCATACAGAACCCGAGCATAATATATCCCATCACCCGATTAATGTCTCGGATGTCGGATCTCGGAAACCTCATGCATGGATTGATTCATAAGCTCCCATCGGCTCGGCTGTCCCATCCGAATCACAACCAAAAGCATCCAGAACGCGGGGTACATTGCAAAAGAAGAACATATAAGTTCGTATAAACAATCATTACACCCTCCGTAGATACACCATCCATCATTACATCCACCAAAGAAAAAGATGTCTCACGCACAAATCACCCACCGTCGCGCCGTCCGCCGAACAGACGACTACACTCCCCACACCCCCAAAGTGAACATCGTAACAGAGCCACTCCCCCTCCCACTATCCCCCACGGCAGTTCTGATCCGCGTGCACGCCGTCGCCCTCAACTATCGTGACGCCAACATCGCCAATGGCGGGAACCCATGGCCTGTGCTGCCGCACGGGATCCTGGGCAACGACGCCGCCGGAGAAGTAATAGCCGTAGGAGAGAAAGTGAAGACTCTGGCTGTTGGGGATCGGGCGGCGCCAATTACAGACACCGAGCAGATAACAGAGCGTGCGACGAAGCGGTCGTGGCTCGCAGCCGACGAAGATGGGGTTATGGCGGATTATATCGTCTATGATGAGAGTGTGCTGTGTAAACTCCCTGCTTATTTGGATTGGGTGCAGGCGTCGATGATCCCTTGTGCCGGGGTTACGGCGTGGTCGGCGTTGAAGGGGATGAGAATTGGGCAGACGGTTTTGGTGCAGGGTGAGTGTTTTTGTCTCTATGATTGGTGTTCTTGGGGTGTGAAGGGAAAGGAATACTGATGAATGTGGTAGGGACTGGGGGCGTCAGTATGTTTGCGCTGAAGTTGGCGCTTGCGGCTGGTCTGCGTGTGGTTCTGACTTCGTCGAGTGATGCGAAGCTTCAGGCTATTAAGGAGAAGTATGCTGGTTCTGCTATCTTGACGGTTAACTATAAAAACACACCAGAGTGGGATGAAGAGGTGTTGAAGCTTACTGGTGGTGTTGGCGTGGACTTGGTGGTGGAGAACGGGGGGACGGGCTCCCTGGTCAAGAGTATGCGCTGCACTCGCCGTGGAGGGGTGGTCAGTCAGGTGGGATATCTTGGAAAGCAGGATCCATCTGAGCTGAGCGAACTGGTTCCGACTCTTATTGACCGGAGGATCAACCTTAGGTGAGTTTTATGATGCCGAATAGTGGAATGCGGACTTGACTGACCTGGAAAGGGGCATTAATGCGGGCTCGAAGCTTGATATGGAGGACTTTTGTGAGGCGCTCTCGGCTTCGCAGACGCTACTTGATGACCTTATTGATAAGGTGTTTCCGTTCGAGCAAGCTGAGGAGGCTGTTGAGTATGTTTGGCAGGGTAAGCAGGTTGGGAAAGTTGTGCTGCGTCTATAGAGAAGGATATTGGGTCCGAAAGGAAGATCCAGAATTCATTTTACCACTTAGGAAGTTATGTTGGGACATGGTCCTCCGCCTCGTAGCAAAAAAAGATCAGATGGGTCTATAGGGTGAACTTGCCAAATATCACATATTTCTTTCATCCACAAAGCCTAAGTACTATACCTTCCCAGACCAGCCTCCCCCTGTAACTCCAAAACCAGCATCAATAAGGATTCGTAGCATTCCACAACCCAAACTTCACCCCCGGATCCAAAACTAACGTCGGATCCAACACCCCAGGATCCCTCTCATCAAGTGTCCCATCCCAACAATACCTCTCAAAGCACCGCTGACACTGCCTCGTCCTCTCCATGCCCACGCGCGCCAAACTTCTTTCCACAGCCGCACACCCCATACACTCCGCCCACTCCCCATCCCACGACCCATTCGCTTGCGTAACAATATCAAAACTATTCACGAATATCTCCCCCATTTGCTGCCGACTCGTCTCCGTCTGCCAGAACGAGAAGTTCGTGTATGCGCTATACGGCGCATTAGCCATATACAGCACGATAGGTGCGCGGTCGTCGCCTGTGGTGGTGAGGTTGGCGTCGCAGCCGAAGAATTGTGGATGGAGAGTGTAATTCAGGTTCATCATTGTTCTGGAGGGTGGGATTATCGGAAAGGGAAGCCCTGTTGCGTTGGCGGCGAGGTACGTGTTGTAGAGGTTTGTGCCGTTGTTCCAGCTGTAGGGGTCTGCGTCTTGGGAGTCGTCCCAGGCTATGATGAAGTCGACGTTGCGCGCGGGCTGGATCTGGCCCCAGAGGGGGATTGTTTGGCCTGTTTCGCTGCCGTCGACGAGGTTTAGGGTTGAGGATTTGTGGGTATTACCGGTAGAGAGGGATAGGTTGGTGAATGGGTTGGGGAATTTCGAGTAGGAGATTTGGGTTAGGTTTAGATCAAAGGTCTCTTGGAAGGCGTCAACGAGTGCGTTCAGGTTGGCAGGTTGGGACAATCGTTTGGTGAGAGAGGACTCGTGAGTGGTGGAGCGTTTGGCAAATTGGCCAAGGGTTCCGTTGGAGACGCTTTCGAGGTACCAGAAGTTGAAGGCGTCGGCGGAGGTGCCGATGACAAGTCTGGGATGAAGTTAGAAGCGTGCGAGGCTGGGGCCATACTGTTACTTACGAGGATCGATCAAATCCTTTCCAGCATTTGCTCTGGTTTACGGGAATACCGTTGGATAGTTGGTTTCCGAGCCACTCAGTGGGTGTAAATGCATGCACGTCTCCGTCCCAGGCGCCGAATTCGAAGGGAGTCAAATCAAACTAGACCGCGTTAGCTGGAGCTGGTAGTTTATCGAGAAGAAGCACTACTTACAATCGTTCCATTAGATGACGGCACCAAAAGGTCGTAGTACTCTGCATCTTCCGGTTCAACTGAAGCCAGATGAATGATAGGCATCGGCATTTGATGATTGATAAAATTGCTTAGATTCCGGATCCCCGAAAACGTGGTGTTTAGGCCGCCGGATTGTCCGGGAATGAACTCGTACGCAAATCCTCGTCCTAGATAATCACTTAGCGCTACCTCGAAGCCAGCCAGGTACTTCGTAGCAATCTGTTCAAAGATGGCCTTTCCAGTAGCAGCTTCAGCAGAGGTGTTCGTGACCGTGAAGAATCGGTCAATCTCCGGTTTCCAGTAATCGACAATCTCGTCTGCGGTGGGAAAGTTGTATGATGGGAAGGACACTGCGGGCCAGGATCCTCCAGACAAACCAGACAGATAGGTCATGCTTTGTAGAAGTCCACCGGTACGTTGCTCGTTGGCTGCGGGAAGACGGTCATCCAAAGCACGGATTAGACCAGTCCCGGTGTAGGCGGATCCGAAACCTCCTCCACTGATGGCCATTCCCATGATTGGGGTCTGACTGGTGTTGTTGAGACGCGATATGTATTCGTCTGTGTCGAAGTCGTCCAGGTTGAGTCGTTTCAAATATGCGTCTAATGAGCCCAGGATGACATTCTTCCGCCCTTCAACCCATTGCGCTTCATCTCTGCTGAGTCCAACTGCCGGTCGGATCCATGAAAGATTTGTTGGGCAAGAGACAGGATCCGGGGAATAACCCTGGGGAAGTTCCAGGGCAGATGCGAGAGTGGCAGCTGCTGCTGATATTAAAAGCGACAGCATTGCAACGAGACTTTTGGGACTGCAAGAGAATTGAAATTGTTGCTGCTGAAGTTGGTGTTATGGCTGGAAGGTACCGATCATTATATATATATATTTAATTATATGACATCATGCGTTAAACAAGCCTCTGGATACTATATTCAGATCGAGGTGTTGTTGCCTGTATTGCATATAGCATTCAAGGCCAGCCATTCTGTCCAGCTGTGATGGGTCCCCGCAAGGCCTTCCTAAACGGGTATATAGTAGTCGTGCGTCGGATTCAGCCCTGGAGAGTAGTATATGCACAGTAGATACTTCTTCTTTCGGAGTTTCTTGTTCTACAGGCTTTAGCTGCGCAGGCTGTTCCTCTCATCCATACTAGTAATGCGGACAGTTCACCAGCCACGGGTTTTTACAGTCTGCGATTCGTTGTCTCGCATCCACAGTAAAGACGCCACGATCAACTAAATCCACTTGGGCTGAGCAGATCTGCATAGCTAGTGCTATGACCTCATCGAATAATAACTATTTAGGGATTGAGGCATTTCACAGCCCTCCTACGGTACCAGCAAACCATACTGTTTCGGGTACCAACACAAGCTTCGATCGACATGTCATCTTAGTGTCAAATAACAGGTATCAACACGACATTCCATTGGTCTATAATTGCACAGCCAGTGGATAATAAATCCGTGGTCAATCGGAAGAACCCTGAGTTGGCCTGGACCTGTTAAAAGCTTGGAGGCGGGGCGTTACGGCCACCTACGGAAACACAATCCTGCTGCCTACGAGGAACTCAATTTTGCGTCGTCCAACAAGCATTGCTGTTGTGTTATGCTCCGGGCATATTATTATCCTCGAGTCCAAGAAGAGTATCTATTGCGGCTGTTCCTGTATCGATGCCTGAAGGACACAGCCTCGTTCGCGACCGTGCGGAAGAAGGACCAGAGTCTTAATGTTCATGAGTCTTTACAGTCCACATACCCTGGGGGGATATTCCGCGTCGCGGCAAAGGCGGATTTCCCCGCAGAAGGGAGTAAATCATTTCGCACCCAGACGATGTGCTGGGCCCTCCTATTAAAGTATGGGGTGTTTTAGAAGGCTAGGTGCTACATAAATCGGCATATCACCGCCCCTACCAGCCTCTGGCACACCAAACCCTGCCACAAAGCATGACACTTTGTTTATTACTTATCTGGCTGACCACCATCTCACGCTGCATACTGTTTTCTTTACTCAAAGCTCAGGAAAGGGAGGCAAACTAACACACGCTTTTTTGAGCGGCTAGGAGGATGTAAACGAGCAAATGAGGCTGCCGTTTAATAGTGTCGTACCGATCTATCTAAGTGCCCTTTTATGATACTCAAATCGCCGGGCCTTACACTCGACAAACAATGTTGTGCACGCATGTTATCTTACTCTACAGCTTGTATGCTTCGTATGGACAGATTAGCCTCCTACGAGAAGCTTAGCTGTGGGTTTGTGAGTAATTCTATTAGCAATAACACGGTCTATGGTGCAGCAATTTTACACATAAGACCGGTGCAATTGAAAGAACCGCAAGATGTATATCTCTCCACATCTGACTTACGCACGCCCCTCCATCCCATTATATACGTTCAAGTCCTTCCTCCGTCCCAGAAAATACAACGGGACCGCACAGAGAAGAGCCAAAACATTCAACATAAACATAATCATAAAAACCTGCACGTAACCCTCCCTCTCAACCCAGTCCACAGCAACATACAGAAACGTAAATGCCACCAGGTTTTTGACCAAGCTAATTGAGACAAGACAGTTCGCGGCATCTTGTTGATGCAAGTGCACGATGTACGTAAGAGCGATGTTGGGCGTATACACGGTCCCAAACGAGACCATTCCGAAGCCAACCGCGATGGCGGCCCAGTGGAGTTTGTGGCCGCAGGCAAACGCGAGCAGGATACAGCCTGCCGGCCCGATGGCCATTCCTGGAATGAGAGAGATGAGGCGTTGTTCGGGGCGGATGCTGCTACTGCTGCTGCGTTGGGCAATCATTCTGTTTACGATATCGGATAGGTAGCCACCGCCGTAGCATGCTAGTAGGAATCCCACAATAGCACCGATTTCCATGAGACCGACATACTCGGAGCAGAAGAAGTATGGAGACGCTTCTAGGAGAGCGGAGAAATTAAAGCTATTATAAGTTTGTCTGTTATTAGCACGGGCGCTGGTCTTTTTCCGCTACAGAGTTTCTCATAGGAGCACGTACATCATAATGATTTGCGGACTTAGAGATATGCCGTAGGTAAAAATGCCCCAACAGACCGACGGATGAACCAACAGCTTGAGGGGCGAGATCACTGCCTTGAAAAAGCTGGCATCCTTATTGTAATGGAACGGCCGAAGGACACCCTTAAAGGGGGGCGTGTTGGTGGTATAGGAGTCCTCTGGAGCTGCAGCTGAGGCATTCTCGATGAATGAACTCGTAGTCTCTTTGTGTTCTGCGACGAGCTGTAACTCCTGTGCCTGAGAAGGTTCCGGTCGCTTGAAGGTCGATTCCGGGAAGAGGAAGACCAAGAGCACTATATTGAAACTGGCGAGCGCGAAGCAAAGCCACATGTATGACCGCCACGTGCCCGAGGCGTACTCTACCATAAAACCTCCAATTAAGGGGCCAACAGCTGAGCCTCCAGAGATCAAGACAACATAGCTATATCAAATCAGGAAAAGTCTCAACAGGTGGTGTACTATGAAAGGGTCCAAAATCTCACATTGCCATCATCGTAGCACGCTCGTGGACGAAGAATATATCAGCAACGATCTCGGGTACGATACTCTATAGAACATCCAACGTCAATTCGGCGTATCCAGGTGATAAGACTAGGTGAATCTTTATGGGAGCGGCTTCTTACTTCGCCAGCAGCAGCAGCAAATCCAAGAACGCATCTTGCGCCCAAGAGGCTGTCATAGCCCGTAGCTACCGCACACCACACCAGGGCCCCTGCCTGAAGCAACATCGAGGATATAATTGATGCACGTTTGCCAAACTTGACCGCAAGCGGGACCCAGAAGATATTGCCGATGCCCAGGAACAGAAAGTTAAGCTACCCAGAATAAGTCAGCAGACTCTGCTTATACCCGTGGGTTTCCAGGTTATATGAATTGCGTACCGTGAGTAGCTGGGTTACCTCTGCTTGGGAACGCTGGAGCTGCTGCATCAAGACCGGGACGGCAACGGACAATCCAGCACCACCCATGTTGGAGACAAAATTGACCAAGGACGTCGAGAGTATGACAGACAATTTGAGCCAGCTGGGCCAGCGAAGAGGATCACCCGGATCATCCGTAGGGACTGGGATCAATTGAAGACCCCGATGGCTCAGGGTAGGCATCGTTCAGGTTGCCGTGGTGGTCAGTCAAGAGAAAGAGACAGATAGGGTAGGGAAGAATGGTATAGAAGCGGACCCCTGTCGAGAGCAGACTAGGTCAGATCTTAAGGCAACGTCGCTAGTACCAGCAACCATACACAAAAAGGGGGGATGGTTGTATGCCAAAGGGGGGAGATGGGCGCGACAATTTCGATTGGAGACTCAAGTGCTAACTGGCGTACGTACTACGTACTCTAGGCACGAGCCAAGAACTGCATGATACTCCGTGGGCGAGCTGAGACTGCGGGGATCCGGGGGTACCCCGGCGCGGAGGGCGTAAAGCTAAGTCTACCGATCTTTCCCCGCCTCCCCGAAAATGTTGCTAGGCCGCGCAGCAATGGAGGAGTAGCACTAGCTAAAGGATAGAAGCCAAGCCTTCTTGGAGAGACATCACGACCGTTTTCCTTTTTCTCCTCGTCAGTTGCTGACCTTTCCTCCCAGATTGCGGCGGCCGCTTCTCGTCTCGTCCTTATTTTCTGATGCCAACTCCTCCACTCCTCGCATATTCCTTAACTCATAGGTCGACCTAGCCCCGGCGGTCGGCTTTGGCGCGACGTTCTCGGGCGATCGAAATTCATCCCCATCACCGGAGGACGAGTCGTCGTGGGCCCAAAACTCAACGGCAAGATACTGGCGAACAGCGGCGGGGACTGGAACGCGGTCCGTCCGGACGGGGTGATCCATGTCTACGTTCGATATACCATACAAGCGGATGACGGGACGATAATTGGAATTACTAATGAAGGCTATGGGAGGGCAAGCCAGGATACTATGAAGTCTGTATTCGAGGCCGATGATCTGGCAATCGCGTCTATGAGCAATGGGGGTAGGGAGTGGTATACCAAGACCAGTCCTCGCTTTGAGGTCGCTGGGATAGTGCGAGGCATAAATGGCTTCTTGGATCTATACTCTTGAGGGACTTGAAGCCACCGACGAGACCGGGTTTTGCGCTGTAGAAATGTGCATCGTATCAGTCCGACTACAGTTAGTGATGTATGAGCCGTACTGTTGACGTTGTCTCGACGATTGCTAGCTCGGTGTCCTCCTTAAATCGATTTGAAGCAGTAATGAGATTTCGCAGCACTTCCATAGAACCCTTTGGTACAACATCGCGAGGAACTTGAGCTTGGAACCGGTCCAAATGTTGTAATTGAGATCGATAAATGATGTTTTGATAATTCCGCACATGGTGCGCGACAAACGTGGAATATATACTGGTATTATTTCCATGAAAATGCGTTGTCTCTATCAGATTCTTTATCGTCAACAGTTCGACCCGTTCTACGCAAAGACAACATTGTTCCGCAACGTCCCTATACCCGAAATATGCACATCCATTTGAGTCCCAGGCACCAACCACTTTGGAGGCGTAAATCCAGCGCCGACACCTGAGTCCCAGTCAGTAATGCTCTTACTCATGTTTCAACATAGATAATTAGCAGTAGAATTTCCCCTTACCTCCAGGAGTTCCCGTCATAATGACACTCCCCTTCTGCAGTGTAGTCCCTTGAGACAAGTACGAGATCAAGTACCTGCAATCAAACAGAAGATCCCCGACAGATTCTTGCTGCCTCACCTCTCCATCCACGATCGTTGTCAGTTGTAATTGAGATGGATCAGGAATTTCGGAGGCAGCAACTAGAACGGGCCCCAGCGGCGCAAATGTATCGAAGCCTTTCGAGAACCCCCATTGAGGGACGACACCAGCATACGCGGGATCACGCTGAAGCTTCCGGGAGGAAATGTCATTTCCAACTGTGTAGGCTGCGATGTAGTCGAGCGCGGACTCGACTGGGACGTCTTTGGCATCTTTTCCGATTACTATGCACTAAAAATAGTAGAAAAGTACTGAGTAAGAAACGGCATTCCGACATACTCAATGGTCAGGAGGCTCTCAGAGATACCTACCAGCTCACCTTCGTAGTCCGCCTGGTCATTCTGTGCGATCCTTGGTATCACAACCGGCTCGCCGTGATCATGAACGCAGGTATTCGGCTTGAAGAAAATAAACGGAAACGGTGGGGGCTTGCGCCCGGCTTCTCGGACTGTTCAAGTTCATGTCAGGTTGGTACATAGGCACTTGGATAGATCCGAGGAGAAAGTCGTCCATACTATGCTTGGCGTAATTGAGACCCACGCATCGCATGATGGGTACATCACTCTGTGCGAGTGGCGAGAGGATGCGCTTCACGGTCACGATCTCGTCTGTCACCTGGGTCTTGCCGGTCACATCGTAAATGTCGCTTCCGCTAAGCAATTTGGCTTGAAGACCATCGACCTCGGTGATCAGCCCTAGGTCGGTTTCTCCCGCTGCCGGGATAATAGGCTCGCCGCGCAGAATGCGGCCATCCGAGGCTTGAAAGCGAATCAGACGCTTCCAGGGGAGAGACATAACAGGCGTTCTTTAAGGTATGACAGCTTATAGGAACCAGAGGGAGAAACAGGCTTGGTGACTATCAAGTAAATCGTGGTGGCCGCCCTCAACGCATAATAGTTCCAGCGCCGGGGTTAGCACGGGGAGTGGTCGGGTCAATTTTGCCCTAATCGGGGGAGCATCGGAAAGGCGGACGTAGTCATGGCGGATTATTACTCAGCGGCTTTCCACCAGTGCCGAAGTTGCGGTCCACCTTTTGCAACGGATGACCCAAAGCCCGAGAGGCGGGGGAATTCTTAGTCTTCATTGGCTTCACGACCAGGTAGTCACGGCGGATCATTACTCTGCGGCTTTCCACCAGTGCCGAAGTTACGGTCCACTTTTAGTGACGATGGTCAAACCCTGAGGAGAAGTGGTGGTTTCTATCTCAGGCCCTGATATAAAGGCGGATTCGAGTCTAGTCTTCTGCAGCACAACGCATACCTCTTGGTCCAACGATCCAGCGACATCTCACGCCCTAGTTCTGTTCCTTTAGTAGGAAATACACATATTGCAGCCATGACTGAAACTAGAACCACGGCCTTTCCAGCTCGCCCCCAGTTCTCCGGCTTTATGAAGCCGTGCCGTGTCGAGGGCGAAACCCTGAATCTGGAGGTCTTGGGAGACCTCCCTACAGACATTGATGGTGTCTTCTACAGGGTGATGCCTGACCCTCAGCTACCCCCGTTTATCGAGAACGATCCTGTGAGTGAAGTGATCCAACATTCATCTCCTGCGCGTGTGAGAACTAGTAAGCCAATGACGATACAGTGGTTCAACGGTGACGGTAACATCACTGCCTTTCGATTCCATGACGGCAGAGTCTCCTTCCAGCAACGCTATGTGAGGACAGAGAAGTTTGTCCGGGAGCGACAGGCTCAACGAGCGCTGATAGGTTGGTAGCTCCGCCTTTCTATATCATGTTGAGCAAGCTAGCCACGGAGGGTGTGCACAGCACAGCTGACCCTATTCCTCTGGTCTATTGAAGGCAAATACCGCAACAAATTTACCGATGCCGTCGAGTTCAAAGTCCGCAGCACCGCTAATACAAACATCGTGTACTTCAACGGGCAACTCCTCGCGCTGAAGGAGGATTCGCCCCCCTACGCGATGGATCCGGTCACACTCGAGACAAGGGGTCTCTACGACTTTGACGGCCAGCTACCTAGTATGACCTTTACTGCGCATCCAAAGTTCGATCCGGAGACGGGCGAGATGATCTGCTTTGGTTACGAAGCTCGGGGCGATGGGACCCCTGACGTCTGCTACTACACTGTGGGCCCCGATGGGAAGTTTACCGAGGTCGTTTGGCTGGTCGCACCTGTTGTCGCGATGATTCATGATTTCGCGGTGACGGACAACTGGGTGCGTTTCAGCAATCAATCTCCCTCGTTCCACTAGACAGGACTGTGGAAGCAATGCTAATATCCAAACAGGTTATCTTCCCAATCATCCCGCAGTTGTGTGACATCGAACGTATGAAGCAAGGCGGCGAGCATTGGCAATGGAGCCCCGAAACGCCGCTGTATTTAGGCGTCATACCGCGCCGCGGAGCAAAGACTGCGGATGTCAAGGTAGGTATCCGCAGCCGCTTTAATTTCATCGCGCCTGCTAATACTCCTGGGTGCAGTGGTTCCAGTACAAGAATTCATTCCCGGGGCACACCGCAAACGCACATGAAGACTCGAGCGGCAACCTCATCATCGATCTCGGGCTAAGCGAGAAGAATGTTTTCTTCTGGTGGCCCGACGCGCAAGGAAACGCACCAGAGCCCAGCTCGATCCGTTCCCAACTTGTCCGCTTCACGATCAACCCACGAGCCGAAGATCTGAACCTCACCGAACCACGCATCCTTCAGGCGGACAACTCAGAGTTCTACCGCATCGATGATCGCTACGCCACGAAGCCTCATCGACATGTCTTCTTCGACATGATGGACCCGAGCCTCGGCACAGACTTTGCGCGGATTGCACCTGTGCTCGGCGGTGGATACCCGCTGTACAACTCGCTTGCGCGTTTTGATAATGTTACGGGGGAAACGGAGGTGTATTTCCCTGGGAAGACGCATATGGTTCAAGAGCCCGTCTTTATCCCCCGTAGTGAGTTGGCTGCTGAAGGGGATGGGTATCTCCTGGCGCTGGTGAACAACTATGACTCGATGTCGAGTGAGTTGCATTTGCTCGATACGGCTGATTTCACGCGGGCGAGGGCGAAGATTCTCCTTCCTGTGCGACTGAGGCCGGGGTTGCATGGGAGTTGGGTGGATGGGAGTGATGTTCCGTTATCTGCCGCACGTCTTTAGTAGGGAGGAGTAGTTTTGTGGATTGCATGAGGCGGGGGTAATGAGTACCTAACTTACATAGTTAACCAATTGCGGTCTTAAGATTTCTTTCGTTGCTTGTCCCCTTGCTTGGTATCTAGGCGAGTCTAAAACCTCGCCGGGACCTTCCCCGATATCGTTTCATCCTCAGGTCTTAGCTATTTTCACACATAACTTTTTTGCATGCGCCCTATCATAAAAGGAGCTGGGAGCAGAGAAAAACTGGTTTGAAATCCAATCCCCCCACCCGGGGCGCCCCCTCCCTACCACCGTTCAAACCCCGACCCCCGGGCAAAGCCTGGAAAGAAGTCATCTATCATAAACTCCCCGCATTCGATACCAAGCGAAGGAAAATCGAAGCCGGTGGTTGAATTTCCTGCCACCGGATTGTTCATGCCCGAGATGATCCCGGTCTCCGCGATTCTATCCGCTGTTTATTGTGTCACTCAGATTAGCGCTGTGTTTATTTTCTTTTTTGAGTGGATGGAATGAAAAATCTTACCTTGTAGACCCAGCAAAGTGATTAGCTGGTCCAGGTAGTATTTGCAGCGGTCTACCATGCGGTTTCCAACGTTAAGGTTCTGCAATGTTAAAACAGCGCGGCTTAGGTAGATATCCATGTTGTTGTTGTTCCCTCCATTGTCGACTGGATCCTCAGACGTGTCCCTGTTACGTTGGACCCACATGGCCCCAATGATAACCAGGGCGGCATTGAATGCTGTGGTTCAGTATTAGTTGAGGGAAGTGAATTTAGAGCCAGCAGCCAGAAAGAGAAGAAAAGAACACGGCAATCAATCAGATATAGGGTAGGTGACGTACTATAGTATAACGAGTACCACCAAGCGCCAAGAAGGTCTTTCTGCCATCCAGTAGTCGAAACAAGTTCATGGATGATGTCGATGATCCCCATTGCCGAGTCGACACATTTGTTCATGCTACTGTAGCCGATGTCATTCAGGAGCTTGACCTCGTCTGCTTCGAGTCCGGAAGGCCCTGTTGCGTCTAGGAACTTGACAAGGATGGGCCTATGTAGGAGTATTTGAACGTGGAAATATCGCAGTGTTAAAATGATACGAAACTTCAGCGGATAGAGCTTGTGATGGCCCTCGTCTCCTACTTCTGAGCGCTCAATCTCCTCTCGCATGCTTTGGACCGTCACTTGGCGGAGACTCTCCGGGAGTCCTAATACCCAGGAGAAGAGTTGGTTTTCTATGCCGAGGACACGGCCGACAGTTTCACCTATAGATAAGGGAGAATCGCATCCAAGATTTTGCCCATATATTCGATCAATAATGTTAGCGATTTGTTTGTACAGTGTACTGACCCTGATGTTAGCCTGCTGAATTGTTTTCCGGTTGAGGAGGAAAAGATTAGCACGAACACTGTGGCGTTGAAGAACCTAATGCTGTTATGGGCATCGGTTTCGTTGCCTATCGAAAGAACCTCGCTGCGTCCTTGGAATGCAGGTAGGTCGAGTTTCACATAGCAGTCCGGAATTGCCGCCGGGCGTCCAAAAGTCATGCTCAAGGACCTGACACGAAGCAATTAGAAGGGAATAGATCTTATTACGGAGACCGCGAAAGGTACTTACCGATCTAACACGACACATCCAAACCACGTTCGCTTTCTGACCTCTTGTTCCAGCGGGGTGAAAGCCCTCGAGGCGCCCTTTGAATGAAGCCCGAGTTGAAGTGCAGCCTTCACGGCTAACCCATGGATTGTCCACGCCTGAACAGACTTCTGCGTCCCTTGAAGATACTGGCCCATGACCAGGAGATACTGCACTGTGTTGATCTTAGTGGCACGCAAATACACGGGCACTCGAGCCCTAACCGGAGCATAGATGCTGTACCTACCAACTTCTAGTGTCGTGCCGCGTAAAATCTCTCCCTTGCAGAGGCTCAGCGCCCGGTGATAATAAATAGCTGACTCGCTAATTCCCGTCTCTGCAGATGTCGTCCCCGAAACAGCTGTTAGCTTCGCCATGGCAAGTATTATGTTCAGCAAGCCAAGCCATGTGCGTCGGACCCGCTTTGAATTGTCCTTGAGTTCAGCGTAGGTCTCGAAGAATGTAGGTGGATGGATATAAGGGAAGAGAAGCCCAGTATCGGCAAAATAACGATGGATGAGCGCCAATGACTCCTCGGGAGGCGGCAGCGCGAATTTATCAAACTTCTCGCCCTCGAGACTCTCGGGCCGCTGATCATGAGAAGGAGATGAAGGTCGTGTAGCACTGACAAAGCCCCCGTCGTAAGCGACGCGATCCAACGGAGGAGAGGTGATTTCCTTCTGCGCGCTTGCGCTATGTGCCACTGCACATGAGAGATGGCGGAGGAAGGCAATGTTCGATGAGGGACCTAAACCGGTATGAGCTGTATTTGTCTATATTTCTATAAGGATAGGGAACGTACCAAAGAACCCACAATCTTCCTCGTCGGCAAATGCAACAGCGCCCATGGCATCGATTGTGTCTTCGGTGCCAGCAAAGTCGGAAAATCGTTCACTCTGGTTACTCAAGGGATTCTCCTTCCTAGGGGCATCAGGCATGCTTCCATTAATTTGCGACGCAAAGCCAGAGAGATCAGACTTGACGGTGGCCATGCTGGTTTCTAGCGATTTAACGCGCTCTTCAAGGTCTCTCAGATAACTGAACAAATTAGCCAAATTCGTGAGGGGTATGGCATGATGTCGGTCATGGTCAGATTATTGACGTACTCTTTTTGCACGATTATATTTGTGGTAGTTGTCGACGGCGTATAGGCACACTCGAAGCCTAGGTCTTCGCACATTCCACATTTGGGGCGGCGGCCATCGCACTGCCATAGTTTAAAGAGTTACAACTACAAGAGATAACGTATGACAAGTTATTTGAAGTCTGAAGAAATCATACCCTTGATTTTCTAGTTCTGCATGCATCGCAGGCTAGAGCCACACGACGGCGTTTGACTGACTGGCCCTGCGGAGTCGGCAGCTCGGGAGCAAAATCCATTTTGGTCTAGCGGGTAAAAGTAGCAGATCGAAAATGAGGATCATGCCACTCCAACGCGTCTCTGAGTCTGGAGCGCCGATGAAGCGTAGATGCGGAGAGTACTTGGGAACGGTCGGGGAAAGAGTGGGAAATCCGGAGAAGGCGGCCAAATCACGTGATCTACTTACCCCGGTTCCACAGTCGGTGTGGCCAAAAATAGCCAAAACATTCCGGTACAGTAACTAGTTAGTATGTCAAAAGTTTGCGTTGCCCCATATTATACACCCAACGACAAGATACAATCGCTAATTTGCCAAAGAGTAGCAATCTTCATAGAGAACCTAAGTATGTAAATTTGATTCTTCTGCATAACAGCCTGCGCAAATCTAGATTCCTAATGAACACAATCAACCCGCGCCTCCAGACTCTCCATCCAAGCAATATCGATCGCCTCCTCAGCATCATATCCATAGCACCACATCTGCGTCGCCGGATCGCTCCACTGGTTTGGACTATGACTGAAGGGGATCCCCTGCACTTCAGGCGCCATCGCCTCGTCTCTCGCTTGCTGCAAGGATCCGTCTGGGAAATGCCACAATTTCCCGTTCAGCAGGCTCGCCTCCTGCATATGGCCGGCGCGTTTCTTTCGCACTTCCTGGAAAATACTCAGAGCTTTCTGCAACTGGTCTCTGGAGGTCATGTGTGACAAGGAGCGGGACAGGGCTATGCCGTCTTCTACTGCCATTGCGGCGCCTGGGTAGTAAAAAGGGTTAGCTTCCGGTATGCATCTGTATATTGGTAACTTCATCGACGATAGCAATGGGCAATGAATGGCTCAACCAACCTTGCGACATGTATGGTACCATAGCATGGGCAGCATCGCCGAGGATAACGAGCTTTCCAACGGTCCAGTTTTGGAGTAACGTCCCGGTGAGCAAAGGCCATTTGACGGTTTTCTCAACCATGCCGATGATTTTTGAGAGTCTACCCAATTGAGTTTAGAGTGCTGAGGGCGCTTCGGATCGAACCAAGTGGTAGGTCACCTACATTGGATCCCAGCCCTGAAATTCCGCTTTCATGTCTTCGAGTGCCGTCTCCGGTTTCCAAGTACCGGGGTCGGTCATTTCCGGATGTGATAGGACCATATTGAAAGCCTTCCCAGCGCCGATCGTGTATGTCATGACGTGCCTGGAGTCTCCAATCCTAGAATGCGCATTTAGCGCAGCAACAATAAGCAAAACATGATACCAGGGACTCTGTTTGAGAGGGAGAGAAAGGAATACCATATATTCAGAGCAGGCTTTTCAAGAATCCATGACAGGTCAGGGTCCCTTCTCATCTTACCCACATCGACGACCGCACGGTAGGCAGCGAAACCAGGTCCCTGGAAACGCATCTCATCCCCTTGTAGAACAACATTTCGAGCGACAGATTTTATACCTGGTAACAGTTAGCGGTCTCGGCCGTGGTATCAGCTGTTTTATCCTAAAAGTCGAGAAACAAACCATCCGCCGCAACAATGAGGTCTGCCGAGTGCTTCGTCCCGTCGGCAAGCGTGATGCTGCCGACAATCGGATCATAATCGACAACTTTCGCGCCCAGTTCTATTTCCACGCCGACATCAAGAGCCTTTTGGCATAGAGCTGAATGGAAGTCGGCCCGGTGGATCACGTAGTACGGAGCTTTGAAATTGTTGACGAAATTTGGGATGAGCTTCGTCAGGCCGATGACCTTGCCGTTCTGCCACCTCCGAAACGAGATCGATTCAGGCGCCGTTACGTATGGCTCTAAGTACGACTGTAGTCCTAAGCTGAACAGGATGCGTGTTGAGTTGGATGGGATTTGAATACCAGCGCCCACTTCTCCGAGGACGGGAGTCTGTTCGTAGATCTTTACCGCGTGGCCGGCTTGGGCGAGTGCAATTGCTGTTGCGAGACCTCCCAATCCAGCACCAGCGAGAATGATATTCAGACGAACAGACGCATCTTTCTGTGGAAGAGTATGCGTGGCAGATGCCGTGAGCTGCTGCGTGAATTGGAGGCAGTTGCTGGGGTAGTCCGGGACCTGGAGTTTTGTTAGACAGGCGAGGTGTGCAATTTCTAGCAGCCAAAGTAGGATGTCTAACCCTGAGGTCCGCAATCGTGCTCTGCGCACTCATCCGCGTGGAAGCCATTCCAATATTCGTGGTATTGAGGTCTGCCGTAGATACGGTGGCCTTCAACTTTGACACTCTCGCTCAATCCGTTGTACACGGTGTCGCGCACGTGTGGTCCCTCTTGCAGGACGGAAAGACAAATATCTATTGTGTGAACACAGTAATCAGACCTAAGTAGGGTAGTAACGACACGATCTATTAAACCAGCAAAACATTGGTTGTTTACAGCTGGGAAAAGGTCCAAAACACGTTACTATTCCGGCGTTCCCGATCCTTCCCCGTCAACCGTCCCCTTTCCGATCTTTCCCCGCCCCGGCACGATCGAAGGCGCGAGTTACGGAACATGGTGATGTCGCTTCTAAATCGACGTACATATACTAATACGGATGGGCCATGCTTGAAATCAATCAATCCAGAATACCTTGAACTGCTAGATCTCGACACTTTCGCACTCCCATTATGTCTCCATCAGCTTGCAATACCGGGTCGAACGGCGCAGACAGCGCAGAGCAGCTTCTACAAGACTTGAAGAAGAGCAATACTCTGCCACTATGGACGCAGATGACCAGACTCAACCCGCCAGAGCCTAATCCAACAGCTGTACCCTTCATTTGGAGATATGATAGCATCCGTCCAAACTTGCTTCGCGCCGGCGAACTCGTCACCGAGAAACAGGCTGAGAGAAGAGTGCTCATGCTCGTCAACCCCGCTAGAGGTATATAGTATTCCTTCCCAATGCACAGTTTGACAATGACGCTGAATTTCACCTTATTCTCTTACGACTAGATGCGCCATACACAACCGATACGCTCTACGCAGGTCTCCAACTCGTAATGCCCAATGAGACAGCCCCCGCCCACCGTCATACCGCGTTCGCAATGCGGTATATTATCGAAGGCAATGGGGGGTTTACTGCTGTGCATGGCAAGAGGATCAAGATGCAGAAAGGCGACGTGATTCTCACCCCGACGTGGAACTACCATGACCACGGGAAGGACGGAACCGGGCCTATGATCTGGCTGGACGGTCTGGATCTACCTAATTTCCGCCACTTCCCTGTGCATTTTGTCGATCACTATGATCAGCCGCGGTACCCGGCGGAGGATGTTGATAGCGCGACCTCGCCCATTGTATTCCCGTGGGACAAGATGAAGGCGGAGCTGGATAAGGCCCCGGGTACCTGGGCTGTGAGACGATATCTTAGGGCTGATGGTAGCGAAGGTATGATTAGCCCGCCTGTTGGTTCTGCTTTGCAATATAACATAGGTACGCCTTTGGCTGACAGGCTCAATGTGTAGTGAGTCGTGTTCTAGGCGGTAGTGCCGAACGGGTCGACGCTGGTACCTCTTCCCTACCCCGGCAAGAGACAACCTCCGCGGTCTACCATGTTATTGCGGGAAGCGGATGCTCGGAAATCGGGGACAAGACTCTTGTATGGGAGACAGGGGATACATTCTGCGTGCCGTCCTGGTACAAGTATCGGCATATTGCGGCTGAGGGGGAGACCGTGTACCTTTACCGCTTCGACGATAAGCCTATGATCTCGGCCCTGGGGTTCTACCGCTCCATCGATACGGATCTGGCGACGCTGGTGTCCCAGTAGAACCTTGAACTGCCGATGATGTCTGAAGGAAGCGAATTTTGCGAGTGTTCAATTTCAATGATTACGTTTGGAATTTAATGTATTCAATTTGTCTTCATGTTCAACTTTATGGACGGAGCCCACATCACAGCTTCAATTGTCTCTTCTTTCCCTGATGTTGATGAAGAATGCAGCCAGGGCGCTCCAGATCTCGTAGGCCCACAAGGATCCACAGAGCCAGATTAAGTTTCTTAGGACGGGACGGGAAGGCCATCGACCTTTGTAGGACATCAAGTACGTATGATATCATGCGTTAAACAAGCTGGATACTAGTATATTCAGATCGAGGTGTTGTTGCCTGTATAGCATTTAGCATTCAGGGCCAGTCATTCTGTCCATCTGAGATCGGTCCCCGCAAGGCCTTCCTAGACGGGTATATACTAGTCGTGCGTCGGATCCAGCCCTGGAGAGTAGTGTATGCGCAGCAGATACTTCTTCAAAATGAGAACATTCCCAAGTAATTTCATTACCATCATGTTAATACTTTTGTCATACTAAACGTACTATACAAATTCCATCGACATCTCAATCATCAAGTAGATTCTTTCCCCGCAATCTCTCGCCATAATTGATAAAGATTAGGGGCATGAGCGAGAACACCAATACGATCAGCGCCAGTAGAGTCCCGCCCCAGTTGTATCCAAGGCGGTCAAACAATGGTGGCCCTGCAAGGGGCAAGAATGCGGCGCAGGCATTTCTGGGCACCAGCATTGCGCTGGTAGCACTCGCGGCGTAGATGCCAAAGAGGTCCACGACGTAAGTCTGCAAGGTGATGGTGGTAGACACTAGTCCAAACCCAATAATGCCCGTACCAATAATTGGTGCAATCCATTGGACATGATACTGTGCAGTCCAACCAAAGAGAAAAAGGCCGCCTGACATAACGAAGCATGCAATCAGTACGGGAGGAAGGCGCTGCTCTGGTTTAGAGGTGCCGGACCGTGCCCTGGCTGTGCGTACATAGCGATCTAGCAGAAAGCTGCAAAGGAAAGCCCCCAGAATAAGCCCAAGGCACAGTCCTAGGAAGGCTAGGCCGGAAGCTCCTTCGGAGAAGCCGTAGACATCCTGGAACAGTGGTGCGATGGTTGTCATCACCAGGTAGGTGTACCCGTAGACCACGCTGAGGTAGAAGGTAACTAGTATAAGCATGGGGGACCGGATGAGCAGACGAAGTGGCCGGAGGATAGCTTTGAAAAATACTTGACTGGCCGTCTTGTCTGTATCCTCGGGACTCTTGGAACCACTCTCGGGGTTCTGCTGTCTAGCTTTGCGTTTCTGTAGAGTGACGCTGTACGTTTCACGGTACACAACAAGAATGAGCAGGGACAGAGTACCCGTAGCAATGGTCGGTAACCAGAATGCCCATCGCCATCCGGCCTTTTCACCCAGATAGGAGCCGATGATGGGGCCTACTACTGGTCCCAATGCACCGGTCAAGGACATAATAGACATGGCACGTCCGCGACTTTCCTCTGGAAAGAGATCGCTGACAATGCCAGGACCGATGGCTGATGCTGCAGTCGCCGCACCACTCAGGAACCGGAATGCAATCAGCATCTGGATACTGGTGCTGGCGGCAGTGCCAGCCAAGAAGGCCACGAAGAAGAGGTTGGCAATATTCAGAGGCCATTGTCGGCCATACAACTCAGAAAGCGGGCCCCATAGTAACGGTGCTACGATTTCACCGAGTTCCCAGATGGAAACAATGAGGGTGCGGTAGAGGGCATTGTCGGAATGAAAATGAGCCAAGATGGACGGGGAGACAGGGGCAGCTATGATGGTGGACAGCTGACTTTCCCGGGCGCAACAGTCAGAAGCCTTGACCTTGAGAATTATGGGAGATCAATCTTACACCATGGTTGATAATCCCGCGACAAGGACGACGGTGATCCACTTATACGTGGTGGAGCGGGTTTGGGGGTCGAAAGGATCATAATCGGCCGAGTCCACGGGGCTCGTCGACTGGACGGTGACCTCGGTCTCTTTGCAATGGCCATCTTCCTCATCCATGCTTATGGACGGGTTAAATAACCACCAATAAGAAGGTGGAAGGATTGGTGAAAAGTTAATGGAAAGGAAAGGAAGACAGGCGATGAAAGGGAGCCGATGTGTGATTAAAAAAAAAAAAAAGGGACGGGACGAAAGGAATGGAGGGGAAGATCGGACGAGAGAAGGGTTTGCGCTCAGACCGAGGCTGATCAGGCTTGATGCTCCTTTGACAGTAAGCAGATAAGCAGATAAAGTACTTTGTCCACTCAGGCCACGCAAATGGACTAACAGGAAGAAGAAGGTGGTACCGTTTGGCCCCCAGTGGGCTTGCAGGGGGGCTTGCAGAGTTACTGGCCACTAAACGGTGCTACTTTCTTAGTTGCATTGAAGCTAAATAGACTAAATTAGGTGCTGACTAGGGTTTTCGGCGCTAAAAGGCCCTTTTCCCCTCCTCCCCTCGGCTGGCCTTTCTTGGCTGCTTTTCACCCTCCCCAACCGATTCAAATCAGCCTCGCCCTTGTCTATTCCGAAAAAGGATCGGCATAATGTCCGTGTTCCTCGAAATACTTGCTCATCGTCGGGTAGTGCTCACTATCCTCAGGACAGAAGGCATAGCGCTCAATGCTATGGACGATCGGCTTGTAGTCGGTCAGTCGCTTGTAGCAAGCATTGCGTTCCGGTGCCTTCGACCAGGCTACCAGCTTATCGAAGTCCTTGCATTGCATTTGTTGTCCTTCTCCACCACCATTCAACAGCTGAAGAGATGGCATGGGGGTATCATCGGCCTTGCACATCAGATCCTGTCGCAGGGAATCGAGGCAGTGTTCGATATGAGGAGCGGGGATCGAGCTCTCTTGTCCGGACCAAAGCTCATGGTACGAGTGGCGCATGAGTTTCTAGTAGATAAAAGTAAAATGTCAGCATCCATTTTGACTATGAATGCTGCGAATTTGACTCACCAGACAGTGGAGTTGATGGAACACCTTGATGAAGTAGATCCTCCGGTTCGAATCCCAAGGGAAAGCCCAAGAATCCGACAGCCCCTTGCTCTGAGCCCATTCCCAAGTAGGAGCAATAACCATGGGGTCCATGCTCAGGCTCTCCCACATCTCATCCGCATGGGTCGCGTTCTCGCTAGTATACTCGGAGTGGTGGGAGTAAGGCTTGTGAGTATCCCATGCGAGACCGGCTGGTCATTGGAAACAATGTTAGATGAAACCCCATATAGTGACCTTTGCGATAAGTACGTACTGTAAGGAGAACGCTGTTTTGCCATGGCCGCATCAGGATCCAAGTCCTGGATGGGAACATTGTGGCCCTTCTGGAACACAAACCATCCCACGTTCAGCGATAGCGAAAACAAGAGCCCCAAGAGCAGCAAGGCGTTCGTCCAGCTAGGGAACCTAGAGACTCTGGGCTGAGGTGCGACTCTCTCCGAGTCCTCAGCCAGAAGCCCCTGGTCGCTGTCGTCGTCACGGTTGACTTTCTCGTAGGAATACATTGTGAGAGGGGGGAAGGAGCATGGAGGGGTTTGGCAGCCGGAGGGGCGTCGGGGGTCAACGCAATGCTCAGACTTTAAACACCGAGCCCTTGTCACATTTGTCACAATTCTGATGGAACGTCGGCTCCGGAACACATCATGCGATTCCGGCAATGGGGCTGTCGGCGATGTGGGTTCACATTGCATGAAAGAGCTGAAGCTAATGCAAGGCTGGTCAGCACGGCACACCGGTTGATAGTAGCGTCGCAAACTGGGAATCCTGTCTATCTGAGGCTCCACTATGTGACGGACTGCTTCTATCCCACCTCGGATCAATTGTCTTCGGACCTTGCCGGTCCTCCGCTGCTGGTTCCTATGTAATCCCCTCGAAGCCCCCCTCGCTCCTCGTTCATTCAGCAGCAATTCTCAAGTCTTCCAAGTCTCACACTCCCAATCCTCCCAAGCAAAGGTATGCTCGCCTGGTCTTAATGGTACACCAAGTTCTACGAGTCCCTTTGGGTTAACAAATCTCTGTGACAGACTCCTGCTTCTCCTCCGAGACAACCCTTCTCCAAACATCCACATCTTACACAATGCGTGCCGCTACTCTCCTCCTCGTCGCCCTCTCGGCTGTGGCTCTCGCCCTCCCTACCACCAACAACGTCGAGCGTGCCGCTGCTGACGCCAACGTCCGTCAGATGGACGAGCTTACCGTTGCTGCTATCAGCAAGTAAATGGTCAAGCGGGATATTACAAGGGATCAATGATACAACGCGAAGATTTATGTATTTAGTTATGAAATTCAAGTCAATTAATTAAACTAAGTATCTTTTGTTGATTCCGGCCTCATTAATTCTATATCGCTGTCCGAACATTTGGTCGCATTGTATGCCGACTGCACCGTAGGATGTTTGAGTTCAGTCGGCTTGAACATACCACTGGGGAACGACTCCAGGAACTCTCGAAGGTATGGCACACAGGCAGATAAGATAGCCACTGTTTGAAGCACTTGACTGCAAATTGCCCATTGCCAAACATTGGTCGGCATTGGGGAGTCGGCGTGGATCTTGAAATTACGGACGTAGCATAGCTGTACAATACTGCCCGCGATGTCCCTAGACAAGAGGTTAGAAGTGTAAGACTCGGTGTGGCTTTGCGACATACAGGATCCGGATGCCGAAGCAGCTTATGACGACCAAGCGTCTTTTCAGACTCAGTTTCAGACGGAAGATGATGAAGGACGGAACTGCGATAATCATGATCTCGACCAAGACGTTCATGACCCCGAATGCTATCCAAATCCCGGACTTGTATACATTAGCAATGTTTTCTTAGTTGGGGTTATCGCATCGCATTTTACTTACCAAGTCAAGACACGTTCCGCCGACGATGTTCCAAACTTCGGGTGGATGGCATTGCAGGCATACCACAATGACCATTACCACAACCCATATTAAAAGTAGACCCGTCGCTGCCAGGACGGACTTCGACTGGCCTGTCGACGAGAGCAGACTGTAGAAGAGAACCATGACAGATAGCTTTCCCAGTCCCAGAGTCAAAACATACAGCACCTCCATGGAGTAGAGGGCCTTTTGCATGACGACCACCTGGGCATCTGTGAGGGGGGAAGCCTGTCCCAAGCCATGAGTTGCAGCGACGGATACAGCTGCCCCGGAGGCAATCGATGCGATCTACTGGCAGTCAGTTTTACTATACAAAAGGCACGAGGACACGTTATCTGAGAGAGCTAGCTAACCAAAGTGCTCAAAAGGAGCGCCACACTAGACACCTTCCTCCTCAGAACCTGCCAGTTTGTCGTCAAACAGGCTACGACTGCGATGAACGAGACGATGAGGAGGAAGCATGTCACGACCTTGACTGCTGCGGAATGGTCTGTCATGGCTTTTCAGGCTTGAAACAAAATAACCTTCATGGTACCGAATCGGATTCCAAGGCACAGGTAGTGAAGGATTTTGGCTGGCTACGAAGCTGATCGTGATTGACCGATTTTAGGCATATAAGTTAAATAAGACCAGACTGAAGAGGAGGCAGATCCGACTTGTGAGCAGTGCGTGAACAGCCCCATACACAGCCCAGCAGCAAACATGCTGTGCACGCACGCGGGCGGAGAAGGAGCACGGGTCGCACTGGAGACACTGGAGACACACCGGACAGACAGGATACGCTGGATAACACTGGATACTACTGGGGCTGGCGCGTGCCGCCCGGAAAGTTTAGTCGGGGAGACCCGATGATCGCCAAGGCCATCAGCCTATAAGCGTCGCACTATGGCTCTGCGCCCCTCCGCCTGGATTCCTTAGTGGCCGCACTTCCCTGGCCTCTGCAGGAATATCTAACCCCGATGGGGCAACAGCAGTCAATACATGTGAGACGGTTGGCTGTCTCGGTCTTACTGCTTGTGGCCAAGACTGCTTGAGTAGCCGAGCTGCCTTGGCTGAATTGCTTCTTGGTTTGTGCTGTGTTGGTGATGGTGGTGGGCGGGCTTTTCCGGCCAACCCGAACAAGATGGACAGGTATCTACTACTCTATTGTAGACTAGGGCTGACGTTGGATGGTCCCATTGTGGTTGTGGTTGTGCACACCCTCTCCCTGTCTTGTTCTCCACCTACACAACTCCACCCTCCCCCCCTGCTTGCCAGCCTTCATTCCTTCTTCCCTCCGGAGTCGCTTGGTCGCGTTCCAATTTCAATTTACGCCCATATGAGACACGCGGCAGCCAAGATCGTCTAATTTCGTAGTTGAACATTTCTCGATAGGCTAGACTAACTAGCTAAACACCGGGATGGCAATTTCCTTCACTCGCACTCAGCCATCCTTCAGACATCGAAATAACGGCCCCCAACTTGCGATGCATCTGGCCCCCAATCATCGCACGATACTTTCTGCAGCCGATAGGGATAGGGACCCTTTTCTTCTTCGGGTAGTCTGGCCGATAATTGGTCTATTGCCAGGAGTGTGTGTGGCAATCCTGCAGGGTTAACCGTCTACGTTGGATTTTATCCGGCCGCGCTTGCATAAAATGACTCCGAATCAGTTCTTAAAATCCATGCCTTCGAAATCACACCTTCTCTTACCTGTCTAGTTTCCTGCGTCTTAGACAGGTCGTGACGAGTTCCCAAAATGGCCAGGAACAGCGATGTTGAACATTCGATCGAGCTGCGTGCTCCAACGAACCGGGATTCTGGCACGCCAAGTAAGGCTACTTTCAGCGACGATGCTTACGAGCTGGCCAGGGTCGGAAAGAAGGAGGTGTTGAAGGTAACCAACACGCGTGTTTACCCCGAGATTTTACTCCCATCAGCCGCTGAGATCTACCCTTGCTAGCGACGATTTGGTCTGACGAGTACCGTCGGGTTTGCCTGCAGCTTGATGCTGACTTGGGAAGCGGTTATAATGTATGCGATATTTTCTTATTATTTGATTTTCTTTTTCTTTAACCCCTCCTCCCGGTTCCCCACTTCCCCCCTTGCTTTTTATCCCGTCAAATCTGTACATGCTAATAGGATCATTAGGAACATTGGCTTGGGACTCACCAAGTAAGGCCTGCCACGGAATGAACTTGCCTCTGAAAGAAAAAAATGTCTGTTAACCTTCGTGCAGTGGTGGTCCCGCCGGTCTGGTGTATGGCTTTCTTGGAGTATGGGCAGGCATCATTTCCGTGTTCATTTCGATGGGGGAGCTAGCCAGTATGATGCCTTCGGTATGTGTCCGACACTTGCTGCAGCTGAGAATGAGCCTAATTTCTCACCACAGGCGGGCGGACAATATCATTGGGTGAGCATCTTGGCCCCCAGGTCGGCCAGGAAGTTTCTCAGTCATGTCACTGGTATGTGTGCAACTCCATGTGCCGAATATGCGAACCGCGGTCGGAATTGGCTAACGCAAAGGAAATTCCAGGCTCGGTCTGCATCATTGCGTGGACGGCTGCCCCCACAGCCGCCATCTACCTGGCCGCCAGTGTTCTGCAGAGCACCATTGCCATGAACATCCCCAGCTATGACCCCAAAGGATGGCACATCACGCTGATCATGTGGGCGATTTTGCTCGTCTGCACAGTTCTGAATACTTGGCTGGGGATGATCTTACCGGTCATTGAAGTGCTTATTCTTCTTGTCCATGTGCTTGGCTTCTTCGCCGTCTTGGTTCCGCTGGTCTATTTGGGGCCCAAGGCTGATCCGCGATCGATCTTTACTGTATCCTTCGATTACGGTGGCTGGGGTGATCTCACCTTGGCTACTTTTATCGGATTAAAAGGCACTGTGGCTGCATTTGTTGGTAAGGCAGACTTCCCGCGTCTTATCGACTGCAACATAATGGACTGACTCGGTTTTGTTCACTAGGCACGGATGGCGCTGTTCATGTAAGTGCTTCCTTCTCGGTGTTTAACCGCTGTCCGAGTCAGTCACTAACTCAACTCCTTGCAGATGGCCGAAGAAGTCGCCAACAGCAGCCGGGTCGTTCCCCGCTCCATGCTGTTGGCCCTCATGATCAACGGTGCAACTGGCTTTGCCATTCTGATTGCCTTCCTCTTCACCGCTGGAGACCTGCTGAAGATTGTGGAATCCAGTGCCTCGTACCCCTTCATGTACATGCTGGCGAGCTCGACCGGCAGTAAGGGTGCCGCCGTGGTTCTCTCCAGTATGATGGCCATTCTGCAAGCGTGCGCAGGACTCGCGGGGATTTCTTCCGGCAGTCGGATGCTGTGGTCATTCTCCCGCGAGCAGGCCATTCCCGGCTGGCGCTGGGTGCGACAGGTATGTGATGGACCTAACCCCCATCTACCCCCAGGCTGTTTTTGTTGGGAAGATTCTAATTGCGGTCTGTCATATCTACAGGTGAACCAACGGACTCTCGTGCCCTTCCACAGCACGTTGGTGGTGGTTGTCGCGGCCGGTCTGCTCAGCCTGATTAACATCGGGTCGGCAGTGGTGCTGAACATCATCCTGTCGCTGGTGCTGGAGGCCTTCTTTGCCTCATACATGATCTCTCTAACTCTCCTGCTCTATCGTAGATTGCGCGGCGACCTTACCGAGCCGGGTCAAGGCGGCGGTGTCCTCAACTGGGGGCCCTTCCGGGTCAAAGGGTGGTTGGGCACGGCGAATAACATTTTTGCCATTGCCTACTCGATCATCATGATGTTCTTCGGCTGCTGGCCACCGGAGAACCACCCTGCCCCGAAGAATATTAACTACAGCATTGTCATCTTCGCGGGAGTTACCCTCATCAGTATCATCTACTATGTGGGATGGGCGCGGAAGCACTACCAGGGTCCGCTAGCCGAGCTTTAGTTGGGATGCTTTTTACTAACTAAACAGCTCGGGAAATGGCGCAATTCCCTACTTGATCAGGGACTTTTTCCCTACGGTAGTGTCGCCCTAAAATAGTCTACTTTATACTACTTTTTTTAATCTAAAAAGAGGGATTCATTTAGTCCGTCCACTCCGTGACAGGGTAACATCGGCTTTCGGCTACTAAATTAGTTAATTAACTGGTAGTTTAGTGAGGTTAACTAATTTATTTCCCCTTCACTATCTATTAGTCAAGTGTGTCAAATACTTTTCTTTCTTGCTTTCTTTTCTTGTTGTTCCCCTCGATCCCGCGCGCCCCTCAATTTCCCCGTTTCAATCAATCATCCATCCATCAATCCTTCCCCAAGTCCAGTCCAAGTCCAGTCCAAGTCCAGTCCAGTCCAGCCAGCCCTCTATCTCCCCATCTCCCCCCATCATGACCAAGTCGCAGTTCGAAGTCCGGGAAATCCACACCAAGGAGGAATATGCCCGTCTAGTCGATGTCCTCTGGTCCGCCAACTTCAACCCTTACAAGTGAGTGAGCGCAATTACCACCACACATTCCTTTCCATCCTTCCTTCTTCCTTCTTCCTTCATTAGTTCCTTCCCATCCTCCCATCCTCCTATCCTCCCCTCTCCGCACAGTAGTATCCAAACTAATTTGCCCGGTCGCACCACCACCAAACAGCCCAGTATTCACCGCCGTCCATCCCGTAAGCGGCCATACCGCAGAAGACCGCGTAAAAGACAAAGCCCTCGACACGGAAATCCGCTGGGCCGCGCACGAGAAGAATCCTGCCTCCCATCTCATCTATGTGATCGATACCGAGACCGGTCGCGTGGCCGGTGGCTGCGAATGGCTCATCTTCCACAAGAACCCCTTTCCTAATGGCCCTCAACCCTTATCGTGTACCTGGTACCCGGAGGGCTCCGAACGCGCCGAGTATGCTAGTCGCATGCTCAGTCAGGCCTTTTTTCCGAGAATGTGTTGGTTGCAGAGGCCTCATGCTGGTATACCCTTACCCCCCTTTGTTCTATGTTATCATTTTCTTTTTTCTAAGGGGTCTAATTTATTGATGATGCGTATAGGTGTAAATGCTATGGGCGTTCACCCCGATTACCGCCGTCGAGGCGTAGGGCGACTCCTCATGCAATGGGGTCATGAGAGGATTGACCCCTTGGGATATGAGAGCTGGATCGAGGGCAGTCCTATCGGTCGCTGGTTGTATGAAGAGAGCGGATACAAGCGCGTCATCAGTCTGAATATTGACTTTGCGAAGAAGAACCCCAGTGATGAGTGGAACAGGTTGGTGCATGAATGTCAACCGCCCGCTATTCTTTTGCTGTGGCGCCCTCCGCGCGGCGAGTGGAATGATAAGGTGCCCCCGGGTCCCTGGGCGGTTACCGAGGATACCTGGAAATAGGTTCGTCGTTCTGCCAGGAGTGTTTTGACTTAGATGTAGAATAGATGAGATGATGATGATTGATATGATGATGGAATTAGAGACTTTAGCTCATTGTGTTTTTCTTGATTGTTGATACTCGGGAAGTCCTGACGGCGAGGCCGTTTCCCCTCATGCAAATTAGGTTTCGCGTCCAACTCTCTCTGGTGTCCAGACCAGCCATCATGCGGTCATAGTGCACGCCTTAAAGCCAAAGTGCCTTTAGGTTGAATGTAACGACATGCTTGTCTGTTTCATGTCCATTATTCAACCAGATGATGCGTGGGGTTTTCTGCGGATAGCAAATGGCATGCAAAGCTTCCTTCCCGAACAGCTGACTCTCGTCGTGTAACAGCCATCAAAATCTACCTAGCCAGCATCTCCGCAAACGGACGAGCTCTGAGTATCTTACTCTTTTCAGGCCACCCGTAGCTTCGAGTATATTACTCGCTCGTTGCATCAGTGGCATACAGTCTCTGTCATCCATCGCTTGCAGTTATAGTTATCCACCAAATGTCACATCAGCAACATGCACATAGAGGAAACATTCGACTTCATCATAGTCGGAGCAGGCGTTGCGGGTAATACCCCCATAACAACCACGCCCGTCCTCATTGACAAGCAACAGGCTGCGTCTTAGCAAGTCGAATCTCGCAAAGTCGTCCCGACTTACGCATCCTGCTCATTGAAGCAGGCATCGAGAAAGATGACCGGACATCCGCCGCAATGGGCTTCGTGGCAGGGTTCGACTCAGATCTCGAATGGAATCTTCGCTCGGTGCCGCAGGAGCGCGCTTTCGGAGGTGATACGGTTTGTTTGGCTTCTGGCAAGATTGTCGGGGGAGGGTCGGGGGTTAATTATCAGGTGTATACGCGGGGGCCGGCTGTTGATTAGTGAGTTCCTCTCGAGGAGCGGGAATGATATTATGGTTCCGGAGATTGTTGCTGATATGGACCTGTTGGGACAGTGACCAATGGGCAGATTTAGTTTAAGACCGGAGATGGTCGTGGAATGGTCTTCTGCCGTATTTCAAAAGGGTCGAGACGTGGTATCCTTCTGTAGAGATGAAGAAGAGAGGTCTTCTCACGATTGATTCTCATGGAGATCGTGGACCGATCAAGGTAGCTATCGCACTTTACTGGCATGAGGAACCGTATTGATATTGTATAGGTCAGCCATGCGACGAATAGTGGCAAGCCACGAAATTACCCGTTGCGGGAGAAGAGTCGCAGATTTCACGAGTTCCTCGGTCGCAAGCAGGCAGACGATATGAATAGTGGACAGCAGCTGGGGTATTCGGAGGCTTTCAGTTCCTCCTATGCAGGACTGAGGAGCTTTGCGAGTAGCTACCCTTTGGGGAGCAATGTCACTCTCTGGACGAAAGCAACGGTGGAGAGACTCATCATGGCCGGAAGGACTGCGGAAGGCGTCGCCGTTGCGCGAGCAGTGGGAGATCAGATTGAGCGTGTCCAGGTCAGGGCTCGAAAGGAGGTGATTCTGTCGGCAGGAGCATATGGATCACCCAAAATACTTTTACTAAGGTGGGTTAGCATTAGCTGCTTCTGAGAAGTGAGGAGCCTAATAACAGTACCAGCGGCATCGGCCCAGCAGCAGAACTGAAGCGACATAACATTACCCCGGTCGCAGACCTCCCCGTGGGGAAGAACTATGCTGACCATCCGCATATATTCACCTACTGGACAATCGACGAGTGTAATGCCACCCTAGGTGACGGGGAGATGGAAACCGATCAAGTCCATTGGCTAGCGGGTTTGCCATACGATTGGATGTCCTTTGCGCCTGCAGACACGAAAACGCAAGAGATAGCCAAGAAAATACTGAGCCCAACTGAGCGAAGTCGGTACTTGGCTGACGGGAAGATGCAACTCGAAAATTTTATCGTGTATGCTGTTCCTCCAGGCCCGCAGAAGAAGGGACACTGCTAATCAAGTCAGCTACACCGCCGTCGACACGTCCGCTCGCAAGAAACCCCTCGAAGGCTGGCCCGGTAAGCGCGTCATCAGCCTCATGCACGTTCTCGTCGACTCAGTGTCACGGGGTACTCTCACGCTGCGCTCATCTGACCCTGCTGACGCACCCGTGCTCGATCCCAAACTCCTTGCGTCCCCGGTTGACCGATCAGCGTTGTATGAGAATGTGCGGGAGACTGCGCGAGCCATCCAGGCCGTCGAGGGTCTCAATGCTGTTGAGTTTGGTGTGGATGATTCCCTCCGGGATAACTGGTCGAATGAGGCGATCGAGGTCCGGGCGAATCGGAGTGGTGGTAGCACGTATCACTACTCAGGGACTTGTGCGATGGGAGAAGTTGTGGACACTGAGTGTCGAGTCTATCAGGCTGAGCGACTGAGGGTTGTAGACTCGGGCATTATTCCGCTCCCGTTGGCGGCGCATTATCAGGCGCCTACATATGGTGTTGCTGAACAGGTAGGTACTGAGCATGATGGCATGGTGCTGCTGCTGATATGTCAATTGTAGGCCGCAGACATGATTCTTTCCTCGGTAGCTTGATCAACTCAGATCGCGCCTAATGCAAAATTGTGAATGGCCAGAGAGACACGATACTCGAGACGGACTTTAGTCAAGTGCTGTTCTCGTAAGGCCCTTGCTTTCTACGATGTACTGAAGAGTGGGATACCATGGTGGATATCGGGTGTGTGCGAGCGCAAACCGTAATGAAAGCGGGTGGGACTAAGTAGAGGGGAGGCGGGGATAAAATAATAGTTGCGACCAATAAAAAATGAAATCTAAGACTATCACTTCTGGTATGGAGTGTAGATGCAAAAGAAAAAAGAAACGACCGAGACGTGACTCGAACACGCAACCACTGCCACATCCACTACCGGAAGGCAGCGCGCTACCATTGCGCCACCCGGCCGTACTTGATGTTTGTTGCAGCTCCTTTTGCCTTATAGCTAAGGGTTAAAGCTTCGTTTCGCAAGAACTGCTTTACGGACAGGCCGGATTGATAGGCGGCGAATCTGTGTGTCAACCTTAGATTTTCCATTTTAGCTCGCTTATGTAGCTTGTATGGAGCGTTTATAATGTACTGAATATATAATTGAACGACTATTCGCGGGTAATAAAGTTCGTGCTACTATGCCCATCTGGCCCATGGCAAGATATATATTCTTGGTCCGGTTTGCTCAACGTAGTATGAATGCAATATAGCGTCAACGTGCCGATCCAGATATTAAGTGACACAGTTAAACCAAGCATCGAGTCTGCAAGTAAGCTGCATTGGCCACCGAGGTAGAGCTACCTAAAACCGACAAGTCCAGTTCAAAAAATAGAATCCTGCATCCGCTGGCAGCTGGCGATGCGCTGAATGCAAGCTAGATGCGAGCCACGGCGCTGTCGACCGGACGGCGACGCTAAGTGAACAGAAAGCTTAGCAATTAGCGCAATACTAAGTAGCTAATCTACCAAGGTTTCATTGGCCAATTCATCCGTCAAATCGCGACCTTGTCCGTGCTCAAACCCGGCTGGAATCGGAGTCACGACTCGTCCGCCTGACGTGAGATTTAAGTGGATGTTCAGCTTTCCTTTGTATTGGGTGGAGCAAGAAATACCCCGTAGCCACACGCTACTGCAGCCAACAAACGACGTTGCCTCACACAAGCTACCATGTAATGGTTTCTGAGCTCCTGTAGTTGTGTAGTGCGACTTAGCAGTATATGGTGTCCTTAGTGACAGCCTTGTACCCCTCATTTAGGCTACCAGGATGCGCTAGCGACAGATACATATAAGC